CAGTCCGGTAAGAAGTTATTACCAAGTCAATACCAGTACAGAGTAGTGTGACTACCGGTACTTGTAATAACGTACATCACTGTTCAGTAATGTTGCAGTAATCAAAAATTTACCACTAAGAAACAAACTACTAAAAAAATTGTATTGCTTTATTTCAGCACTCATTCAGGCCAACCGGCCCATAGAGCACGACAAAAATTTTTACATCATTTAACAGTAAAACTGGTTACAAATCAAATTCCAATTTTTCAAAAACAACAGATATTAAGAATTTCGATTCATGAATTAACTAACCAATTTGACAGGTTTTAACATTCTGTTCAAGTTACATAGCAAGATGATTACCATTACAGTTTACATGACAAATTTCCTACAGTTACAGATCTTAATATGTTATAACATTACAACGTAATATCTAACATCGTAACCGGAGACGTGTGCTTTAAAATACCAAAAGTGCAATTCATATTCTCAGCAAATTTTTGTCGTGGTGCGAAGTTGCTCATAATGTCAGTACAAATCACGTTTTGCAAAAATACATAATCAAGTAAAGTAAGTATCCAGTTGTGGGCATCATCCACAAGTCGCACTCGGCATATCCCAATACAGGCTAAATACATACAATGCTTAATTCTCAAAACGAGAGCAGTTCGGTCGTTTGTAATTCGTTGTACGAGTACAATGAGCAAAAATGCAGACGGTGTCAGGTTTAACATTCCAGGCATGGTGAGGTCAGAATCCCAATATAGTAATCATGGTAATGGACCACCCCCAGCAACCGAAAGAAATGATGGATGTCAGGTTCCATGGGTGCGACCGGGCGTCCCCAGAGACCCGATGGTTCCCAACGGATGACCCTTTGAGCGTCCCCTCTAGGTCGAGGTGCGGAAGGCAAGGCGTCCCTATCCCCGCCACACCCTAAAATTCACTGCAGTTTGGTTGAGTGGCAGCCAGGGAAGATTGACATAATACAACGTACAATAATACTTCGTCACAATGCAACAATTATAACAATGACGTTCTATTACAATTACAAAGATTCATGTAAAAATACTCAACGCAGCTTTTCATGGGATACATTTCTCACCAAAATATAAGTTTCGTGTCCAATATTTTGTAACAAAGTTGTTTAACAATTTCACATGTCACTATTTAGTAGTATATGATCGACAAGATAACATTTCTAAAATTCCAAAATAGTAATTCTTTTCGTAATTAATTAAATAAATTAACTAAATACGCCCACTTCTGTAGTCAAGTAAGAGAGTCGGAGAGAGAGCAACCTCACACCACCACGTCTCGCACACGTCTAGAAACAAACTACTACCAATCCGGTAAGAAGCTACTACCGGATCAATACCAATACAGAATATACACTCTTAAAAATCCAGTATTAAAATAATACCAAGCCGTATTCATATATGACTCGACCAAAGTGGTATTGCTACGTATATTTAATACCGAATATGTACACTGTAAAGCATCCGGTAGAGTCACATATGTACTCGGTACTGGTATTAATTTGGTAATAATTCAATACCGGATTGGTTATAGTTTAATTCTGAGCTGTAGCGATTTCATTACCACAACATTACTACCCCGTAACAATCGATATTACCGATGCTGGTAGAGTCATATATGTACTCCGTCCGGTAATGAATCGCAATGATTCAATACCAGATGCCTAAGAGTGTAGTAGCTCGATATTACAGGTTTACCATATCGGTAGCAAATTTTTACAGACCGGTATACATAATTTTAATACCAAGCGGTACCAACTTTAATACAGAAAAATCAATACCTGCCTGACTAAACCCGATTTATAAGAGTGTAACCAGACCTGGGTTCGACATAGAATTATCGACTGTCACTTCAATTTGAATAATGAAGTATTTATAAGCCGGGTGAAAATAAAGTCAACGTTGCCACCGAAATCCGAATAAATATGTGATTTAAAGTCAGCAGGACACTGCTTTCACTCGGATCATAAACAAACCGGCGTGGGTGTCGTGTGTCGTGAACAGAAGTTTGCTTGCCAAATAAAGTGTGCACATTTGTCTTGTCATCCTTCCATTTGTGCAGATCTGCATTTCATAACGGAATGCACGACCAGACACCGGCGAGACAAACACAGCAGGAGGGGTATTTGGCATGAGATGGATTACGTAACCAAAAACTCATGTATTATGCAAATTTATGGCATGCATGTCAATGACAACTAAATATTTAGATTTAGTTCCAAATGAGATTGTGTTTTTCATAAATTCATCTGTTTGTAGGTAAAACTTACGTAGGATTCGATGAATCATGCCCAAAATAATTAAGTCTTGTGCAGTGAGCGTATAAAAATCGGTGTCGAAGTTTTAGGAAATTTTAAAGATTGTAACATTGTAAAATTCGTAAATTCTGTAAAATCATTTTACAAAATTTTAGTCACATTTCCAAGAAAAATTAGGATACAAATTTTTGTAAGCTTACTCAGGTCATGGGATTTCTTCTTGTTAGTGACTGCCTAATACCGGAGCAACTGCCTAATACCGGAAAAAATTACGAAGAAAAATTACGAAAAATTATATCCTTAATTTTGTTTTATTCTTGAAAAAATAATTATTAACGTGAGGATTTGACGCCGTTACTAGTTTTGTCGTTATTTGTGATTGAAAAAATTAATTAATTGAGGAGTGAATGAATTTGTAGTATGTAAATGAGTTTGTGAGTAAATGAGTTTACTATGAACTCATTTAAATACTCACAGATTCATTCATTGATAAGTCCATTCACAAATCCTTTTATAATAGTAAACTCATTTACGCACAAACTCATTTAAATAATACGAATTCATTCATTCAATAAGTTGAATTATTCATTCATAAATAATAATAAAACCGCTAACGGCGTCAAATCCCCACAGTTCTAATGATTATTTTTTTCCGAAATAAGACAAAATCAAGGAAATTTTCATTATCAAAAATTTATCAAAAATTATCTTTCAAAAATATTTTTCATATAAGGAGAAAGAATTCTGCAATCTAATTTTGTATATACAGGTATGATTGATGACTACCTCACTAAGATTTGTGCAATATTTTACAAAATTTACGGATTTTACAATATTACCAAGGGCTTCGTGTATTGCCACATTTGTATATTTGTACTCGCACTAATTCCCACGGGTGAATTGTTATAATCATTTTTTTTTGTATTTTCAGTTGATCCCCAGATCGTGGTCGTGCCGATAATTTCGTCCATCGTAATATTTCCAATTGTCGCGTTCCTTGTAATTTGTTGCCTCAGAAAGATGGCGGCCAGACGAAGACAATTAGCCAGGCTTGCTCAAAGGTAAGTAAATATTTTATAAAAAGTTGGTAACAAAAATGTCACTGTCAACAGTTATGATTTACCACCGAGCGGTTGCATAAATTTACACGAAACTTTTCGCACTCTCCAGGAGAGTCTCCTGTTGAGTTTAACGGAAATTGTTTTTCGGTAATAAGTCGTTACCGAAACTTGACAGGCGTAGAGCGTCATAATGGCAATTTTGTTACCAGGGTATATACACATTTATAGTGATTCGCAAACTTACAAACTTTTACGAAGTGTTACTCATAATTCGAAGGAAAATTAGCTTATAAATTTTTGAAAACTTTGAAAAGTTTGGAAAATGATTTTTTAACTTGCCGATTTTACGAAGTTATCAATGACTGCGTGAATCGCCTCAGTGTGAATTTTAATTTGCAATTAATTATTTGTTTGTCTATTTAATTTAAAGCGATGAGATCTGGAATGAGCGAAGCTGTGCCTCCATCGTGCAACGGAGTCCTACCTATAGTTTCAGTGCAGGTGAAAAATTACAATAAATTGAAATAATTTGTGTGAAATTTTGCGATTTTGTGTTGTATACATATTTTCCTAAATATATTTCGTAAATTTTTACAAGTAAATAATTAATTTAATTAATTAATTATTTTATATATTAATTGTACAATATACAATTCACATTTTACTTTGTAACTTTGTATGAATTTTGTCAAGTTAGAAGAACACTTAAAATATAAAATCTGGTTTAAAATAACCTGTCAAAATTTGAAATTTTTTGAAATTTGCCATACTTTATACATTTATTTTAGATTACACAAGTTACAAATTGATGCAAATGGCTTGAATTCTTTCAATCGCTTCATTTTCAATATTTTATGGGAATTCATACCCAAAATTAAATTGATATACAATTTAAATTTAATTTTTAATCAATTTTTTTCATGAAAAAAATTATCCATCTTGACCGAGAGAATAAAAACTAATGAGATGTCACATATTTTGGGCTGAACGTTATTAGTGTATCCGTTCCAGGAGACAAGTTTGGTGAAGGTACAACCACCGTGGACCTGATGACCCCTGACCCCCCAGATTATACCGTCATCATTAACGACCACACCCAGTTTAACATCCCTCCAACAGGGACGAATTATTATACACACATTTAGCACACTTTATACCATTGTTTCCTACCAAATGATAAATGATAAGTGATGATGTTAAGTTGATATTGTTAACATCTTATCAAACACGGTAATAAGTAATCAAATTGTACGCTAAGTTTTTTTTCTAAATGATTAGTTATGATGATAACATCTTATCAAATACAATAATAAGTGTAATAAAATTGTGTATTAATTAAATAAGGTTTTGCGATTTTTACATAATTTTCAGTGATATGTTCAAAATTAAAAAATAAATTAGTGATAAACCAATCTGAGAAATTATATATATTAAGAAAAATTATTTTATGCAAAATTTCGGATGTGAATATTTTATGTTCATGACGAATAAAAAAATTGAAATTATTGTGCATTTTGTATGTTTATAACGTTATTTAATTATTTTTTACGAATATTATAAACATTTAAAATTACTACAACCAATCCGGTATGAAGTTATTACCAAATCAATACCGGTACGACTCTACCAGATTTTTTGCAGTATAACTATCTGTTAAATATGTAGGTTTGACCCAAATTTGAGTGAAATTAATAGACTTACTTAACTTGATAAATAACTTTTCTAAATTTAACACCGCATTTTTACAGACTGATGGTTGAATCTGTCCTACACGTCGTTACATTTTGCAATTGACGGAAAAGTACACGTGCTAGAAATTACATCAAACAGTAATCCTTCTGCACAGTTTTGTTCGTATGGGGTCCCATTAACGCATACATAATATTTCCTACAGTCAGCTAAAAAATAATATTATGTACAAACATGCATAATATATTGAAATTCATATTAGACACCTTTCGAAATAGCAACTTTTACTATGATTCTAACTCTCAACTTTTGCATACCATAAGATTTTGAAACATAGAACTTGAATATTCCTCAGTTCGAAGAATTAGTCGGGGTGGAAAAAAATGTTATAGATTCACGAAACCTGAATTTCGATCGACTTTCGCCACGTTTTTCGGCTGACAATTAGAATCAGAGTAAAAATCACTATTGTGAACTGTGTCAATGAGGTAATTCACGCTAGGCTTCGTAACTCTGTGACCACTTAAGTTTTGAAGATTAGTTTACGAACGAAAAACATGCCCTTCATCACCACCGTAAGGGTTTATAACTTCGTAAGAAAAAATTAGCTTCAAGACGTTCCTATAAGTTTCGTCAAAAGTTCGTAAATTTCGGAAGTTTACGTGGTTACGAAGTCTAAAGTGAATTACCTCAGTATTTACATGAAACCTACATACTTTCATGTGGTATATTCCAAACACCTTCCGCCGGACATTCCACAACGCTACCACCAGTACTGCTGCTGATTACCATCGTTGTCGTCTCTGCTGTCGTGGTCGATGTTACGAGGCAGGTCGCCAACTCTGGGAAAGTGCAAGTTAGCGTGATTGAATCAAAATGCAGGGAATCAGCACAATCACGTTCTATCCCCTCGTTTCCCACGCAGATTAAATATTTGGAGCAGTCGTCTACATACGAGCAAAAATAACTTATTTATTTTCCCTTTAATTTGTGAATGACAATCAGCATTCCGGTTTTTATTCTTACATGGATGCGGGACATAGGTATAGTCTGCTTCACCTTGACATGGGTTACTCGAGCTGGTCGAGGTCAATACAGTGGTCGTAGTGGATGGAGTAGTCGTAATAGCTGTTCAAAAAAATGTCTTCATTCAAAATTCATTAAATCTAAAAATTCGAAAATATTAGTTTTTTTCAAAAATTTCGAACAAATTATTCATTACTTTATTGAATCATAAATGAACAACTGTTCAAAATATGTTCCTTCATTCAAAATTCATTCAATTTAAAAATTGGGAAAAATTCATTCAAAAATTTTGAAGAAATTATTCACTCATTATTCATAACTTTACTGAATAATAAATTAACAATTTATTAATTCGCTATTGAATGAATGAATGTGAACAGGTATAGAAGTTGTGGTCTTACTCGTCGTAGTTTGTGGCGTCGTAGGAGCACTTGTTAGTGGCGTCGTAGGCGAACTTGTTAATGACGTTGTTTGCGTGCTTGTTTGTGGCGTCGTTTCATCCGACGTTTGTTCCATGACATCCTCCGTAGTTTCATCCGTGGGTTCTATTGTTGTCGGCGTGGTTGTGGTCACAGCCTCCTTTGCCTCGCCCGGGTGAAAGAAATACTCATTCGCATTAAACCATCCAGTATGTTCCCAATGGTTGCAAGTATCATTATCATAGAACAAGAACGCAGTACAATCGATGTTATCCGTGCACGAGTCACAACATGCTTCCCAGGTTTGAACGTCTTCAACGCTGTTGAGAAAACGGCCAACAGGTATTTGGCCGAGACCCATATGGTCACAGGAAAAGACGAGAGGCGTTGTCACGAAGACGAGAAATACAAAAAAGCAAGGGTTGATTTTCACCATGATTATGGACTTGATAATTGTGAAAGATTCTGGAGTGTCAAAATCTGGATAAGGACTGCTCAACCGAATCGATAGTATACGTGTATTTATATTTTATCTATGTTTATCAGATTCAGTATCAATTAAACGAGTTATCTGGAACGTAATTTGTATCTAGCTTGATTTAGATTAAATGTATATAATAACTGTCGATAGCAACTACTTACAATGGAGACGCAAACCATGTTCAACCCGGATTTTTTAGCCATGTTAGTTCGTAAGAGGGACTCATTAGAAATAAAATTTAGTGTGGCAGATGCGAAAATTCAGCAAGTTTTGGGCGCCGCACGTTCGCGAAAACTAGGTTTTCGAACGGAATCTGTACGGAAGCAGTTGCCCGTTTTATCAAACTTGCGGAGCCCAAAACTTACTGAATTTTTCGAATCTGCGCAAATCCCAGGCTAAATTTTGTTTCTAAAGAGTTTCTCCTTCAAACTCAAAACATAAGCTGGGTTGAACATGAATGGATTGGATTGGATCCCCATTGTCAGTAAATAAACCGTTAAACGCATGTAACGAAGGGGTGAAACCGAGAACTTTATAACATTTGTGAGGTGACATATGTATCAAATTTAACATATGGTGTCAGTTAACAGTTAACAAAGAGTCATTTAACAAATTCTTGTTCTTTGAGGTCAAAATGAATGTCACCATTGAATTCGGGGTTAAACTTCAGTTCAGATTGACATATGTATCAGATATAACGTTTAGTGACCTTTCAGTGACCTTTGAGGTCAAAACAGAGGTCAACATTGAATTCGGGGTTAAATTTCAGTTCAGATTGACATATGTATCAGATATAACGTTTAGTGACCTTTCAGTGACCTCTAAGTGACCTTTAGATGACCTCTGAGGTCAAAATGGATGTGACCATTGAATTCGGGGTTAAATTTCCTGTCAAATTGATATACATATATGCGATTTGACTTTTAAATGACATTTCGTGACCTTTTGACCTTGAAGGGAGTGACCTTCAGGGTCCATCTTCGAACTTGACCTTTGTTTTTATATGAAGTATTTATGTTCAAAATTTCAAGTCAATACGTTAAACCGTTCTTGAGTTATCGCACGGACAGACGGACAGACAGACGGACAGACGGACGGACATATCGATCTTATAAAGGGGTTTCACCCCTTAATAATGTGGGTATTAACTCGTAACTGTGGATTTGCAAAAAATATTCGTAAATTTATAGTCTTAATAATTTTGCGTATATTTTGTGTATATTTCGGTTAATCTTGCGTATATTTTGGAAGCTTTGTAATCATCGAATTTTCGTAAATCCCGTAAATTTATGCTGTGTGCCGAATCTGCTTATGATGCCTACCACAGTTACGAAGGTGACGTGAATAGTGAAAACCCGTGCAACATACATATTTGTATGCACAACATACATACATACATGCACATATATATTTTCAAAATAGTTACTATTTTGTGCAAATATGAAAAAACTCGATAATCATAATAAATAAATTGAATGTCAAGAATTATTGGCATTCTATTTCTTTTAATTAAGTCATTAAAGGCCCAATTACAAGTTTTTATGAAATGATATATTGTCGATGTTTCCCCACTAGACCATTGTCACGATTAGCTGGACCAATTATATTTCCCAATCGACGCACAATTTCCTAAATATAAAAAAAACATTATTTAATGCAAATTATAAATTATTCAAGTCATTAATTATGTAATTATCAAAGAGCGGATATGCATTTATGAAAAACCGCCGAAGTATATATTATATTTAGGAAAAACGCCGAAATATTTGCGCCGAAATAGGTATATGTACGAAAAAACATTAAAAATTTATATTTTCAAACATATTGCTCTGGGGTTCTCATAGTAAAATTACTCCGAGGAAAAAATCGTCTCGTATCGTTGAAATATTTATATAAAACTACATTTAAAAAACAGCATTCTTCGGTGAGGGTGCGACTAAAAACTTTAAAACAAGAGTATTGAGCTAATTTTAAAATTTAATATTTGCCAAATTTTGCCTCACCGTGGGCCCAAATTGATTTTGTATTTAAATAATGCCCACGGTGAGGCAAAAGTTGGCAAATATTAAATTTTAAAATTAGCTCAATACTCTTGTTTTAAAGTTTTTAGTCGCACCCTCACCGAAGAATGCTGTTTTTTAAATGTAGTTTTATTTTCTGGTTTTTGCGTGGGAATTTTTTCGTTGGTCACCAATAGCAACCAGATAGGTGCAGTTATGAATAGTCTTTTAAGCAGCGTAAATGGCTTCAGATACCACCATCAAAAGTTTCTCATTTTCCAACCGATTTTTCTCGAACGTATCTCAAATGATGCGTGGTCAGCGCCCGGACAATAAAATCAATGTCGGGCATGATCATTGTATGGCAAAATTGAATTTCCGGTTCATTTTAAAGTTTCAAAGGTCCTAAAATTCTTGCAATATTAGACTTTCGTAACGAGAAAGATGAAAAGACACTAGATTTCATAATTGTCTGATTTTTTTGTTTCAACAATTTTTCAATAAATGCAACCGTTCGAGCTGTGGCCGTGGCGGAAGTTTTAGGACCCTGTCTTGAAAGCATACCTTGGCTTCGCCGTAACCATGTGCTTTTCTGTCGTGAGGGTAGCCCTTGGTTACTTTTCTCACCTCAGAAAAATGTACATATTTTTTGAAAAACAAGATCCTAGAAAAATTTGCGCATTTTTCAAATAATAGCCGTAATATTTATAAGTATTCATGTCTGAAAACTTAGAAATAATATATATTAACACATACACATTTTTACATTTTTACGATGCATAAGATTTATGCGTGGGTTCGATTTGGGTGCAAATGTGCAAAAGCGTTTGCGGGGAAAGCGAGGAAAGATTCCGGGAATTTTCGAGCATTTTCAAGGTTCGTTTTTTACAGGCATGGAGAGTTTTCCAGGGAATTTTTAAGGAATTTTCGATAATTGTTAGGAAATTTTAAGGCATTTTAAGGCCCGTGCATGTTTTCCAGGATTTTCTTTCCCCCCGTTTCCCGGGAATAAATAAAAAATCTAACCCACCGAGTTATGCAACAAACCCACCAAGTTTTCCAAACTGTCGTCATGAAACGAAACAGTCACCAGTCGGAAATAAATACATATCCGCCCTCTAATTATTAATTACCTTTAGCAAAATTGCCTCAACTCGTGTCACACATTCCACCAAACTTTCCGACCTAATCAACCCGTTCATTTTACTTAACACTGTTTTCAAGCAGTACAAATGGCCACTCCATCGCATCTCGTCGCTTATCAGTTCCAAAAATCTTGTCTCATACTCGAAAAATATTGTTTCCACTTTATCCCTGCATTTTCTCGCGAATCCGATCTCATAAAAGTAGTTGTATTCCGCACCATACTCATAACTCGTTTCTGATCTTATCGTTTCTGCAACGTTTTGAAGTTTTGCCTTGATTTCCACCCCATTTTTCAAGGCACACAGGTCAGGAAACTTATTACTCGGATCGTTTCCATACTTCATAAACTGCTCCAATAATTGGGGCGACTGCGGATATGCCTGAGTTACGTCAAATTCCACAAGTCGGATTGGTGAAACGACCGCGTCCCCGTCTCCCATGACCCCCTTAACATGTAGAACTCATTAAAATCAAATAATTTGTAATCATTTCTCGCATATGGAAATTGCAATTATTTTAAAATTCTGGACGACAAATTTGTAGAGCAGGGAGTTGCCTCTTTTTTTAAAAATATACACTTAAGATTATGACAGTTTTTGGAGGAGTAGATCTCGAGTTTAAGAAGCCTTCATAAAAATTGGAACTAATCGAAAATAAGTTAAAACATTCACCGCTAACTATCAATATCAGTATATCAATCAACTTACTCCCTGCAAATTTGTCGTTCAAAATTTAAAATAAATTTCCATAGAAAAAATGATTATAAAATACGAATTTTAACGATGACTCGTCAAGCCCTACCTTAAACTCTTGGACCACCATTTCCGCGAATTTTAACGTATCCAAGGATCTATCCCACTGCGGGAGTAACTTTTTATACACCATTTCAAATTCCTCCGTAATACCGCGTAGTTGCTTAATCTCGACGGATTTGAGTAATCTGTACAACCGAGAGAATTGCACCTTGGTCAACATGGCGACGTATTTTGTGTAATTATCCTTCGAAAATTTGTCATGCTTCGCGGAGAATGTGGTCCACTCTCTGGCTGCAGATAAACAGAAACTGCACGGACTCCCTTCCTTGTGAGCAATAGGCTTGCAAGCGTTCAAATTTCCCGCCGCGAGGATGTGCCCTTTGATGGTTTCTAACGTGTCGCTGTAATTACTACGAACTGTAGGATGTCTTTCTGCCAGATATTTCCGACAGTCAAGAGCATGTTGGATGGACGCGATTTCCAAGGAAGTTCTCACCCTGTCAAAATCTATCAACGTTTCGGACGCGTATAACAAGTAGGAAGACACGTCGGCATGGGAAATCAGGGGCGTTGGTGGGTATATTAAAGATGTCCAACATGTCTGTAATTTTGTCAGGGCTGAGGTCAAAGTTTGCAACTTGTTACAGTTCGATGCTGCAATTTCTTTACTTGTCTTGATAACTTCTTCGTAAAGGATTTGGACATCTTGGGGGTCAAATGTTTCCGAAATGGTTTCTGCGACAGGAAATATTGCTCTATTTTCTTCAAATCTTGTTAAGATTTTAGCTATCGAACCGTCCTTCCGCCTCCCGAGGAGAAATCTGTTATCTTGCACGGCTTTCTCAAACGTGGTGAACCGCTGTGAAGTTTTTACCAGGTCAAGGTCACCATGTGAAGAAGCAAGTATTACATCGGTCATTGCTTTATCCTGACCGGAAGTAGACCAAGAGTGGCAAAGGGCTGACTCCATTTCGATTAATATTTCGTCTCTGATCTTATACGAGTAGAAAACTGTGAGGTCGGCGACGTCGAGAAGGACCGACGTCATAATTCGCTCATGTTCAGGAGTAACTTCGGTTAGAAACATGTCGTCTATCTCGATAATTAAGAAGGCGTCATACCAAGATGAATTGTTCATTTCGTGTGGCGGGAGTCTCCACAAGGTTAAGGTTGCGTGGTCACTTAAGGGATAGCTATTTTCATGTCGAGCACCAGATGGAGGAAGTAGACCATTTTTTAGGGCATTCTTACCCCCATCGCCAGCAATGCCAAGTACAAAAACTTTCAAATCCCCTATATTCGATTGACTTATGATGTCCATGAGGACGTGATTTACGTGACGACGATACCTGTCGACAAATTCGAGACTGTAGCCGTTCCCAAATTCTGATACTAGTTTGTTAAGACTACTTTGGAGAGGGCCCCCTTCTAATTCTGCGGAGACATGGGAAATTTCAGTCAAAATGTAATATTATGAGCTCCTTTGTACTCAGGGTTTTCCTTTCTGTGCTGTTACACCCACAAGAGGACGAAAATCTGAATTGTAAATATTGTTGTCAAAGCAAATCGTTTTCACGAATTGAAAAATAAAAGTATTTTGACGGATAAAAAATGAATTTCTTCACAAAACCTACATTTTCGTTTGACTGCTGTCTTCTAAACCTAGACTTTTGTTTTTTTTGTGGGTGTTACAATTCCGGAAATGCAAGCCCGGAGTAAAACGAGGTCCAATTTTCATAATTATTTTACCCACCTCTTGTAATTTCCGGAATTTTGAATATTTCCCTATAGAAATGTTTGCCTAGGAGGGCACGTTTTCCAATAAGGCTTCGAATTTCTCTTATTTGTTTCCTCATCTCATCCTTACTCTCATCCAGTGTTACCATTTTCTTCCACAACATCTTGACGCGTTGAATTAGGTGGTTGCATTCCTCTTCCACCAATTGAAGTAATAATTCGTCAAGATGTCCATAAATTGCGGTAGAAGTAGTTTCAACTTCTTTGTCGGTCAAGGATAGAAATGCTGTCATAATTTTCTTGTACTCTTTGTTACCCTTCCATACAGCGTTCCATTGGAGGTTACTGAAATTCCGTCTCTTTTGAAGGTGACACGTCGCCACGTGGGCAGATTGGAGTGTCATGAATTCGACCAAGGCGATCAATTCCAAATTTTGGTCAATGGGCCCAATTGGTATTGGTTTGACTAAAAGATCTTCTTCATCCTGCACAGATTTCATTATTTGTAGCACCGCTTTCCTCGCCAGTTTCAAATCCCAAGGCTCTTTGAACCATTGGTTCCCCGTGTCCCAATAAAATAAGGTGCCCGCCTTCCTAAAACCGTCATATATTTCTTCCTTCGTTCTTAAATTCCTCCTCAACAGCTGCATCAATTCGACAGAGGGAAACTCAATGGGAAGCGCGACCGCGATCTGTAACACGCTCAGCGCATCCTCTATAGTACTCCATTCCTTCGGGTGGAGTGGATCGGTCGGTATTGCCGTCTCATTTTCCCCCTCCTCCTCCGGTGGGTCCAAGAGTGACCTCAATTTTTTCTCGATCGGGACCGGAATATATTTTGGGATTGAGCCGTCGTCCCGGATAAGGACAGTTTTCGCACCTTCTAGAAAAGTGGGGTTGTCTAAGCCATCATAAACCCAAGATGCAAACACCTCGTTCTGCCAAACACTGGCATACTGGTCGTCCGACCATGCCTTCATGTCCAGCTGGTTTAGAATGGCGCCCAAGGTACCATAATCCGTGCTACTTTCCATTCCATAGAAGAGTTCGTGTGCTTCATTCCACCATTCGCGATACTGGAGATGAGACAATCTTTCGAAAACCTTTGGGATAAGTTTGTCCCTCATGTGTTGCTCGATTTCCTGTCGTTGCCCCGACGTCCACGGGAGGAGGAGGACGTGTCGAGTCACAATTTCTAGGGTGACATCCTCCTCAGTAACTCTTTTCTCGTCTTCATCTGCGGAGGGTCACCAAAAATATATTACGTCATCAAAAAGTGGCGTCCGGTGTCCGGACGGAATACTCGCACTTTTCTGGGACCGGGCATTCTAAAGTACTTGGTTTACGCAGCCAGCTAATAATGTACTTTTGCAATTTTATTTTTTGAAATTATTGGAAGCAATGAGTACACACTTGGCCTAATCATATGCGGAAATTATTGTACAAATTTCTAAATTGCTTTGCCAAGTGAGTGGTCTAAAAAGCCGTTTTTAACAACATAATATACGCACGTTCCCTCACCTTCATATTCATCCGACTCTTCTTCAAAGACTAACTGCCCCATCAGAGTTAGAACATCTTGCAAAATCCTAACCATTTCATGTTCCCCACGAACTTTTTCTTTGAATAGGAGCTCCTCCCTGATAATTCTTACACTCTCGGTCCACCTCTCCAACGCTGTTTGGTCATCCTTATGCTTGAGTTTTGCTTTCAAAGTTCTCCCAATTTCGGGATCGATCTCATTTACGTAACCCAACGAACCAGCACTTATCATGTCTACGATTATGTTATGGCACGTAAAATGAAGGTCAGCGTCCGACTCTAAATCCTCGACACAACTTTGGACCGTGTTCATCAGGGCGGAAATCTGTATCAAATTAGGCGACAGGTGCAGGAGGAGCGTTTCGAAGGTGTGGATTAATCCGTCCGTTAACTCTTTGGTAAGGGGTGGATCATTTATAAACCTGGATTCCGCCAAGGACCAACCGGCATCCTCCAGCGGGGCCAGGATCGGGGGATACTGGAAAACATGAATTAAGTTTAACTTAAAAACTTAAAACATTTAATAAAGTAAAGCAATTTACTACCATTAATTTTCATAAATCGTAACTTTTTTAAAAAATTAAAGAGGACGGGTGGGTACTGTAAAATTAAACTGAATTTAAAACCTTAAAACATTTAATCAAAAAAATTAAAAATAAATTTACTATCATAAGTTTTCATAAATCGTAACTTTTTTAAAAATTAAAAGAGGACTGGTGGGTTGGGTACTGTAAAAACATGAATTAAATTGAATTTAAGAACTTAAAAGATTTAATAAATAAAAAATAAAAAATAAATTTACTATCATAAATTTCCTTAAATCGTAACCTTTTAAAAGAATTAAAAGATGAAAATAGGTTTGCAAAGTTTATAAATTTTCAATAAAACTTCTGAACGGCATGTAAAAATAAATTTCGAAATTTTCTCATCTTCGAAGAAAAACGGGAAGAACCTAAATATTACTTTTGTGAAGCCAGACATTTCGAAATGCTCACAAATGACGTTTAACGGATACATTTTACATATAAAATTTAAATTGTTTAATATAATAGTTTACTAGTACTTAATTAATAAACAAAATAAAATAATAACTATCATAAGTCTTCATAAATCGTAACTTTTTTAAGAAATTAGGCGGATTACAACAATTACCTGGACGATGAACATGCCAAATATGGCACTCAAGACGGAAATAATTCTATCTTCCGGTTGCATAAAGGCGGAACAAAGTGATACCGCATTTTCTATCCGAGTCAATATATCTTCATCAATGTGTAACTCTTTCCTCTCTTTTGCATTCTGATTGACCTGCTGAAAATTAACGTAGGACTCGATGACTCATCGCGAAAATCATTTCTCATTACTCCCGTCGGGGAATTTATTTTACAATTTTGGACGACAAATTTGTAGAGCAGATCGATGTAAATATGTAAACTCCAGATTTATGCAATTTTTGAAGGAGGAGATCTCAAGTTTAAGAAACTTTCAGAAAAATTTGAACTCGTCGAAACTGGCTTAAAAACCTCACCGCATTATATTAATCAACTCACTGCAAATTTATGACCCAGAATTTTAAAGTAAGTTCCCAGTGAAACGATTAAAAATATATTATGTTGATTTGTTGAGCTTAAGGGTCAGATCAAAGCAATTATTTGCAATAAAAAATATAAATAAGCTGAGGTTAGCAACAACTTAATTTTTAGCCCAAGTCGGAACTTTTGTGCCCCGTTTAATTTATTTTACCTACATAACAACCAAGAGGTTTAGCCAATTGGGGCTGCTCAATGCACCCCCGGTATGACTAATTTATACTTTCAGATATGTTTGTTAGGTACTTGGGGGTTATGACTATCGCGAGTAATCACTGGAATAATTGGAATATGCAGCATTTTCCTTCAAATGCATTTTAAAACTTAAAAATACATTTAAATTCGAATAATTTTGACATTTTCTTGGTTAGTGAGTGTATCACGAGTAATTTACTACACTCATAATGTGTCTAATAAAATTTATACAAATTTTAAAAAGTGTTACATGAGCGTAGGTTGAAGCGCCCAGTAAGACAAGATTTTATGCAGAAAATGCATTGATATTTTGTATGTTTTTTGTTGTTAAGAATGCCCTGATCTGACCCTTAAAAAGATTAATGTAAGCGAGTTTCAATGAGTTCCAATTTTTTCTGAAGGATTCATCAACTACAAATCTACTCCTTCAAAAACTGCCAAAATTAAGAGTGCATATTTTTTTAATTGGCAACTTCCTGCTCTACAATTTTTTGTCCAGAATTTGAAATAAATTACCAGAGCGGAGAAATAATTAAAAATATATACTGATTTGGTCTTGCGTCATGAACTCCTACCTTAAAAATTATGTCCACCTCGTTCATATAGGGTGCTCGTCTCCCACGAAAATTGCTGAATTCTACCCAATTCGACAAATCTATTTGCGTAACTTCTGGTCCAAATGCAGCTTCAAGTTCGAGCAGGTCTAAATAATCGTAACACTGCCCGATTGCTTTCCCATCCAGGAAAACGATTAAGAACGGAGCGTCACTGAGCAAAAAGTCGAAATCCGCCACGATCCAGACATTTGATACTCCGAGGTTATTACGCATCCTCAACATTTTTATGACTTCTTTCCCCTGCGGGGTTCCCAGGGGGGCGTTGGTTGGGAAGCAGAAAACGTACTTTCCCTTGACATCACCAGGTAAAATTAAGTGCACCGTCCAGAAGGTTGTAATTAGAAAAAATTTTCCAAAAAACATAACAACTACTCTATATCTGTCAGTACAACTGCTTAATAAATTACGAATTTTTCAAAATTGTCAAACTCGCGTTAAACCTAAGCTAGGATTTTTTTAAAATTTCATCTTAACAAAAAACATAAAATTGTTAAATGTTGTTAAATAATTTTTCAAACTTTAAAAAAATACAAATATTCGGAGGGAAATTGGCTTACAAAATTGTATAACTTACTCAAATCAAAGGCGGGATTTTATTAAGTAGCTTCAGCTACTTTATGTGAAGACTTTGTCTGTCTGTCTGTCTGTCTGTCAGCAGGATATCAGGAGAACGGATCGAGATAATCGAAATCGGTTTTCGCCATCATACATAATACCCCAGGGGGAGGATCCTATCAACTTTTGGGGGCAACCGGACCACACCCCCTTTGGCGACAGGGGGTGTGGTCGGGGCAAAATGAGATTTTTAGTGCAATTTAATCTATAGGTGAAATAGAGTAAAATTATGTGTTCCGGAGTTGTGCCACACCCCCTCGGCGCCAGGGGGTGTGGTTGGGGCAAAATGAGATTTTTAGTGCAATTTAATCTATGGGTAAAATTAGGTGAAATTGAGTGAAATTAAATGAAATTAAGTGAAATTAAGTGAAATTAAGTGCTTCCCCGATTGTGCCACACCCCCTCGGCCCCAGGGGGTGTGGTTGGGGCAAAATGAGATTTTTAGTGCAATTTATTATATGGGTAAAATTAAGTGAAATTGAGTGAAATTAAATGAAATTAAGTGAAATTAAGTGAAATTGAGTGTTTCCCCGATTTTGCCGCACCCCTTCGGCGCCAGCGGGTGTGGTTGGGGCAAAATGAGATTTTTAGTGCAATTTAATCTATAGGTGAAATAGAGTAAAATTATGTGTTCCGGAGTTGTGCCACACCCCCTCGTCGCCAGGGGGTGTGGTCGGGGCAAAATGAGATTTTTACAAAAAATTAATCTATAGGTGAAATAGAGTGAAATTAAGTGTTCCCGAGTTGTGGTGGGACCGTTTGGGGTGAAGTACGTCTGAAGCTACTTCCGTATGCGCGTTTGCGACGGTTTATTTTGTCAAAATTTGTAAATGTAAACAATTTACGGATTTTACAATGTTACCAAGGCCAGCGTGAATATCATCTCTATATGTTTTTTTAGTAAGACGATTCACTCATTCAGATTTTGTTAACTGTGTAAGTCTTGCAAAACCATTTGTTAAATCATTAAAAAATTATTATGGAACAGGACTACAATCTAATTGACACTTTTTAGATTTTCATGCACTGTTAAAAATCTGCGTTACCCAGAAATAGTTAGATTCTAGATTACTCTGTCCGAAGTAAAACTAGTATCGTACAGAACTAAGTAGTTAACCCGTAGTAAGGTAACGGCAATAAATGCCACATATATGAAATTACATCTGATCGGTGTTTAATATGTCCCACTCAGGGTTGACATTACCCTAAGTGGAGTTAAAAATAATGGGCGGGCAAGGTTCTTTGTGTTACTTGGCTTTTCAACCGGCAACACATCATTCCCTCTTGAGCGAACTGTGTTCAGTTCAGTTTTTTAAGTCCATTATTTTAATTATTTAACTTTGATTAAACAAAATTTCAACAAAATTTTTTAATTTTTAAAAGCTTAATTAAAATAAGTTTCATGGAAGTCGAGCGTTTGCTGCAACAGTTCGAGCTGCATAAATATGTCGACAAATTTAAAGGTGAGTATAACATGAATCATCATAATACTTGTAAAAAGATATAATTAAAAATTAAACTTTTTAGATAATTATATCGATTATGAAGAACTGCTGTTGCTGCAGAAAGATGACCTCATCCCCTTAATTCCTAGTGTAAGACACCGAGCAAAATTATGGAAGGTCATCAGCAAGATTAGTTCCAGCCAGGTTAATCTGTGCTTCCTATGTCGTTCTATTTTTACCATGATATTTCAGATATATTTCTCATGCTATTTTTAATTCAACATGTTTTAACATGTTTTGTTTTAATTTGTTTTATTCCATTGTTTAAATGATGTGTAATGAATAAAAATAAATAAATAAAATGTCAATTAATTGAATTTATGAAATGCGGATAATTGATTACAACTACGGCAAGGGTTGATCTAACCCATATACCAATAAAGTAGTAACCCGGTAGCGGGGATAAGTTTACCCAATGTAGAGTTGAACTCAACCCTACTCAGGGTTGAACACTACCCAGCTCAGGCATGCATCTAGTACATGCATCTGGTACGGGTCTACCCCTGTACCTTATACAGGCGAACTTGGTTACCTTTTATCACTTTTAGTCGATATTCCCTGCTCAGAGCAGGATCACTTTTAGTTCCTGCTCGTGCAAGGTTTTACACTGGCTAGGGTAAATGTTTTTTAGAGTGTGTTTCCCGAAATTTTTCATCTGGCGTTAAAATTACTCAAATTTCATTTATGTAATATATCTCGACATTTTTTTAATAATGAGATGAAACTACTTAATATCGAAGTAGGTATGTATTTATGAAGTAAAGGTTATTAGGTATGTTTAATGGATAAATAATTCAACGAATTATTCAGGCGATTCGCCGAGATTTGTAAAGTGTGTACGTCAACAAAATAGAGATCGTATTCACGTCAACTTTTGCATATCTCGAAACTTGACCGTAGCAACAACTTGCGAAATCTGCGAGATTTAGCAAAAATTTTGCTGGAAACCATCAGACTTGTTTCGCAAATTTACCCAGCAAATTGGGCATATTTTCGTAAAATTCTTTCGCAAATCCATTCTCACCATCACCAGCGAGAGAAATTATAGAAATTCATGAAAACAATATCAAAGTAGGCGTTCATCAGTAGATTTACGAAGTCATGTTTTGCGAATCTCCTCATGTCACAAATATTTTGAACTTCGCAAGTTTTCTAAATGAGTTACTAATTTACTATGCGAAATATGACCTTGTCGTGAGTACGCCCATTGCGATCATAAAAAGTAGGTGTCATTTGTTTGGAAAATTTTGGCAAATTACACCCTGGAAGGTTGGTGGGGTGTATGCCAAAGCCGGTTTATTTTACCTGGACTTCATCCCCTTGAAGGAAGTCTTTCACCGCGATAAAGTTCTCAAACAGGGTCACGTAATTCCAATTGCTCCACACGTGATCGATTAAGGATTTCACGTCGACAATGTTATCTTTCGCGAGAGGAAGTGCGACCGGTTTGGCCATCTGGGAAGCGAGACGGCTATACCAGAAAAATGCGGAATTTCCTCCACCCACATTCACGCCAAATGCGGCCGATAGTATTTCTATAACTCTGGGAATATCGTCCAGCTGATACGGCGGATTGGATGTCTTTCCCCAAGAAACCCTGAAAAAAAGTCTCATTGTCAAAAACAGCACATTTTTAATCATTTATCAGCTCTAGGGAATTTATTTTAAAATTCTGGCTGACACGTTTGTAGAGCTAGGAGTTGCCAATTTAAAAAATATATACACTCCAGATTTTGACGCTATTTGAAGGACGAGATCCCAAATTTAAAAACCTTCAGAAAAATCGAGACTCATCAAAATGGCTTAAAAAACTTACTACAAATTAGTTGTTCAGAATTTTAAATTTTAAAATTCTCTAAAATTTAATTTAAAAGCTTTGAGTTTTTTAACCCAGTTCCAATTTTTCTGAAGACTTCTTATCCTTGAGATCTCCTCTTTCAAAAAGTAGCAAAATCTCGGCATTTATAAAACCACCCCCACCCCCACCCAAATCCACCCCACCCCCACGTAAATCCACCCCCACCCCCATCAAATCCACCCCCACCCCCACCCAAATCCACCCCCACCCCCACCTAAATCCACCCCCACCCCCATCCAATCCACCAAATGAGGAGTAAATTAAATAAAACTTGTATCACTGGTTGGTTGAATTTTTCATATATTGTTAAAAATCTGGTAGAGTCACATATCTATTTATGTATGTATACTCCACCGGTATTAATTTTGTAATAGCTTGTTACCGCACTGGTAATAGTTTGTTTCTGAGTGATAGAGAGCCCGTACTATATAGTGGCGATGGGAAACTTTCACCTGCAAATGGTCATAACATGATTCTAAAAGTCTCAAATTTTGGTATAATATGTTAAATACATCTGATACTGCACCCCAAAAATTTCATAAGTTTTCATTGAAAGAAAAATTTCGTACGCCATTTCAAAGCGACGAACTCGCGAAACGAGTTTTTTGTAAGTACCAGAATTTGGTTTACAAAGACTCGTGGAAAGCTCGACTACATTTCAACAGTCAAGGGCGTGGGCGTGCAAAAATTAAGACATACATAAAAAATTGTGTAGAATCCGAAAATGTCAACTTCAAAAACGCACCATGAGGAAAAACCATCATAATGACCCCTTAAAAGTTAAAAACGATTGAATTCATTTTTGGGAAATGTTGCTCCACGTCCATGCCTGATACGGCCGAAGTGTTAAAGATAAATCCAAACTACTTTTATCATGTTAAGGCCCATTAATTGTGGGTCAAATTGTGTGCAAAAATATCTGCACAAAAACATACGGAAGGTCGAGAACAAATGGTAAACACAAGACCTCCCAAACTTAAAAATAAAATTTTACCAAACAAATTGGTCAATGACGACGAGTCCTACGTCCTTAAAACCGTGCCAGAAACTCCGGGAAGGGATTTTTTCATGGCAAATATATCTCTCAAGTGAAAACCTAAGAGAAATTAAAATGTTGTTAAAAATTTCTCACGAAATTTCCGATTTGACTGGCGTCAAAATGCATGGTGATTTGATGGCAGTTTGACTTTTCAAAAATGGAAACCTTCCAAATGTCCCTTATCTTCGCCCCCTCGATACATTTTGGACTCTATGTAAGCAGTAATACTCCATGCTTTGTGAAACAGTCGACATTTTAAAAAAATTTCGGTTCCGGTGGGAAAAAATTAGCAATGAAGTTGCAAAGTCCTCCGGACGGCTAAATTGGCGGACGTGACTAAAAAGACTAAATACAAAGTGGATAACGGATTAAAGTCTCCTTTGTTTGCGGATATATTACGTCAGATGTATTTAACATATTATACCAAAATTTGAGACTTTTAGATTCATTTTTTGACCGTTTTTTGGTCAAAGTTCCCCATCGCCACTATATAGTACGGGCAGTCTAAGTTTAAACTTATCACTCAATGAGAACGAGAATGAGAATTCTCATTACTGCAGATGCACGGTAATGCCCGTTATTACCCCATGCACAATTGCACGTGGAGTCATGCACATAAGTTCTAAATACGTTGAAGATTTTCAAAATTAAAATTGTAAGCTTTTTTTTGAACTCCCAGAAATTTAGAGTATAAATTCCAATGAAATAAAAAAAATTAAAAGTATCATTTTTTGGCCGACTCAACGGGTCGGCAAGTCATCTGCAACACTATTTATGTAAGTACCTCTGGGAATAGGGGTCTTCCAAAATGAGCTTAAATCTTGGATCCGCATGCATAATCCTTTTCCTAATGTATTCCCCAGATTTGTAATCGTTTAGCGTTTCTATCATTTGGAAGAGCGGTTGGAGAAGGTGGTTCCCAATTATGCGGTACGTTAGCACCTCCAGGGTCAACCTTGCTTCGTGGAAGAATTGCGAAATTGGGACGCAGAAATATTTCACCGGCTTGCCTTCAGCAATTCCATTTTTAATAAATGCAAAAACCTCGTCGACACTTTCGAATTTCTTTGACCCAGGAAAATGTGACGATTCCGCGTTGATTTGAATGTCCACCTTGTCCGGGGGCGATTTACATAGGGTCGACAGCCCCGCCTCTACGGCACTACTTATTGGCCCAATTACCAACGAACCCAGGCCAGATGCTGTCCTGTTGTTGAGCTTGGTAGATTTGGAGGTCTCGATGGTGATGTCGGCGACAAAATGGGCTCCCAAAGTGACCTCTGTGACGACGTGGGTCGCACTTGCGGACCGATTTTGACCTGTGCAAGCATGTTTAGAATTTAGTACTTAAAAAGCTTTAGTTGAAAATAGTTGAAATACACCCTCTAACAAATAATAGAGGTCTCCCAGCATATGTTCTCAGATTTTGAGCATACTAGAGTCAATCGATGACAAATATAATTAGTATGAAATTTACAAACGGCACGATCTCCCACTGGGCACGTTGGGCAGAGATATTTGCATCGGAAGTGGAGAAAACGCGCAGTAAATTTGGAAAGTGTAAAATTTATCGGCTTTTGGGGGTGCGTTTTCTCCTCTTCGGATGCAAATATCTATGCCAAACGTGTTTATTGGGAGATCGTGTCTTTTGCAAATTTCATTTTATTTAATTCGGCATTTAATTTAATTGACACTAGTTTGGTCAAAATCTGAGAGCAAACGCTGGGGGACCTCCATTATAAAATTGTGTAAACTATATTTCCGGTTGAGTAAAATCGAGGATATGAAATTTCGCGCTATACAATCCTCTATTTTGAGTATATTTTATACAATTTAATAATTTGCGTATGTACATATGTATAAATTAAGAAAGTCAAAGTTGTCACATGCCTTCATCCCAAATCTCGCTATATGTCTGCCTTGCTTCCTCCGTGAGCAAAATCCTCTTAACGTTGTCCTCCCGGTAGTAGTAAATTTGCAAATGTTCCTTCACCAGCTCCGTCTGGTGTTCCGTCTTATACTGCGCTTTCCCCACGTTGATCACCAAACCGAAAAATGTCTTCATCTCGAGGCCAAGTCCGACCGAGAGCGTCATCCTCTTCGTCGTCGTGTCCTTTATGTGTTTCAGTTCGTAGTCTAACGTTTGCACGGGAAAGTTCTGCTCAACGGTGGGAATTTTGTCAAAATTTCCGAGCACTTCTGGCAAAACCACGGCCACCGATGATCGACAGTCCCAACCGGAAAGGAGGCTGAAATTGGGTGAAGCTTCGTCATCTAGGGCGGGCACGACTACCGGAAGTTCTTCCACGAAGGGCATTTTTTCTGGGTTAATAAGTTGACGAAATTCGCAAATTATGTAGATTAGTCGTCCTACTCGAATGATTGTTTGTGTAAGAGTGAAATACAGGCTGGAGTTGGGATGAGTTTTATCAGCTTTTGTTACCAGGTGTAGGTGCGGAAGAATTCTTCATAATTTTATTTTTTTGCATATTGTGGTTTGTACTGGGTAAAAATTTCAAAATTTCAATTGGTGGGGATTAGATTTATGTATGTACAAATATGTATGAATAGCATACCAATTGGTATGTGTGTGCATGTGAATTTTCTCCATACAGATCACTAGAGGGAGGATATGCATGCGAAAAATGGATGAAATGTATTTGATTTAAAAAAAAACAGTAAAATATTAAATGTACAGAAAATCATAAAAATATGAATTTTCCCAAAATGTTTATTGTTTGTGGTTATGAAATATAAAATACTTATTTTGTAAAAAAAAATATATAAAAGATTTACGTATTTTCAACATAGCAAGTCTGCAAATCTACAAATACATATATAAAAAAATATTTTTGAAATTTTTATGATCTATTTATAAGGACACGCACACAAAGCTGTCGTCATTAAACAAAAAGTTGAAAATAAATACATCCATATCTGTCTATTCCTTACAAGTTGCGTTTCTTAACACAATTTCAAAGCATAGATGTATCATAAAAATTTAAAATTTTCAATTCGTCCGTTGAACATAATTTTCAAATTGCATCAAACAAACCTATGGAATGGAACATATTACATAAAAGTACATGTTCCCCCAGCTGAAAAAAAAATTCCCCAAGTTCACATTGGACATTAAACCTCATCAAAGAGCAAGGCCACATCCTTGAATTAGACCATTGTTTACTGTTTACGTAAGCACGTAAATACACAACATTCGCCGCGTGTCAAGTGCATATTGCTTAATTGTATCTAAAATTACCAGAAATAAGCTCGGGTGACATTTACACGACAAATTTGCATGTTTATGTCCACAAGTGTTTCATGTACTTGACAAATTATGTGAATCCGAAGATAAGTGATTGATTAATTAATTATTTCAGACTCCTCATCCGAGTATGTAAACAAAAATTAGTATTCATTACGAGTTCGTATTCCAAAAATATTTTGCGAACTGGAAGTCCACAAGTTTTTGTGAATTTCCGACCTCGTTTTTTGCTAATGATGCGAACGCGTAATGAATACCTTTAATATTGTTCAAAATTTGCTTTAGCTTGAAAATTCATTTCCGAATTTGTCTACCTCGAAGGCTAGAGGGACTTCAAAATTATATCTAGAATATGCGGACTCGTAATGAACACCTCTAAAATTCGCAAAAAACTTTTTTATGAAAATTTATTTGCGAACTTGCGCTCATTTCGTTCGCAAAACAAATTCAAAAATAATGTTGGAAGTGCGAGCTCGAAATGAATACCCCCTTCATATTTTTAGGCGACTGCAGGAAATACTTTCTCTGTAAAGACGGGACATACTGGGGCGAACGACAATGCGGATCTGGGATTTTATTCGACTTTTTCGACAAACAATGTAAACCTGCCCCGGAAGCGATATGTGCGCCAGGTGCGACCACACCCACCACAGCGCCACTCACGTCAACAACCCCACAACCTGCGCCTTGTCCGCCGACGGGAGACGTCAAAATTCCTCATCAATGTAAATGACCATAAATACACGTAATTAATTAAATATATACACCGTTAGAAATCTGGTATAATCAGACAGGTGTTGATTAAGTTGCTACCACTTGGTATTAAACATTACCGGTCAGAAAAAATTTGCTACCAAAATGGTGAAACTTTAATACCGTAGTACTTATCAATACCACTTTGAAAGCGTCATATATGAATACCGCTTGGTATTATTTTAATGCCGGATTTGTAAGCGTGTAGAAATCTGGTACGGTCACGCAGGTATTGATTTCTCGGTATTAAAATTGCCACCGCTTGGTATTGAAATTTACTACCGATATACTTAAAATTTTAAACAGTAAAACTTTAATCCCGAGCTATTACTACACGGTATTACTTATCAACACCACTTTGGTAGAGTCGTATATGAATACCGCTTGGTATCATTTTAATACTGGATTTCTAACAGTGTATCTGTAATTTGGGAATATTAACCCAAGTTTATCATTTAAATATATTTTAGCGGATTGTCGCAAATTTTACTACTGCGTTAACGGAAACGGATACGAAACCCGGTGTGAGGAGGGCACGCTTTTCGATTTTTTTGAAAGATTATGCCTCCCCACGGAAATGGCGAGATGTTCCCAGGGAGCCACGACGCCACTTCCGGTAACCTGCTTACCGGATGGAACTACATATTATGAACCTCATCCAAGTAAGGGAAAACTGTACAAATATATGTAATGCGAGTATTCCCGTCAACCTTGTAAACACCGGAAAGCTCTCTTTGCAACAAATATTCGCAATGTTTGCGAATTATGTCGTCAACTATTTTTCGCAAAAACGTCATTTTATTCCTATTCATTTTTGTATTTTCATTTAAAGTAATTCCTTCTTGATACTGCTTTCGCAAACGCCACAAAGTTGCAAAGATGTGCTGCGAAGCGGTGTTTTTGGGTACCCACAATAATCATTTCCAAAAATTACAAATCTTCACATTGAAACTTAAATTGACGTTGTCGTTCCTTTAGGCGACTGTCGAAGATACATAATGTGCATTAATGGACAAATTGACGACCGTCTTTGTCCAAACAATTACTTGTTCGACCACGTGGACAAGACGTGCAAACCAGGACCGGAAGCTCGATGTGCTCCTGGAGCCACGACACCTTCCCCGATCCAACCAACCACACCCAACCCGATCTCGTGTCCGCCACAGGGAGTATTTAAGTTGCCTCACCCATGTGAGATACACTTATCTCATAATCACTTGTCTTATCTTTCCACTCACACTGCAGGTCTCCCAGCGTATGCTATCTGATTTTGAGCAAATTAATGTCAATCGATGACAAATTTAATTCGTATGAAATTTGCGAAAGACACGATCTCCCAATGGGCACGTTAGGCAGAGATATTTGTATCCAAAGAGGAGAAAATGCGCCCCCAAAAGCCGATAAATTTTTCTAAAATTACTCTTTGGATGCAGATATCTCTGCCAAACGTACCCATTGGGAGATCGTGTCTTTTGCAAATTTCGTTCTAATTAAATTTGTGTTCGAGTAACACTAATTTGCTCAAAATCTTAGAGCATTCGCTGGGAGACCTCTTTTGTAAGCAATTTCACCACGCGTAATCTAATCTTCTTCATAACTTTTTTAGATGACTGTCGCAAATTCTATTACTGTCTTGAGGGGTCCTCGTTTCTAGAGACTTGCAGCACGGGATTTTTATTCGATAGAATATTACTAAACTGTGTCTCTGCAGAAAATGCAATTTGTTTCCCCAGCGCTACAACGGAAACCACCACACCCACAACGACGGAGCCCACGACACCCACAACGACGGAGCCCACGACAACGACACCCACAACGACAGAGGCAACGACTACAAGCCCCACCACAACAACGCTTCGTCCCACGACGACGACGTTTTCTCCTCCGGAAATCGTTTGTCCGGAAGAAGGGCGATCTCTTTTCCCTCATCCATGTATGCAAATATTTTACTTCAGGATGGGCAAAATACTGTATCAAAATATTTACTAAATTTTGAGCTCCGTTCTTCACGCCCCAAAAAATACGAGAATCTACGAGGAGAATAGCACAGTCATGCAAAAATACAGGTTTTGTGAAGAAAAAACTTTTTATCGCTGTCAAAATGTCACGATTTTTTACATAGAAAGTATTTTGACAGTCATAAGAAATTTCTTCACAAAACCTGTATTTTTTGCATGCATTCTCCACGTAGATTCTCGTCTTTTTGTTGGTGCAAGGGAAGAACGGAGCTCAAAATCCTGTATTTTGACAAAGTATTTTGACTATATATTCCATGATATTTTCATGTTTTAATTAATAATCTAATCTCATTTCGCAGATGATTGTACGCAATATTATGAATGTCTCAACGGCGTATCAATACTTAAGAAGTGCGTATATTATAATGAAATTTTTGACTACATTTCTCTTCAGTGTGTACTCAAACAAGGTTCTGGGGCTGGGTTTTGTTATCCGGGGGCAACAATGCCTCCTCCACCTTTTGGGGGTGGGACCAAGACTATAATTAGTGTACATGTTATGTTAACCGTTATTATTTTAGGTATAGTTTTGGCAAATTAAAAATATCGTTTGTTATAATCTCAATATTTAATATCTAATAAATCAAGTTTATTTCACTACTTAACCTATTAATGCTACCAAATTACACACATTTGTGTAGAAAAAAATTATCCTATAAATGCTGTACAATTTTTAGGAATATAACTTTTCGCACCAATTGCATATTTACGTAATGAGTAATAATAATAACAATATTCAACATCCGTCTATTTTTTAGTGCAAAAGTTATAATGTATTTCCCCACTTCCAAATACCTAAATCTCAAAAGGTGTGCTTTGCTCGGACTTTCATAAAACAGAAGCCTTTTCGATTACATGTTTTATTACGATTCGATTTACAAAATTGCCTTCACAATATTACAAGCATTACCATTACTTATGTTAAAATAGAACACATACGTAATCTGCAATATATGTAAATATGTAAATATTGTATCCTTTTTACTGAATATTTCGAAATACGATTAAATCTACCTGATCTAGACGCCGACTATTTATTTCAGAAGGCTTGTCTCAAGGACAAGTTTGACACGTTCTCAGAGCAATTTTATTGACCACATGCATTAAAATAGGTATCACAGAAGCCTCGCAATTTTAAATTATCCAAAACGGTTATCGAGTTTTTTAGGCACACCATTTTTACACATAAACGCCATTGAAATGCATGGTTAATTACTTGACAATTAAAATTAATATATACATATGTACTTAACTATCGCATAATAAAATATAATTGATTGAACGTTGAACATCTACTAACGAACATGCATATTGTATATGTGTAAGTACGTATATTTACTTGGATATGCGCCATACACACGTTTGTTCATGACTACATATCTGTATCTCTACTGTGCTGGCGTACTTGTAGCTGGGTCGTGTCATTGAGATGAATTATGTAATTTGTAAATTGGTTGGATAAAATTAGTAGCGATAGTTCAGAGTCGACCATTCCAGCAGCAGCAGAGCAGGGGAAGACATAAGCCCCCCCAGAAATAATTAAGCTCATAAAACGGTAAATCCACTATGTACATTATTTCAATTTATTTTTAGTTGAACCTCTCTGCAACAATACTACATCTTGTTAACCAAGATTATTTGACACTACTTAAATACTTAGTTTAAAGCAAAACTACTTAAATACTTATCAAGCATTCGTGCTTATTATCTATTCACCTTCCACTCTTCACCACACAACTCTACATATTTCTCTTTTTGAGATATATGTAAACTAATTGACTTAAGTTGTGCACACAAGATTCACAATTGGGTCAAAAAGGTGCACTTCTAAAAATCTGGTGGAATCATATAATATGTGACTCCACGACGGAGTACATACTACATATGTACTCCGTATCCGTACTGGTATTAATTTAGTAATAACTCCTTACCAGATTGGTAGTAGTTTGTCTCCGAGTAGTAAATTTTTCATTACCACGACATTAATAAATGCTAATTCTCGTTATTACCAATACCGGTAGAGTCATATGTACTCCAGTCACTAATTAATTATTTAATACCAATTTTCTAAAAATATACAAACTAAGCTATAATCACGACAAAATATGTCGTCCTCTCTTCCAGTTACTTCCTGATCAAGATGTATCTTCGGGGCAGCTCGGAGAGATGCCTCTTGAACGATATCGACACAGAAAAACAGCTCCAAGAATTACTGCCTTTGCTACAAAAGAGCATTAAAGAAATAAAAAATGCAAACGCTCCTCCTACGACCACCGCCACCACTTCAGGACAAGGACTTTTGCTGACTTCTCTCGGAAATGGACCACCAATCTGCATTCTTCCATCCGGTGTTGGGCTTATTGATACTAAACAATCCAACCCCACAACCAGCGTGGTGACGGATTTCGTTCAAATTCAAAATTTCAATTCGGTTTTCGATAACTGGCTCAAAATTCGTGACAAGCGTGCTAAAAATGTAGCTGACACATTGGCTGGACTTCAGGCCGTCAAGGATGGTGATATTTATTATATAATAATGGGGGTATTCATTACATTTTCGGCTCCCAACATAATTTAGGACAAAAATTGCCAACAAATTACTAGCTTTAATTGGAGATGGGGAAGTTCGTAAATGAAATTTTGAGCTAAAATATTTTACAAATTTCCGAACTTTATTTTTTTTATTTTTGCTAGAAACACGAACTCGTAATGAATACCCCCACTGTTTTTTATAACGTTACTATACCAAGGCGAACTCGTAATGAATACCCCGAATGAGATTTTGTGGTTAATGGTTTTTTTGTTACAGCCAGCAATATTGGAAGAAAATCCGGGATGTCGGATATCAGTTCGATAAACTACGGCATTGCGTGCACTCTCTTACCCGGAATTTCGAGTACGAAAGCGGGAAATTTTACAAAACTGTACAACACCCTTTCCAAAAAGGATAAGGATAATGTCCAACTAAGAAAGTCGATTTCGAGCTATGTAAAATATGTTGAAGGATGTCTTACCACGGAAAAGCAAAAACAAAATAGCTGGATGTCCGATTTAAAAAAATTGGGTTCCAGTGCTTCCAAAGAGGTTGGCAGAGCTGTGGCGCTGGTCACAACGAAAGTTAAATCCACCACGCCAAGTCCCCCAGGATGGAAGGAACATCCCGTCATGAAGGCGATTCCTCAAATGACGAAGGACCTCGCCTTCCAGATTCAAGTACAACAAGAATTCCTCACATTCTTTCAAACTGCCGAAAATTTGGAGACATCCAGATTTTATTTCGATGCAGAATATTTTCCTGACTTGGAACCCGTACTGCGACCTCCAAACAGTGACAAGTTCCTGTTTGACTGTCTACTAACATGCGCACCAGAATGGGATAGTTTGGTTGAATCGGTGGAGAAGAATTTGGATTTCAAACATTTAAAAGCCGCAGCAACTACAGATATTAATAAAACTAAAGCAGTCCTTAAACGCGCTGCGGTACAGGCGAGTCTTAAACACGGTACTGAAAAAAGTAAGCTACTAGATTTAGAATGTCTAAATAATTTGAAAGTAAAATATAATAATCTAAATTGAGTATGTTACGCTTATTAAGAACTGAAACTGAATGAGATTAGGGAAGGATTAAACTTCATAATAAACAATGCAAAGGACCGGAAAAATCCTGGCAGAGGGCATCACGTCATAAATAACGATGTGATGACAGGACATTTTATTGGAATATATAAAGAACCGTACAGCGCTACGAATTGATACATTGGAACATATCTATTCTAAAGATCTAGTAGCTGATGACGTAAAAATGCAAAATATTATCAAAAATATGGTGATGAATTTCGAAGAAGGACAGGACTATAACAGTGAAGTTTATGGTTTGTAAGTCGCCATTACTAATTAATTATAAGTGTGTAAAAACCTCTCGATATAGACTTTGACTCATTCTTACCATGCAGGTCTATAAAATGTTAAACTCAGATTATAAATTTATTATGTTCACTACAAAAATACACGTACCAATATTTTTGAGCACGAGACACGAACTTTAAACTGTTTTCCCGCCAAAATTTGGGATTTTCAAAATCTTGGAACTTTATGAATTAAAAAATTCGAAAATGTTTCCCATCCGAAAGACTTATATGACTTAGTAAAAATTCAAATGTCACGAAATTTTAATTCCAGAAGTTTTTTTTCGTTTTTGAAATCCATGCAGGTAATAAAAACAAACCTGTAAATTTTTGCGTTTTTATTAATAGGGCAAAACAACAGCTACTCCTGGGATCGAGAGAGTTCATGGGAAAGGAAAACAGTGGAACAAGGTCAAAGCTATTTGCTCTATGCGGGATTTTTGTAAATCTAGGCAAATTAGTAGACCACCCGGCATACCTTGATCCAGGTGCTTACGAGAAGTGGGTTAAGGCTCATGGTGATGCTAAAGTTGAACATGATCGCAACGTGACAAAGAAGGCCTATTGCCAAACTTGTGAGGCGCACGTGGCTAAATATTTCGGAAGATGTGACAAAAATAATACGGGAGATCACTCCTACACCCTGAGAGACAATACCGTTTTCACAAACCGGCTGACCAAATGGAAAAAACAATTGGACGATATTGAGCGTCAAGCACCTGGTGGAAAGTTGAAGGGTTTCTGGGGTACTATGAATTCAAAAAAGAATGAAATATCCATGTGCAATTTCCCCGATCGATTTTATTTTAATCTGTTTCTTACTAATTAGCTATTAATTGTATATTTAATTCCTTTCTTATCAAAGTTATACAGCTTAGTCCAAATTAAAAAATAATTTGCTATTTAGTTCAAGTCGATTTGTACGAAATTCCCAGAAACTTGGACCATCATGTGCTTGTTCTAAATACGTTGAGTAAGTAAATTTTATGAAAATTTATTTAGTCTGCTGCATCACGAATAAAAAGTCAGACTGGTATTGATTTTTCAAAAGGGATTGTATGCACACCTAATTTTAGTATTTACATACTTAACATGAGTTGAGAGGTATGTAAGTATTTAATAAGATAATTTTACATATGTAAAGCTGACAATGCGCAAGTTTAACTTGAACCCCATTTATTTAAGCATTTTAATATTGAATATTAAATTTAAACTAAAATTATTACAATCATACAGACTAAAGTTATCCACATCAGAGGTCGACGCCGACAAATTTTCGGCGGCGGCGGCGCCAGTTTTTGGTGATTTTTCGGCGGCGTCGGCGGCGCGGCGCGGCGTCGCAATGTTAAAGGAATAGGAAATCAAATTTTTCGGCGGCGGCGGCGCGGAAAAATCATCGGCGTATGGCGGCGCGGCGGCGTCAGATCGGCGGCGTCGACCTCTGATCCACATGTATATAGGGGAAACTAATAAATATGTTTAATATGTCTGTATATATTTAATTGACAAAAGTTAGTATGTAAAATATTTGCATAATGTAATACAATGTGCATTATGTATTTTTAAGATTTTATGATTATGATTATCAATATTATGTAACCATTCATGATGTGCAAAGGCTGTTGGCTATGATGCAATAAATCAATTATTATATAATACAATGTGCATATGGAGTGCTTTCTGAATCTGAATTTGCCATCATTTTTTAATCCATAAATTTCCTTGTCTGTCTGACTTCCTTGATATGTCGATACTTACCAGTAAAGTTAATCGTGAGGCTGAACCATTTCGTAAAAACTGTGACTAGACTCTCAGATAATTAAAATTCCATGAAAATCGGCACGTTACATGTTTGTTCAGATAAATTAAATATTATTCAAACCTGAAATGTGAAAACGTTTCCTTTTTTTACGTATGTACAGTAAAATCCTACGCTAAAAAAATCAAGAAAAAAATGATGCCAAAAATGCCAGTAAATTTTTGCTGAATGTAAATAGGTACTCAAATTCATGATCATTTCACAATTTTCCGTATTTCTCTAAGATTTTGAAAACCAGAAGAATTATGAAATTTTAAAGGAGTCGAATTTTAATGGGGAATGGAACAAGTAAAAGTTTCCTAAAGAAATGTGTGAAAAAATTGCAAAAAAGTCATGCTATTTATATTGCTATTTAAATGCTGCAACGTAATAATTTAATCAGGAAATATTTTACTTGACGGTGACAAAGAGTTCGATTTATTATACTAAACTAACATTTCATCCAATGTATGTACACATGTAAGTATTTTATATTACTTGAAATTATACATTGAAATTAATTAATTAATATGTAATTGATCCACAATTAACCAGCATATTTTCGATACCGTTTTACCCACAATTTCCTCTAAGATACTGTCTAAAATTTATATATACTAATCCTAATTCTAATTCTATATAAACTCTAAAAAACTATACACTTTTTGAACAAAAGTCAAATTATGAGATTCAAATTTTTCTACATTTCGTAATTATTAAAATATTCATTAATTAATTTAATTATAATCTATTTTAATTAATTACATTGAATACTGATGATGTAATTTATGGTGTGTCGGATTATCCTTTAAAGGATCATACTTCCTTACACAAGTTTTAAATATTTTACGTTTTTTTACTCGATAAGAGATAATTTAGCATAATTGAGCTACTTGATCAGATACATAAATGCATTCTAAAATGCATTACGTTGATACATAAGTAATTTAACGAACTAATACATTTTAAATGTATGAGCGATACGTCCGTTTAATTAAATTTAAATATTTTAATACACAATTACATTTATTTAATTAAGCATGACATATATTCTGATAGTTTGTGGGCTTAAATTTCAATATTCTAGTGAAGAAGTAAAGTAATTGGAAGAAAGATAGATAATTATTTAAGATTCTGAAGAAATTTGTGGCAGGAAACTTATGATTGAAATTGATTCAAATTACTTATTGCTGGATTGTTAAAGATTTAAAGGGATATAATGCTTTGTAACCGTGTAAATTTGAACCTCGACAACTTGCGGAAATAGGGTCCATTATTTTTTTCCTAATTTTGTAAAGTTTGTCTTCCCTGGTGTGTAAATTGTGCAAATTTAGAGTATTATTTTATGTACAAGAGTGAGTGGCACCATTAGGACATCGTTTTCCAGGGAATTTTCATTCCAGGAATTTATATAGTTTTACACAATTAATTTTCCAATATTTTTCAGAATTTTATCAGGATTTTTGTGACTTCAACGCATTCTATTACTTAAATAAGTTTAAATTTAACATTCCAGACAAATTTTATTATGTACAGATTTCTTTGCTAAAGCCCAGACTTTTAGTTTGTTTCAAGGATAGTTTTTTTAGCACCGATTTTCTAAGTTATTTGGCTAATTATGTTTTATAATTTATGTTTTAATTATGCGGGGGTTAAATGTAATTAATTAATATGCTAATTAGTTGGGGCTTAGTAGAGTTGGAGGAGGACGATGATGTGCGTCGTGACAATGGAGACGAAGGTGAGAACGGTTCCTTTCTGCATGAGGTAAAAGCCACCAGAGTCGAAGGCCAGCTTTCGGCAACTTTCCAATTTGTGCATGTAGAACTCGTACGCGTACTTTCCTCGAGGAATGTGTCGAAGGCCTGCGGGGAAAGTTAGGTGGAAAAATAGTTAGAAATTTTCAATATTTTTTGTGTGAAGAACCGCTATTGAGGCAATTCACGCAGGGCTTGGCAACTTTGTAAAATCCGTAAACTTACAAACTTTTACCAAATTTTGCAAATATTTCGGAGGCCAAATTAGCTTAAATCTTTTTGTAACTTTACTCAGATCTCTTTATTTTGGAAAAGCTTACAAAATTATTTTACAGAACGCACGGATTTTACAAAGTTACCAATTGTTGCATGAATTGTCTCATTGTTTATTTATGAATTGCAGATTCAGGATATTTGTTAACTGCAAAGTTTTGAAAAATTATTGTGCGAAGCATGTGTAAAAAGTGTGATTTCTGAATAAAACTAGGTTTGTGTAAGTTTACGATAAATTTGTAAACTCTTTTTTTCTTTGTAATGTTGCTAAATATATTTTGTGAAAATATTTGTAGTTTAATAGATTTTATAGAATTCATCTGCGACTGTCTGCGAGACACTTCACGCAACCTGGTGTGACCTGTAAAATAATTTTACAAACTTTTACAAAATAAAAAACGCCCTTGATCAGAATAATGTTACAAAAATGTGTAAGCTACTTTTCCCTCAGAAATATTTCTAAAATTTTGTAAAAGCTTGTAAGTTTACGGATTTTACAATGTTACCAAGGCCTGCATGATTTGCCTCTCTGTAAGTTTATGCCACACTGATTTTCTTTGTAACCTTTACAAATTGAACTTCTCCAAGCAACTCTGTAAGAGTATATCTAGAGTTTATGTACTTGGTGACAAGAATCGAAGTGAATTGTTTCGATCAACGATAGTATTTAATAAACTTAGCACAGAAAAAATTGCAAAGTTTACAAAAATTATGTATCCTACCTTCCATCCATGATTCGACGAAGGTGTGGCTTTGCGCATTGAGTCGTCCCATCGCAGGGAAGAAGACGAAGAGCCGGATGCAATAGTAGAGCGCAATTATGGCGAAAAGAGTGGACCCTTCGACAGGGAGGATTTTCAAGTGGCGAATCGGAGTGTAGAACAAAGTGCACCTAAAGGGGAAAAATTGAATAAATTTCCTAATTTTACAGCAAAAATTCTGAAACACATTTTTGTGCATTTGATCAAATGCAAATTATGAACAACGTTTGGTAATCCCTGGCAGAAATTCTATACATAGCGCAATTCACGGAGTCTTTAGTAACTTTGTAAAATCCGCAAATTTTGTAAAAAAAACTGTTCCAAAATAAAGAGACGCCCTTGATCTGAGTAAACTTACACAAATTTTGGAAGCTAATTTTCCCTTGAAATATTTGTAAAATTCGACAAAAATTTGCAATTTTACGGACTTTATAAAATTACAAAGGGCTGCGCGAACTGAAAAACTTTTACTAAATAAAAAAAACGCCCATGATCTGAGGATCAGTAAAGTTACACAATTTGTAAGCTAATTTACTTTGCAATATTTGTAGAAGCTTGTACATAAGTTTACGGATTTTACAACGTTACAATAGCCTACGTGAATTGCTTCATAAATTGTTACAGGCCGTTAAAAATTGGTACAAATCCAAAAATGTTCACTATTTTAGATCCAATATAAATTCGCATTACTTTATGTCTGCAAAATTTGCATAAACGTTCTTTCCATACTTTCTCCCCCTGAGAAACTTCCTGAATTACAAAGTTTACAAGGTTTTCCCCCTCCCATCAAAAAAATAACCAACAAACTCACATCAACATCATGTAGATACTCTGGTGGGCAAAGACCATCTTGGAGAAAGCATTATTGAGCGAGTCCACCACCGCTTCGACGTCCTTGTACCGATCAAGCGCGTACTGAATGTCAACCACATTCTGCACCACGGACGCAAGATACATGGAATCCTCATCGTACCCGCCTTTCCCGCCACCAGCGTCCGCTTTCGCGCGAGATTCAGTATTCATCGCGCTCAACACTTTCTCCTGCGCTTTGTCCGTGTGACCCGTGTTGAACTGCGGCTTGCTCGGGGGTCCCGATCCAGTCATGCCTTTCCCCTCGAAGGCGGTCTGTTTAAATTTTTAAGAAAAGCGGGACGATATCGCGTATCATGTTAAGGTTCGCGAGACCATGTAAGCATACTTTAAGCGGACAAGGGGTACACATAATTTCTATGTTTTAAACAACGATGGAAATGTGAGCGATTTATACCCAGTTCTTGATGAGCACCTCGTTTAGATGTGGCACGTCACATTGTCCATTCGCCATTACGACGGCGCCACGATAACTCAGCGTTTCGAGACAGTGGACCAATGAGCCGGAGGCGACGACCATGATGACTTCGGTGGCGAAGATGTTAATCCAGATTAGGATGACCATCCAGAGTTGGAAGGCTAAGGGGAGAAAAATTAGGGTTTTTTAGGAAATTTTTTTAAATTAGCGCCAAGCTAAAGGTGCATTTAGATCTAACTGGGTAACGTAGGACTAAATGACTCAACCTTAAAATAAGATCAACATATTTTTAATCAATTCGCCGCTCTGGGAATTTATTTTAAAATTCTGAACGACGAATTTGCAGTCCGTGCGTTGATTAATAGTTTTTTTAGCAAGTTTTGACGAGTTATAGTTTTTCTGAAGGTTTCCTAAACTTGAGATGTCCTCCTTTCTAAAAGTGTCAAAATCTGGAGTGCATATTTTTTAAAAATTGGCAACGACTTGCCCTATAAATTAGTCGTCCAGAATTTTTAAATAAATTCGCAAGGCCGAGAAATGATTAGAAATGTGCTGATTGTGATCAAATGTGGGTCAAAATTTCCTTAGTCATCTAAGGAAATTTTGTCTTATTTGACATTGAATTCACCTCCACACAGATATTTGATCGTTACGTCTTCCCCTTCAATGATTTGGTACAGATATGCCGGAAACTTTGGCATGAACCAGTAGTGCATCGCCATTCCGATGAAGCCAGTAATTCCCATGAGTATGTAGATGGCGGAAGTTCGCTTGCATAGCCTACAAATTTATAGAGTTACATTTTAGAAATTGGGAAAAAAACTAAATCAAAATTTTTATATATTATTCGAAATCATTTAATTACCGATTTTGTGCCGCATGACACGCAGACATTGTCGGTAGAGGGCCGCTCGGCATATTACCGAGACCACGGAGACTAGAACCTGCATAATAAAATATCGATTAGTTTCACAATACCCTAAGAAATTTTAGAATATACAAAAAATTCGTTCAAAAAAATTTGGACAAAAATCCTTAAATTTGTCTAAGTTCAAATTTTGTTTTTGCACTATTAAACAAACTTTGCCAGATAACCTCTCAGATTTTTTTGCCTCCATTTTTTTTCTTAGCCAACAATAGCCTTACCGATCACGGTCCGTTCCAGTTGACACCAGACGTCGACACTGTTCGCAATCTTGTCCTCATTTCTGAGCGAGTAGACCTGATTGGCGAATGGGATTCCCATTGCGAACATCCAGCAGAGTTGGGCGATGACGTTGATGGGGTCGGGCTCGTACTGGATGGTCAACGCTAGCTGGACGGCTTGAAAGGCGGCGCCGAACGAGGTCCCGATGTAGTTGATGTAGTACAACCACTTCCACAAACCGTCCCTGTAGTGACCGACCTATGGGAGCGAAAGGGTTATCTTACAGGGTTTTCATGATAACATGACATTTGGTGGTTGAATTTTCGACATTTTGCTTATCGATCGGGAGAAATTTTTGATAAGCATTTCACGAAAATATTTGTGGATAGCTGCGTAAATCGCGTAATTTTTGGCCAGCTGTACAAGTTTCTAAGACTAATTCGCGTCACAGGTTTTGCATGGTAATATTTGTGACTTGAATTTTCAACATGATTTCATCTGAATTCTGCTTATCGATCAAGAGAAATTGATCAAAAGTATTTCGCTAAAATATTTGTAACTGCGTAAACCTTACAATTTTGATAATGTATAGAAATTCCTAAGACTAATTCGCATTATTTACAAAATGTGCAGACTTTTGAAACCGTTTAACAATCATTTTGTGAAAATGCTTTACTCTCAATCAAGCAACAGCATCTCGAATGTTTCTAAGTTGGCGGTAATTTTATAGCGTTACGAACATCGCAGTGAATCATATTCTCTTTGCTAACTTGGCATCGGTACTTGTACACATTACACAATAATTTCCAATAATTTTCCTATTGTATTTCTTCTTAATTTAATTACCTTCTGCGCATTTCCTTCCACTCGGTACGGAAACGCTCCAAAGGTCCTCAACAATTTGAAATAGTATTTATAAATCCCAAACCCAGAATCGTCCATGGCACCGAGATCTCTTATCACTCCTATACACGATGATTACTTATCAGCAGATAACTCCTTATCGTCCCGAGTCACGACTGGAATTATACATTTTCAAAAACTTAATCAATTTCAAAATTTCCAACAATTCCTTCCCCCCGATGCGTTAGTTCCGGTCCAAGGTTCCCGTTATACTGACGTGTCTCGTCCGAATTTCGTCCCTGCTCCGAATTTCACATATTTGCTTACCTAATATTCAAATGGCGTCGTCGTGGTCGTCGTCATAACGGGAGCAGCAAAAGGCGGGCCGACCTCTGAATATTTGATAAGTTTGGCTTTAATATCATCCATGGGTAAGGGAGAAATCGACGCAAAATAAAAAGCAAACCCGTGGCGGATGAATGTCAAATGTGAGTCAAACAATAAGCGAAAGCCGATAAATCAATGAATAACTGGCTGGGATGAAATCAACCATTTATTCCCTAATTTCAAGGCTGCCACGTTATTTTCTTGGTTTGATTGACTTTCATTAAATGGAGAAATGGGGGGAGCAAAAGCGTCTTTAAGTATGATGAATATGAATACGAATACAAACAGGGGTGGTTTAGGTGGACAGGACACAACACAACACAATACCCGGGTATTACCCGGGAGTGGACTAGAGCGGAGGTATGTATGGTATGCATATTTGATACGCCCGGGTTTAATTAGGCTGTATTATTCGGGTTTTATGTATAGGTACGTGGGAGAGAGGAAAGGGTGAAATTATTGATGGATTGAATTTATTGAAAGAAAGTAGCGATAAATTCGGATTTTCTTCGGAATTCGGTTTTGAGTAGGTAAATTTTTATGAGAATTTGTTTTGGTCGGGGACATAACAATTTTTTTAAATTAAAAAACTGAGACGAAGTGCATTCGAATTTTGAACACATTTCATCACAGTTTTTTTAAGTGGTCAAAAAAATTCGGATTTTGGTCGGTTTTCGGGTTTCTTTAAATTTTCAGGAGAATTGGTCATGGTCGTGGACATACAAACATCAATATTTTTTAATGCATTGCGTCACAGCTTTTTTTAATTTGCGAAAAAAAAATCGGATTTTTTTCGGTTTTCAGTAGTAGTTAAATTTTTACGAGAGTTTGTCGTGGTCGTGGTCGTATAGACATGAATATATTTTTTTATGGGTTGCATCACAGCTTTTTGTCCTTTCATTGATTAATTTTCGGATTTTAGTCGGTTTTCTGTTTTCAATATTGAATTTTTACGAGAATTTGTCGTGGTCGCGGACATAAATATATTTTTTATTGGCTTTCATTACATGCTTTTTTATGCTTTCATTGATTAATTTTGGGGTGAAGAAGATGTCACAATTTGTGTTTCAGTCAGAAGAAGAAAGAAATTATTGAATGTTATTATGCGTTTTTTTAGGCAATGTGAAGTTAATAAGGTGGACAATTTTGGGTGCTATTCTACCGGAGTAAATGAACTGATACCCGGGTATTCTTGCAATGCAGAGTAAAATGCCAGTCTGTTTGAATATTCATTTAATTGCTTGGGTGGTTGAAGAGTGGATCAATTAATTGACTTTTGGCAGGAATGGGGTTCATAACATTTTAGCGTGGTGGGTATGCAAATTAGGCGGTGTAATAATAACGAATGTGCATATAGCTTCAGTGAAAGCAAGCAAGTATTGCCATAATTTCACAAAATATCTACAATACGAGCCAAATACCATAATTTCTGCAAAAGCGAGAACTATTTTCATCCTTCGACTGAATTGTCTGACCTGTTTTATGTACTTGTTGTTTTTGCAAAATTGCTGGTGTCGTTTAGGTAAAATTCATTTCATTTGGTTGGTAGTTCTGATGTGCATACGTATTATTTTTATACGAAAACAGTGGCCGCGGATGCCGTGGGGACATTTGGGGACATTAACATTGTAGGATAGGGGAGGGGGCGGGGGTTAATATAACATGGGGACATCGGACAACCGTGGGGACATTATTGTCCCTCTGTCCCCACCCACGCTTCCGCAGCCACTGGATGTATGTACCCAAGCAAATTGGAAACTATGAGGTTTGACATTAAACAACAAAAATGGTTACGGCTATTGTTTTGTTGAATTATTCAGGGGTGAAAGTATGTATGTCCACGTCGGCTTAAAACTGTTCCAAGAATTATTTTCTGGCGAGATGTTTGTTCCCGATAAATAAATAAATTGGATGTAAAATATAGGTAAAATATTGGTAAACAGGAATTATATGTATGAAAATATTGGTAAATCGGAATTACATGAATTGTTTTTGTAAATATGTAAGTAGATTTCAAGATCAAAGAGGCAGAAGAAAAAGTAGCTGAATTTATGAATATTTGTTTTTCGACGTGGGCTGGGTAATAAGGATCAAGATTCATTGATTGATTAATTGATTAAATAATTAATTAATATGATGTTGGGGGAATATTAAAATTTCGGTTTGGCAGGGAGAGGATCAGGTACCTTACTTAATAATGTAATCGATCGACCTTACGTTGTGACGAGTATCAAATCAACGGTGCCAAAAAGTGATCGGATTAGCTTCAATCAGTTCACAGGTTGATGAACACGATAAAATCGGATTAGATTGGATTCATTAAGATTGATAAATGACGATGAATTGATAAGCTACGGTGTCGATATGAAAGTTAGCAATTGATTGATTTTCGTAATTTTATTATGCACAAAGTCAGACAGGGCAAAGGATGCATGATTTGCTTGCATGCACATTTCGCGATAAATACAAGAGCAAGTTGAGTTACGAAATTTATGATGGAATAGACAATTTCAGATGTCTATAAAAAATGAAATAAAAATTGGTAAAATAAACAATATATGAATTAATAATATTTAAATTAATAATACATAAAATCATGATTTTATTTATTAAATAAAAATATGGCATAGGACATTGGGAATTGATTTTTATTTTCTTTTTCGCACTTTTATCCACATTTTTGCATGCAGATTTTTAATATTTACATAGCTTGAAGCTGGATAGTTTGTTAACAATGTCGCCTCTTGAATGAGTGAGTGATGTTCCAAATAAATGTCAAATGTGTGTAAAGAATTTGATGCTACTCAATAAATTATAAAACTGACCAGTTATGTAAATGACGCCAATGTAATAAATATACTTGACCTTTTTATTTCATTAAATAGTGTAAGTGACGTATGCATAATATAAGCACAGATATACAAATGTTTCAAAATTTCATGACGTAGGTAGCTGGGCATGTACGTATATACGTTGTATTTATATAGTGATTGTTTTATTAAAATAGTGATGACCTGCACCGACTATTCATTAATTACTGGTTATTTAGAATAATGCATACATTATTCTCCAAAGGACTTATGTAAATTACATACTTTTAACATCCCAAGTAAAATATAAACGTCACTATTGTACGTAGGCACCTGTTTTTGTACGTATTTTTTCTTTAAAACTCACGATAGTGCTCGCATGCCACAAAAAATGACACAGTTCCTGTCTGACTACTTTACAAGTTCCGTGGATGAACTAATTAAGGACATAAATAGGTTGACTAACCAAAAACTTAATAATAATGTGCGAAAATATATACCCATCATAGTTAAAAAGTCAGCGAAACTATAATTAAGTTAAAACCGACTCGATCATTATCATGTATAGTTGCACTAGTTAGTTACTTAATAAAATAATAATCTCTCGTTAATCATCCCTTAAATAAATAATTACTTATCCGTAATTAGTAAAAAAAGCAGTAATTAATAATTAATTAAATCCGAGTTAACGTATGTACGTAGCTGCTGCGATTCAGTTATTTATGTATCAGGGTCCAGATCCAGTCCGAAAACGTAACCATTATTATTCAACTCGTATCCAGACGAGGTTTGATTTCATTAAAAAACGGTGGGGTTCTTAGAGTCCAATTTCTAATTTCCTTTTCTTACTTAAGTCCCAAACTGTGGATAAGTTGTTCATAAAGGGTCCATGACATTGCTGCGATCAACGTTCTTCTTATCATCCTGGGCATGATTCCTTTAAAATATCCTTGGATTCCGTACCTCTGTCGAGACAAAATTAAAAACGGGTTAGATTTTGAAACCGGAAATATGCAAAACTGAATAAATTATTCACTTCCTGTTTTACACATACCTGGAATACGTACGGAACCACATGCCTCACCGAAGTAAACTTGTCCGGGTAGAGTTGCATCTTTGTCTTGATAACGTCGAAGGGTTGCGTGACCAGCGAAGCACCCACGCCAGCCACGATCCCAGCGGAAAAGCGGACATACGGACCAAACGTGGGGTCGGACATCCACTCGGGACCGATAGCCTGTCATGAATAATCTTAATTAGTGTCCATATAATCCAAACCGGAAGTGCTCTTTAATATGCATGACATACCTTCTTGGTGGAAGTGTACATCATGAGATAAAGCCCGGAGAAGGGAGCGTCCCTCAAAAGCGTCGGGACCAGACCACACGTAAGTCCGCGGACCCCTTCTTGCGCATAAATGCACCTCCAGGCTTCTCGAATACTAGAATATTGGTAGACTTTACTCTGCAAGGAAATCAACAAAGATACCATTAATTTGGTCAATTTACGTCATGTCTTTATGTCAACGACGAAGAAAAGTGACACAACTTGACAACAACCAAATTCCAGTGAATAAAATATGACTGCTCTGCAATAAATCGTGGTTTATCTTTCAGCTTGCCGTTACTTAATCAATGGTCATTTGACTCGACTCGATACCACATTTTATTTTACGAGGGGGTGGGGTGACATCATAAAAATTTGCATAATGGCAGCTCAGTCGTGCCAGGTCCCATGTAGGAATCGTGATCTCTGTTCATTTACATCCTTAGTTTGGGACATGAATTGGCGAGTGAGAGATAAAGCCACCACCAAACATCTGTCTGTTCTGTGCAGCTAGCTAACTGCATGGGTCAGAAAGGGCACGAGTCATATTTATCAGGGTTGCGAATCATGTCCAAATAAAAGCAATGTTTCAGCTCGGACCAAGTAAGTCAAACAGAGGAATTGTTAACGTAAGTAAAAGAAATGGAAATAATTAATTATTTCGTTCGTGTTCGACTTAATTTTTTTTGTGCTAATTTACACAAGTAACAAATTCTACGTAGGACGTTTCGTTTCGTAACTCATGCTCTGATCTCACCTCGAACCTCGTTTTGATCACGGTGAACGGGATCATCAACACGCCGCTGAAGGAGCGTCCCGTCATCCCCAAAAGGAGTGACTCCATGGCTGTAGGCTCGCCCGTAATGTTAAAGGCGCCCTTAAGACCGTGAATCGTGGCGAAGTATAGTCCCACTCCGGGCACGCATCTGGTCAGCGACTAAGGAAAATAATTATGAAATTAGTTAATGAAATGCAAAGTTAGTTGATAGATGGATAGTTATTAAAATATGTCAAAAGCTGCATATGTCAAATGCTTACCGGAGTCATGCCACGCCACAGCGAGAAGAGATTCTCATTCCGGAGGATTTGTGAGACTATTGAGACCATCGAGATGGGTGTGGTCGCGGCCGAAAAGGGGACCGTCGGACTATATACAAAGTAGTAAATATACAATTCAAGATGAAGTTTGCAATTATTTGAGTAAATTTTTGGCCAACTTTCATTGGAAATGAGTGAGCTACATACGTAAACTTTGTAATTTTCGTAGAAAATGAGTAATTTATGCTAAAAAATCTCAATTACCTGAAAGATCTGAGTTGTGCTGGGCTGGGCGCTTGCTGAAGTCGCGTCTTTAGCAGATCCAACGGTTGGAAAAGAACGGTCGAACATGTTCCTGATACGGACCCGATGAGAAAAGATTTAAAGATGGGATGCTGTCAAAATCATTTTCAAAAATTAGTACATAAAATTATGTATCAATCAAAAGTATATATAAATATGTCACCAAACTCACAAGAGTGTGCAAGTCCATAAATGAGCCTGACTTTTGTTCGGAGCTTATCGTACTTTGCCCCGTTTCCGCTTGAGAAGAAGACGACGTGGATTTGGATTCCGTGGCTCGACTTGTGTCTGAATATGCGTCGATATTTAAAAATTTAGAATCGCTCGGGTCCGAAGAGAAGAAAGAGTGGTCACTCTTTTTATTAGCTACAGTGGGGGCGCTACAATTAATATCACGATTTTTGCTATCACTCTTGTCACTACTTTGACTATTTGACACTTTCTGAGACGATGACACTTCTTTCTGCTTTGCCGTGAGGAGGATGCTGCTTATCGTGGACGTTGCTGCGGGAGGAGAGGACGACGTAGACTGAGCCGTTTCTTGCAGCATCACCTTCTTTTATTGCGTTCTTTTTTCAGTTAAGTTTTACTAAGTTGAGTAGTAAGTAGCCGTAGCGTAGTAGTTAGTTACGAGTATGGTGGTCATCATCATAATTATCCATCCATCATAAACATCATTTAGCAGCCTGAAATATGGATACACATAAATTTTAGTATGATTTAATTTACTGCATCATAAAATATTATTTATCGTCAACATTTACATTTCTTCCCCATGTTTTCTTATCGGTATTTTGTTATGATTTTATTTTCTATTGATTGTTAATTTACCCTCAGCATCATCAAAGAAGGGACAAATATGCCAAACAAGGAAAGGGCATTCAATCCAGAAATCCATGCATGCAACAGTTACTAATTTACATGCATAGCATTCATTTGCCTTGTTTTGGGTAAGGTTCAACCCTTCCATAAAAATAACACGAGCATATTTATTTACACCCAGAAATTTTTTACTACGTCAAAGAAAGCGACTTTCTGAGCCAAAAAGCAAAAGGATATGAAAAAAGTCGTAAAATGTGCGACCTCTCTGAAAAAAGGTTGAGTTAGATATTTATCTAATGGGAAATGATATGCTCTTCACTAATCCTAAGGGCATGGACTTTAACTTTAGCTTAACAGGACATACATAGACTAACAAAATTATTTTTAAAAAAAGGTTCCATTTCGTGCTGGGGGGACGAGTAAATAGAGTTCTTTACACTTAATGACGATAAATATTATTAAATGCGTTGCAAAGTCCAAGAAAAATGAATGGAAATTTGAAAAAGAAACTGGCTCAAGGTGGTTTCCATTATTTAACCAAGAAAGAACATAAAGTCGACAGTTTTGCGGAGGGGGTTTCTGTATGTGTAAAGTAATTAATTATCATGCTGCTGCTCTGCTGTGGGACATTCTTCAACTGGGCCTAGCCTGTTGCTAACTAACTAATAAATAACTTTGAGGGTGGAAGTGCATCCCATGACATCCCACCCAAACTAACATCATCATCATTAAATGATTGATTGATAACACGACACGAAATCATATGAGAAGGATTACATCATCATCATCATCAGCAGAGGACATAACTTGGTGACAATTTATGATGATGGTCCCATTAAGTAAAAATTAATCGTCGTGTCGCTTCTGACAGTAGTGCGACTGAGACTCTTCTCTTCATCATATCGTCGTCGTGACTGTTGTGTGATAGTGGCCTTGTTTGGGGTTAAAAGGGCACGAGTAAAAAGTAAACTGAAATTTAGGGGTATCCCTCTCATACGAAAGTACGAAAGCAGCACGACAAATAAATAATGTGGCACATCGTACCATTTTTTAAAAATTGTGATTAATATTCTTCTCGTCCGGGTGTTCTTCTTATCTGGAGGGCGATATTGATATTTCACAAGGTGGACGATAGGTTAAAATAGGCTGTAAAATGGAAAAATTTACATAACTTACATAATTTACATAACAAAGGTTAAATAATGCTTAATTTTGATAAATATGTTTCTCTCATACTGTAGAAGTTGTTGTATTGTTGTCAGTTTTTTCATGGTTGTCTGTCCTGCCCCCGTTTTCGGATGGGGTCCCAGATCCGGGGGGTGACGATTGATTGCTATGCAAAAACTGCAGTAGTTCGTGACCTGTTCGAAGTGGACGAGTCGCGGATGGAATCTGACTGAACAGATAAAAATGAATTACATTAAATGAGATAAGATTCATTCCAGTTAAACTAGTCGTTCGTTGTTAGTTTCACTTTCTTTCACAATTTGGCATGATTAATTAGTTTGATCAAGTCGTGCGGTTAGTGAACTGCATTAAATTATCAAGTCAAATTTATGACTGACTTTACCACTTTGCATAAATAAGAATAAATTGCAATTTCAAAAAAACAAGTGAAGTAACGGACGAGAATGACCGGCCTGTCAGATTGGCATATTTTATCGTAAACACGAATCAATCAATTAATTTCGATCCATCCATCCATGCATAATAAAATAAATTAGCATATTTACATACAATCAGGCGAAGGAAGTGCAGAGTTGGAACAGGGGTCGAAAGGTCATCGGGACAAGAAACAAGTGGGCTACAAATGACGAAGAGATGTCGTCGTCGGAGAGATGGTGAATTGGCAGACAACCTGGAGCCAGAAACAAGACGAGAAAATATTTAGTTAAAGAAATAACAGCGTAAAAACATATTTTGTTAAAAGATTACCTTATCGTTGGTTAAATGTTGGGACAAATGTTGCGACAGGTAAATTAAACAAACTAAATACGCTGTAAAAATCAGTCAGGGCTCGAATTTGACACAATTGTCTGATAAGGCGAAAAATATGGAGACACGAATGACGAAATTTTCCGATTTCAAAATTTCCAGCGAGATTTGACTATTTAATGACTATTATATCGTGCAAATACTTAAAGCAAGATTTTCTTTAATATTTAGCACCAATTGACTAAAAATTTCAAAGTTTAACCAAAGTTGGAAGAAATTACGTCGAAAAAATGATGAGTACCGTGCAAATTGCAAACCTGCGGAGATTCGGTTACAATGTTATTGTTGTCCAAGTGCTGAACTGAAACACACTGTGTCTACTGTAAGTTGAGTTCAACACTTGGACAATGTTATTGTGCATTCTGCTCTTGTGCGAATTTCAGTGGTCGTGGTTTTTTGGCATTGGGTGAGACGGGATTCTCGTAATGTATGAATTCGCTTATGTACGTACATACGCATTTAAGAATCGGGCAGACTGGCACGTATGCAAAAGTTCAAGTTATTTTTTAAGGTTCACCTTGAACATCAATATTATGCATTAACTAACTAACTGACTTGTAGTTAGTTACACATGTGATGCCGCTCAGCGTATGTATGAATACAACAACTCGTACAAAAATGTGACATAATTCTGTTGAGCAAGGTTTTCATGAGGTCCATAATTATGCAAATGAGAATGGATAAGTTCTTCTGTGCGTGGATATGTAAGAATCGACTAGAATTTATTATGATTAAAATCCTGAATTACTTATACATTACCTTAAAAATAATTATGTAATGTGGAGAAAGAAATGCTGAGTTATCTTATAAGTAGCTTATCTTGCATGATATAAATATTTAGGGCTATCCACCTACTGTTGACACGTTTTCGTCGCCAGTTTAACGATTTAACTACTATTTGAGCTCTTTCGGCGTGTCTGTTTTGTCACTGAGTTGATCTCCTTTTGTAGGTTTCGTATCGCCGAGCTGGTCTGTGGCGTCGACTCGTTCTCTTCGTGAGGCGACGTGCTCCTCCAGTTCGTCCACGATGGCCAGGTTTTGTGCGAGATTGATGGCGGAGGGTGAGTCGGGGGGATGATGGGCGTGAGGCCAGTTGGGAAACACGGTCTCGCTCTCGGTCCAAATCCCCATTTGTCGCAGGTTTGGGAGGTGCACGTCAGGACCGTGTGTTCCTCCGGAGGAGACGGAAAATGGGGGTGGTTCAGAGGTCGAAGGGAAGGAGGAGGAGGATGATAGCTCTTTGAGACGGTCGGCTTCCTGGAAAGTGAAATAATAATTATTTAACAATCCGAACAGGAAGAAATATTGCGAAACTGATAAAATATTGGATTTCTTAGTTTTAGAAACTTTGATTCTTCGAGGTCATAATTTTACAAACTTGCAGTTAAAAATTGTGATTTTGAGATCATATATTTTTGGTAATAATGTTTTTGAAATTTTGCGATTATTCTGTTGTGTTCATTCCATGCCAAAGGATATGAAAATATTTAACAAACTCAAATCGAAAAACTTATTGCAAAATTTTTAGAATAATTTTGGACATTGTGAGTGATACATATCATCGTTGAATATGCAATTGTCTAAAAGATGACTAACTGGAAAGGCAGGTATGTCTAAGGCGTCCGTCGGTCCGATGGGGGACGTGAGAGTGAAGAGGACTGGGATATCTGAAGCTAGTCGGGGGTTGGTCCGCTCAAGGAAACGAATCCATGAAAGGAGCGAGTCCCGTGACGACGTCCCTGTCGCCACTACGCCCAAAATTATACCATCCTCCTGCTCGTGCACCGAAGGGATCGTTTCCATCATGTAATTTGAATACGAATCGCTGAAGAGCGGCGGCAGCTGGGAAACATCTACATAAACACAAATGCATGTCATAAATATTCCAAACTCGTTACGAGGTCATGTCATGTCAGGTCGGGGTTGCATTTTGTTTGATCTAAGGACGAACTAAATCCTGTATGTTTACAATTTGGAAAAATCCATGCATATATTTCATCTCAAGATTGACCAACATGTTTATTATGACGATTTCTTCTTCTTCACAACAACAACCTCAAAATGTGTCACACCAATTCCATTTATCTTGAATGAATAGGAGGCGTGTCACCACCATTTTTCTTCTGGATTGTGACATCGACACCAACAACATGACTGACATGTGACACTCATTTGCATCATTTATCAGATATCAGCTTAGTTTAATTACCGTCTGGGTCAGTCTTTTTTGGTTCCGGTTTCGGCTTCGGTTCCGCTCTGAGGATAAAGTAATTTATGCAGGTGCGCTGCAGCCAAACTCGGAAGGCCCCTTCGACGTAGATCGGGGTGTGCGCGGGGTGGGCGGCGATAAGGTCACACTGCTCTTGACTTTGTCCGGACACAATCCATGTCAAATCGGTCGCATCGTCCAGCTCGCTCGCCTGCGGAGAATAATTAATCAAAATTTGACCACAGACAAATAGAAATGCCCACAAACATGCACTATTTTCAAATAAACTGAAAACTTTTGCAAGTTTTTAGAATAATTAAATTTCGAAATTTGCCCAGACACAATTCGCATTAGTGAAAAGTCATAATTTTGTCTCTTCAGACCTCATGAACATCAATCTTTGTGGACAGATCGACCGATGTTATTCGTTTAATGGCGATGATGGCAAGATCTTTAGCGTGGTCAGGCAACGGGTCCGGAAGCAGCCAGGGGGACAAATTCTTAAACTTTGGCATCCAGTACAACATGCGGCCCGACTTTCTCATGGGGAAGGATTGCGAGCCAAAGATGTTTATCAGCATTTGCTGCACCTCAGAGTCCGGGATGACGCCTAAAAAACAACAATAATTAATCAATCGATAATATTCCGTATTGATAAAACCATAAAAATACAAATATGAAGATTAAATAATTTGTTGGTTTATCAAGCTTAAAAGTATGTCAAGGTCCAGAGCGTAATTAACGATAAATTACCATGTGACGTGACCATGATGTCGTCATTACATATTCAAACCTTGCCACACGACAATTCATTATAATTAGTGTACATATTTTGCTATAAATAGCGACAAGGGTGTGGAGGTGGTAATAATGATGTCGCCTTCAAGTCTGCCACACGAGTTCCTTGTATTTCTTGTACGGAGTGAAGAGTAGCGAGTGAGGGTCAGAGGTCAGGGACACATCATCATCTTATACATACATTGGAGTTTACTCTTCTGATTGATAATCGATTAATTAAATCTATAAAAAAATTAACACGTTCTGTTATTGATTTCGAGCTGAATAGTGTTCGATGAAAGGATTCTTTTCATGAGAATTTTAGTTCGCAGTGGAATTTGTGCGGTGGGTGCGGTGTCGTACATAGTTCAAATTGATGGAATCGTGACAAAAAATGGTCTAATATTGCGCACTAAATAGGAGTGTGAATTAATTGGTTAGTTAGTCTGTTAGTCATCATCATCATAATTAAAAAGTAATTTACTAATTGGCCTCTTCGAAATATTGACCAACGAGTCTGACCCCTGCCATGACTCGACAACAAACAAGACTACTGTGGAAGTCTATTTTGTCTGCTAACTAAAAGTATAAAAAAAACATGGTCCGGAATTAAATAATATTATTGAGCATCAGATGTTCTGCATTTTCTGCAATGCTGTTGGATAAGCTGAATGAGTGAGTATCTGTACTTCTTATTTTCTAACGATTTCGCATACCTTACCAGACCACCACTGACCTAGGGAAAGACCTCAAATGTGCAAATTGCATCTTATCACGAAAACTACATGGACGAAGAAGGTGATGGAAAGTTTTATAAACTAAGATGACCGACCAAACCCTGACCACGCCACGCCACCAACACGACGATTAACTAAATTTCATCAATCAATTTTAGATTAAAGGTTGTAGTGGAACGGGGGCACGAGCAAAAATTTAGCAAATAATAAACACACAAAATAACAACTTGATTGATTTCTGCTGATTCTGAAAATGAATGATGACTGCTAATTGATTGGGTACATAGTTGCTTGCAATTTGTTTGTGAAGGTACTTTTCCGTGGTGGTGGTGGTGGCGTAATCGTGTCGTAAATAATAAACCTGACTTATGAAATAATTTAGATACTTATCTGTCTACTAACTAATAATTTTGACGATGATATCAACGACGACATTAACGAGTTAAAGAGATCCAGCATTATTTTTCCAGCTTGAAGTCAAGTTATGCAGTTCACAATACCGCTTGTGCTATGTACATAATTTTCCCAAAAAAAGTATACAATTAATTTACACATCTCTTCTCCTCCTGCTCACCGTAATGTTCCATTTGTTCCAAAATATCAATCCCACACTGCTGTTGTTTTGGATAATGCATAAATTCAACTTGGAACATGTTGGACGCAATCATTTTCCCTTTTGGAAATATATCAATGATCTTCTTGTAAGTGTCCTGCCCCACAAAGCAAAAATATGCACATATTAATATGTCAGCAGGACCAATATTTATGTAAACAATAACAATTACGCCAACTCACGAGGTCACGATGCACGCCAAACTTGATCATCTGGTTGAGACAAGCATAAATAAATTCGACGTGACCTCTCAGATGGATATCACGTTGGGAGAAAATCTGAAAATAGGGCACAATTTTAATTTGCATACTTCAGAGCATATTGAAGAAAATTGATGTATAAATGGATACTTCTATGGCCGCATGAAAACTGTCTTTCGTCTTATCGTCAATCTTTTCAAATAGGTCGGTTCGGATCAGATTTTTGTTGACGGAACGAAGCGGTTTGCTCTTCCAGTGCTTGTGACGTTCCTCCTCCACGGGGGGAAGGTCACGCTCGTAACGTTTGACCTGTTTTGCTTCGTCTAAAGGGGAAGGAGTCGTGGCGGGTGTGGTGTCGCGGCGGTGGTCACGGTGAACAACATTTTTTGGCGACGACGACGAGTCTGGAAATGTACAACAGAAAGTTACTTATCTAATAGCATTTTCAGCACTTTAAATGAATGAAATTTCGACAAATTTACCCTCTTTTGATTGTGGCGACGTTTCCTCTCCATCCTCCTCCGACTTTGAACTTGTCACCGTTTTCTTTTGCAGTTTTGACGACGAAGATAACCCCCTCGTCGTAAGATGAGGAGTAAAACTGAATCTGCTGGCGACGGGAACTTTCCTCTTGCTACAGTAACTTGTCGCAGTAACTGAGCGACAATTATGTAACTGCTGGATTAAAATTCGTCGCGAGAGGAGTGTCACGAATAAATTTTCCATTATTGAAATTTTAAAAACAAAACCGGAAACAATTACTGAACCAATTAACGCATTTTATAACAAATTGAATAATATATGAAACAAGGTGACAATTTTATAATAACTCTGCATTTAATGACAATTAAATTGCCGGAATTTCTGAATTTGTAATTTTATGAACTTTTTTCAAAAAGCAGGTGACGAAAAGTGTGGATCATTTGGCTCGCGGTTCTGAATCGATGATGATGATGACTTGGTTTCGCAGAAAGACGAAGAAGGTGAGACGACGAGGAGGAATAAATGACAATTAATTAAAATTTAATATTAACTATTTCCGGTCCGACAAGTTAACAAATAATTAATTTAATTTATATACATTTTAACGACCCAACGAATTTAATTACAAATATGTAATTAATAACGGCGTGAGAGCAAATCTTTTTTAACCAATTAATCCCATTATTTCATATTTATCAAGTTTGACTTTAAAGTTTTACTATAAACTGACATTTAACCGATAAACGCTTATTTGACTGTGTAGTTATCAATTTTTTATTACACTCACCCTACAGCAAAACGGGGAAGATTTTAACTCCGACTTCTTCACAAAGAGGCGACGAATAGTTTTGAAAATGGCGACACAAAACCAACAATTGGCGATAACGTCCCATTCGATGGATGCCCTCGATAATAAATCAGCCCTCAAATTTCGACGTCGCTGCAAAGACGTTCTCCGCGTTCTTGATCCCAAAATAGATTCTCAGCCCAAGAAAAAATCAAACCGAACACCTTTTCAGCCCAAGAGGACTAAATTCTCGAAACTCAACATCCCTTTTGGTGACGACAAGGATGTCGAAAGTTTTGATGAAAAAACCCCCAGTCTCAGTCGTCTCGCCGCGGTGAGCGACAATCTCCACGCGCTGAGCTTACGATTGAACGGAATTTTACTAACGATGGATCCTAAGCCGCCAACTAGTCAAGAATTTTGGAGAGTAACGGTCGAAAATGTGGAACGTAAGGCGTTCTTGCATGATAAAAGATAATGTTGATAAGTAGTTATTTCATATGCTTTGTCTTATCTTTTATCAGCCTTCTTGGGGGACAAGCATTGTCCCGGACATATCCAGTGTCGCTGCAAAAAGATGAATCATTACGGATTTGGACCGTTGCTCTCGGCCGTGGCGAATTCGCGTAAGACTGCGCCCAATGCATCGCTCAAGTTGCAAATGACGAAGGACAATTTGTTGAACAAAATCGACATTCCAACCATGACACGGGAAATGGAAGCACGGAATGTGGAACTCTCGATGAAAAATAATATTATTCGGTTGAAAAATGAAATGCTCATGACGATGGTGAGTGAAATCGAAATTGTAGCTTCCGGTTTCTCTGCTAAATTTGTAGCAATTCTTGGCCCCTCATCGTCATTAATTTTGAATTTTTTGCAGATATCTAAACAACGTGAAGAGTACAAAAAGATGCGTGAAGGAATAACAAAGTTACAAAAGCGGCTGGAGGGTCATATTGAAGACCACTATGACGCCGAGCCAAAGTGCTGCAAGGACAAGGACAAACCACGCAATCGAAAACCCAGGAGGTTGTCAAATTCGTCCACCGACTCGAACTGGGATGAACCAGTTGAGGTCAAAACTGGGAAAAATGGTGAAAGGAATAACGGCGTCAGCCCGAAATGAACCTCTCGTCGTATTATTTTAACAAATTCTAAGAAATTCGGAGCGTCAAAGTTTCAAAATGACACTTATCGGACCGGAAATTGTCGCCAATTTTATTTATAAAGTGACCAAAACAATTTTAACCATAAAAAGTGACTCGACATTTTAATACATAAAATATTGGTTTATCATGACTCAAAATATGTCCAAAATTATACTATGCATGCATGAAATGATGGTAAAAACGATATTGTTTGATAAGCAGGACGCAGTGATTGTTTTATTTTTGATAGATTTTAACTAGTTATTTATTGCACAGAAATATTTTAATATTTTATACTATTTTAATATGTAGAGTTGTTTTTATTTTTTATACTTATTTTACTTATGAGATATCATGGAGAAGCAAGCATAAGAAAATTTATATTTTTAATAAGATGTCCTTTATTTTGCCTAAATTACAACTATAGTTTCTTTATTTGTTTCGACTTCTTTTTAGCATTACTCTTTCTTCTAGTAAGGGTCCGACTTTGTCGTTTTTTCGACGTGTCAGTTTCGACCAGGTCTACATCGAGGCGTTGGAATTCGTCGGCGTTGGAATTCGTCGGCGTCGGATGAGCCGGAATCTGGAGATTCAGCGGCGAAATTTTTATTAATTTTCTTGGCACGGCTTTTCCGTCTCCGTTTCGGATTGGGTGGTTCCAGAATAACGGCGATGGATGGTTTCTCCTGATAATTAATTAAGAAATTACAGAGTTGCTTGTAATTAACATGGTTTGAAGTAAAATAATTAATTACTGAAGTGGGTCCAAGTTTCCACTGTGACTCCAAACCCGGTTTTCCCTCGATCCGAAGCATCGCCAGCGTGGTTGACAAATCCTCTTTCACGGTCAGTTTAGACATGACGGATTCTACATCGTCCTTGTCGAAAGGCCTTATCGTAGCAGTGATGATAGATTTAACGTCGTCATCCTCCTCTGGCAGTGACTTCACCTTTTTTGGCGTCTCACCCTCCCAGTTGTCTTCCGGATAGACGGGAGAAGTATTTTTTAAACAGCACCCGAGAAATGATACTCCACAAAATGTAGCGATTGCGATAATGACGAGGAGCTGTAGAAAACCAAATGGAAATTAAAAGATATACAACAATTTCAAACAATGGAAGTCTCATAGGGTATGCTCCAATTTTGAGCAAAATATTGTCAATCGACAAATTTGACTAGTATGGAATTTTTGATGAAAGATAGATGGGACCTCCCAATTGGCACGTTTGGCAGAGAAATTTGCATCCGAAGAGGAGAAAACGCACAGTAAATTTGAAAAGCGTAAGATTTGCTAACTTTTGGGAACTTGGGGTTCAAATATCTCTGTCAAATCAAACATGCACATTTGCAGATCGTGGATTTTGCAAATCTCATACTAATTAAATTTACGATCGATTGACACTAAAATTGGAGAGCATACGCTGGGAGATCTCCATTTTAATTCATGACCCCACCTACCGCCGCCCAGCCCCTCGTTCGAAGATAGGGACAGAACCCTAAAGCTTGTAGATGATGGAACGTGTAGCTTATCTCACTTCCGGTGAAAGTGAGTGGGGTCGTTTGCCACACGTTGTTCCTATCAAGTACACAAAATAACTTATTACTACAAACTCGATAAGATGTTACCTGGTCCAATAAGCAATTTTACCTCTCCCTCACTTTGGCGTTCAACTGTTTCGCTGATCCGACCCGGGTGAGACCTCCCTCACTATGGAGAATGCACTTTAACGCGATGATATGCCACACCTCCGCCGATAAGCAGAGTAACTTATCAGCATCTGTCTAATTTGTATAATTAAACTTTGCCAAATATGTAGAGGATTAACGTGCTAATTAATTACGCTAGTCTCATTGTTCTTGGTGGTGCTACAAGTCGGAGCAGGGAGGATGTTTCCACTCGTAGTCGTGTTGAACTCGGCGTCAAGATGGTTAACCGCGTCGACGACGCGGTCCTGCGCCTCGCTCAGGGCGAACAAGATCACGAGCGGGATGACGAGGGAGGACAGACCGAGGACTCCGAAGGACAACTCCAGCTAAATATTTATTTATGGAGATAAGAACAAGGTTTTGCCAAATTTTAGACGGAATTTGATGGAGGTATCCCAGCGTATGCTCACCGATTTTGAGCAAATTAGTGTCACTTGATCACAAATTTAATTAGTATGAAATTTGCAAAGGACACGATCTCCCAATGGGCACGCTTGGCAGAGATATTTGCATCCGAAGAGGAGAAAACGTGCCCAAAAGTTGACAAATGTTCCATTTTCCAAATTTACTGCACATTTTTTCCTCTTTTGATGCAAATATCTCTGCCAAACGTGCCCATCGGGAGATCGTGTCTTTTGTAAATTTCATACTAATTTTTGCGATCGATTGACACTGGTTTGCTCAAAATCACAACCACTTATCCACTTACCACCATGACATAATGCCCTTCCCGATATTTTGCCTGCATTGCTGGCCCCACATATAATCCGACCCCCACGATGAGCACGACAAGAATTAAAAAGGGGGCAATATCCAGGTCTCCACTTCTCTCGAGGTGCTCCACATACGTCGCTACGACTTTGGCGTGGTGACGATCACTTGGAGGCGGAGGGTGACAAGAAATCAACCTCCCAGCAAATATGGGATCCTTCCTTCCCTTATCTGGTTCTGGGTAATCGGGCTGAACCGGAAATGGCGTGCGACATGATAGCACCGACTTCCAGGCAGAGTTCGGAACGAAACCGTGGGTCAAATCGAGGTAAAAGGAAACAGAGAGTAAAATCTGAAACAATTTCAACATATTCATTCACTTTCTCGTAATTGCTAATTTATCTAATCAGAAAATTAATTGATAATTAATTTGTAATTAATTACATACCATTCCAATCCAAACTATGACAGCAACAAACCAAAATCTTCGCCTGATCGGATTACCCATGAAAAACTAAGCATCATTATTAAATGACAAATCTGGATATTTACTTATCAAGATTTTAGTTAACTTGTTAGCAAATAATCAAACATAAAAAATTACAACGTCTGCAACACAAAATAATAACAATTTTAAATAGTTATTTATTTGTTACTATGATTCATGGAAACAAGATAATTTTGATAAGAATTTTGCAAGAATTTTACAATCTTTTGACCCCCCTTACTCAAACCAGTACGCCAAGGTGCCCCCCTTTTTAGGAGGAGGCGGTTGAATTGGTGGAACATCACCACCACTCGTCGTCAATCCACGTGATGATGACGCCGCGGACGGCGAAACGATCACAAGTCTCGAACTGCTCATTGCCCCCACTTTCTCATTTGGGTCGCCGTACGTGTTGAAAATGTCGCCGAGTTGAGCATCCTCTTCTCCCTTTCCAGTTTCAGTCCGACTCTGCAGTGAAGACGATGACGAAATAAATTTCATTGTGTTCCGAAGCCAAAATGCGGTGACACATCCAATAACGAAGCAAAAGAGGGACGCCAATATGCCGAAAGTCTAAAGAAATTAAGAAACTTATGACATTAATTCAACCGGAAACGCTACCAAAATTAATTACCTACTTACCACTCCAACCACTTTGTACCCCTCTTCTTGACAGAACCTCAATTCGGTCAAACTTTCCGAGTCGTACACCATCCCATCAATGAGGGTGACATTGTCCAACAGCGGAATTGGAAATGGGGATGATTTGTCTTCCAAGAAGAAATAGTGGAGCGAACTCTTTACACAAATTCCGATGATGTCCATCATAAAAAGCGTCTCGTCCAACGTGGCGAATGGCGTTGTTGCGTAATTCTGCCACGGAATAAATAATACCTTTTATATGCAAATTAGTTACGAGGCACTTCATGCTTTGTATTGTTACCTGTTTTTTCGGAAAATCGTGATCCTTCGCATCGCGTTGGAGTCGGGAATAAAATGTCGAGATCAGAGCGACATAATTCTTCGAGTTTTCAGCCGTTGTCCATCCCTCGTATCCAAAACAGGTCAGGAGCACGAGGAAAATGCAAAAATATAAGGTCGCCGTCTAAATGAGATTATAAAGTCAAGTCATAAATTAGCGAAAGTGAAGAAACCGATAAGTGTTTCGAGTGCAAGTAAGTAACCACTTGCAAAAAATAACGGCAAGAAAGTGGTTTCTTGCAGATAAATATTTTGACCTGCAAGAAATGACCCATATTTCTTGCACTATCTCCTAGTTTTTTGCACCTTACATTTCTTGCGTGGCTTGCTTTGCAATGCAAAAAATGTAGCAAAAAATGTCTGAAGCCGACATTTAATTTAATTTTGACAACAATTAATTTGAAACATACCGAAACGAGGTGATGAATCGACTTGATTCTCTTATTCGGCTCATTCTTCTTATACGAAAAGAATGTCATGATTAACATGTGGCTAACCATGACGCACGCTGTGACGATGGCAAACACGAAGGAGATCGTGGAAGGGGCGAGAGGTCGGCGGAGGAGGTCTTTTTCCGCAAGAAACTCATTATGGTCGAGGTCGAGCGACTTGTTGGCGAAAAATCCGCTCGATTGCGCAGGAAATTTCGTTTCACCTTCTAAAATTCGGTCCCACTCGCGATCCGCGGAAAGCGCGAGACCATTAAAAACAGTGGAGATGAGGATGGAGGTGAGACCAGCGAGAAGGAGTGTCGCCGAGGTGGAGGTGCGTGTCGCAAACGGGTGGCGTATGTAGAATGTCAGAGGGGAAGAAAGAAAACGGTGGAGGCACCATCGAAAGCAGCACATTTTGAACAAAAACTTTTGAAAACTATTTTCCGTTTTGGGTAGAATAGACTTTTAATTTTTAGGCAAATTAGAATTTTTGGGTTGATTGATTTCTAGAAAAACGAAAACGGTATAAAATTGTATTTATAAAATAACGTGGATTTTCCTTAGTTACATACAGGTGAAAGCCGATTAGATAATTATTGTTGAGGCGTTCATTTTTCTAGGAACTCCACGAGTAGATAACCTTCTCCCCACGAGCACGCGCCTTCACATTTTCTTCCTTCAGGAACTCCTCGTGGCGTCTGAAATTATGATAAGTTTGGTTTCGTTTTATGTAAATTAAATTAACTTGCTTATGTATGACTTCTTCTTACCTCAATACTTCCGGAATATCGTTGAAATCGATACGTCCAAGATCGTTAAAGGTGGGGAGAGTTCGTTTTAAGCTGCCAAATAAGACGAGAAAATTAGGATTTGTCGTCCAGAATTTTAAAATAAATTCCTAGAGCCGAGAAATGTACTGATTTTGACGATTTTGGTGATAAGTAAACGTTAACATAAATAGTTATCATTTCCTCACTGATTTATTTCACTTATCAGTGAAGGTGGGTCCAGCTCGTCAATATCGTCCTCAAAATGAGGGGGATTTACGTGGGGACGATCTTCTGGACGCATATCCACTGCTTCCCGTGCAATATTACGGATCTTTTCTCTACAAAAACGAAACAAAATATTGATTAATTTTCATCTTGAGCCGATGGATTAAAATTAAAAATGTAATCATTACGTACACAGTTTCGACATATTTCGGACAGGCATTCTTCTTATCTTTAACCATATGCTCGGCCCGTTCCTTTTCGGACCGAAAGGTTGCTTGACAGCGATAGCAGGAAAATTCCTTTCCCTGTTTCTCCAATTGAGCACTGGAAATTTAAAATTAAAAAAAATTAGTAACATATGTACTAAACAAACCCTGGACAAAAATGTGCAAGCAATAGCTGATTATAAAGTCGACATAATTACGATAAAATTACATTTTAATGTTGAGAATTGAAATTGAAATTTGAAATTACACAAAATAAAAATAATGAAAATACTTACGCTGTCCAACCTTGTGGTTTGTCTCTTGATGAATGTGGGGCAGCCTGCATTTTGAGTTCGAAAATATGTCGACGTTTGCGACTTCGAATTTCTGATTTTTAACCGACGTTAAAAAATAATTTGAAATAAAAATCTCGGATGACTTTTCGATTTTATTTTTGTTGGAAGAATAACGACACGAATTTACTTGTTTGCCGCTCGTAATGTGTTTCGCAGTTTATTGTGAAAACCATCTCTGCATAAATTTGGCAAGAAAATTTATTTGCAGGCAGAAATGCGAAAAAGAAGTCATGGTGAGAACATAGATATTTATGAAAAATCAAATTACGAAAATAATTGTGAATATTACAGAATAAGCCGTCATGATAAGTAAATATTTATGAAAAATAAAATACACAAACCTTTATAAGTACTTATAAAGGTTCCAAATTAGTTTAGCATTTTATCCAAACCCATCATTTCACGGAAACTTGTACATTTTGACAAGAATTTTCATGAAATTACATACGATACTAAAACTGATACCAAAACCCAACATCTTATCATCCCTACTCGGATATCAACACGTGATAACCCAGAATTCGCCCCAAATCCGGCCCCAGTGCCCTTATTACAAAAGTCCCCCTGACACCCGCACGCCTCCACAGTTCCCCCCAATCTGACCGTGTTGACCTGCAGTGACCCGTGCAAGGTATCCGCTCCGGATTTATTTTTCGCCTCGTGGTCGCCACAGTCGACATGCGGCCCCGACCTGGCCAGCGCGGCGTCATTCTTCATCACCATTTCGCCTTGTTTGAAACAACTCCGAAATTCGCCATCCGCCACGACGACCACTTTCGTGGTTTCCACCTTGCTTTCATCCGACTGCGCATGCGTCATGTGAATTCGGTACTTGACATCGGAAATCTGGCCGTATGCACAACCTGAAAAAGAGCATGATTCGCAAATGTGTAAAAAATAAATAAAAATATTATGATCAAAGGGGAATTTACGAAAAATCGCTGAAATATGTATTTAATTTTAATATTTACTATTTACTTAGGAAAAAATCGTCAAAATATTTACGAAAAATGTAAAATTAAGAATTTTTATAGAATCTATAAAAAATCGCAAATTTTTGCAAAACCGAAAAAAATAAGGTTTTTTTGTGATCCAATTTATCTGAGCAAACCAATTTCGTCTCACATCATTGAAATAGGTAATCTTTGGGAAAATATCGAAAATATTTACGCATTTTTCAAATAATACTTAGCAGAAATATTTAAAGTTTTAAAATACAGATAAATCCATATATGAAATATGAGTAAAAAATGTGTAAAAAAATAACCTTCCAAGCATTGTTGCGTAAACTTGCTATTTTTCCGTATTTCTGACCCGGAAGATGACGATGCTGCCTCCTCCATGTCGACACAGGTCCCTTTGTCTTTCGTGTATGACGACAACTCGGCGTCGAGGAGATCTTCAAACGAGATTGTGCCGTCTTGTAGTGGAACGAAGGTCATAATTGGGTTGCAGACGAAGCAATTATCGCCTGTATTTAGAAAAGAATGTATTTAGGATTACAATTTCTGGATAAGTGGTTATCGATATTAATATTGATGGACAACCTTGGACCTGATGAGGATAGCGGAGAAAGAATGTTAGGGAAAGAAGGATAAAATTTGTGGCAATGTTCATCATTGTTTTACAGGTTTATGGCGTGACTACTTATCTGTGGAGAAAGTACTTATCCTAAAATGCACTTATCTTTAGTTATTATCTACACAATTTGAAATTGTACAGTTTTTCCTTATTGTCTGTCTTTTTATGTTAAAAATGACACAAAATAATGAAATATGCTAAAGAAAGAATTTTGCACATCATTATTTATTTTATAAATTTCCATTCAAATGTCCGTAGCGTAACAACATACATATATACATATTTTCCTCTAAAAATGTATTAGCGCACGATTGCTTGACATTTAGTGCCTAGTTACCCTTAACGGTTGCGACAAATGGTCGAGTTATAAATAAAATATTCATTTTTAAAATTATTTTAAAATTGGTTTTTCTCCCATGGACGAAAAACCAATTCTCCAGCCAAAATATTAAAAAAATAAACTGTAACCCACGACAATTTAAAAATGAAAATTCATTTGTAACTCGGGCATTTGTCGTAACCTTATACATTGATAAAGTGTCAAATAATCTTGGTATTAGCGTGTTTTATAGTGCCATGCAATTACATAATTATTTGCCAACAAGCGTATGTTATTTCAGAATTTATAATATGCATAAACAATTTTTTGTTCGTGTTACCCTTTCACGTCCGGCTGGTCCTAATAGAGATCCCAGTATTGGTACAACATTTCATGCTTATCGTTTGAAGCAAAAGTATAAAAAAAGAGTAACACTGATATTGCTCTTATCCTTAGGATCAGTTTTCTAAAAATAACCCTAAACTCGTCACAAAACTTTGCCATCAAGTTAACCATATGTATGTAGATGGACGTAACTGCATGCATATGCGCATTTTTGAACACCTTGAGTGATCTAAAAATCCATTCTAATTAATTTTAATCAATCAAAAATTGCACAGTCTCACAAACTTATCTTTTCCATCAGTTAGTTATACGTTGATAAATAATTTCCCATTAGTGGTTTTACAACTTAACAATTTAATGCACAAAAATTGCTGAAAAATTGGCACAAGCTTTTTTCTGAATCAAGGAGTTGAGAAATTCAAAATTTCCAGATCCCTATTACCACCCACGTACTATTTGCGTAATTAATCATGGCCCTCTTCTGCGGTCCTAAATTATCCCTTTGCTGTCTCCTTCTCAGCGTTTGGGGGGTTATTCAGCTCGTAAGAAGAAAGCTGAAATTCTAATTTATTTATTTTTAATCGCAATTCTCAATCAAAATTAAGGCCCCCTTTTCTTTTTCAGAGTTTGATGGGCGTATTTTTTTACATGAGGAGCGTCGCCCTTTTCGAAGACCTCCAGGTCGGCGAGGAATACGGTCCTAACGACCTGGTAGAATTTTTCACGGACGTGGATCAAGCTTACACTCAGGGCGCGTACAACTCCTGGATCGCGGCTTGTCTGTACGTGATCACTTTTCTGGTGTCCGCGCAGCAATTTTACTCCAATTATAAGAGCAGCTCGTCCCCCATGGCGTTCTAAGGAGAACAATGGCCGCGGAAGCGTGGGTGGAGACAGAGGGACAATGTCCCCAGGTTATTCGATGTCTGCATCATCTCCCCATGTTATATAAACCCCTCCATTTTCCCTATTCTACAATGTTAATGTCCCTACATGTCCCCACGACTTCCGCGGCCACTGGTCAAGCCAGAAATTAGTGACATGTCATGTGACATGACTTATGTCACGTGCATGATTATTTTCCGTGTCACTCTTTGTGTCACGTTGATCTGATCATGACGAATTTATTTATTGATTATCGATTAATACCTGAATTAATTTGATGTGAATATTTCCTGATTACTGAGACGTTCGTCACCCACCCGTCGTTTGCGACGAGGTGTCGTCATTTACGAAAGATACTGTGTGGGCATGGGGGAGGAAATATTGTCAACTTTCGGATTAGAAATAGGGAAAAATGACAAATTTACTTAACAAGTTGGATCGTGATATTTGTATTTTTACATATTTTCGGCTTATATAACACGATTTCAGGTTGTGCATATTTATGGTAGGTTTTCAAAAAATGACATTGTTAAGTCAAGTTTTTCTTCCGGTTATATTTCTTGCATTCCAATATAAGCTTATTTGCATATAAATAATCGTCTCGTATAAAACTACCTAATTTAAATTTCTTTTAATTTTGAACTTAGAATAGAGTAATTGAAGCTGTCGATAAATGTACAGTAAATGGTCAATTTAGTCATTAAATATAATAAATTAATTTATAATCTATAAATCTATAATAATTAATAATTATCACTTTGTAAATACATAATATTTTGTTTCGTCAATTATAGTAATTTTAAAATCGCAATTTTGCTAGTATGAAATTCGTTTGACAATTGAAAATTACCTGGTTTTGAACAACTTATCTTTTCCAGTAAGTACAATGATTATTTCTCAAAATTTCTCTTTAGTGGTTTTACAACTTTACGAAACGATACATGATGCACGAAAATAGTTTCTCTCGATTCAGACAATTTAATAATTCACTTAATATTTTATTTCGTTATTGTACTACATAATTTTAAAATCATAATTTTGCTAATATGAAAACTGTTCGAAAATTTAAAATTAAATTGTCCTAAAAACTCACCTTATCTTTACAAAATCAAGTTGCACAAATTTTTTGAAAAAAATCGTCAGGTTTCTTTTTGAATGTAACAATTTAATTGTATTTACACGAGTTAAAGTTGTACAATTAATTAAATATTGTAGAAACGCACTTATATTTTGATAATAAATTAAAAAATTGGGATTTAAATTTTCAAATCACAATTTTGCAAATATGACAAGTGTTCGATAATAAAGAATTCCTGAATACGCTAAATTCATCTTTTCGATCAATTAATTTAGTTGATATCAAAATTTCCATTTAATGGTTTTACAACTTTACATGATGCATAAAAATTGTTGAAGAAGTCGTACCAGGGCCCTATTTCACCAGCTCTCCGCACTCCGTACTCCACACAAAAAATTGTGGATTTGTGGAGTGGAGCGTTTCACAAAAGTAGTATTTTGTGAAGTGCGGAGTGTAGATTGTGGAGTCAAATTTTGGGGAGTGCGGAGTGAAATTTGACCTTCCCCGTTTCACCAAATTTTACTCCGCGAAAGGTCATCGCTCGAAACTCCGCACTCTACATATTTTTTTGCAAAGTGCTCGGACACTCTGCAATTGGCTTTTTAGCCCGAGTCAGGGCTTATGTACGCGTCATGTCCGTCTGTCTGCCTTGCGATAACTGTCGTAGAATAATCCGATCGACTCGAAATTTTGCACAAATGTAGAAAAGGGGCAAATGAAGAGTCAGGTTCGTAGATGGGCGAAATCGGTCAAGTGGTTGACTGGTGGGGGTCATCTGGGTGGTGGGGTATTATGCACCAAAATTTCAAAATTATTGTAGAAAGCTGAAATTTGGCATAGAGATTGACAATGGTGTGTAATGAAAGAATATAAAGTAAAATTTTAGTCTACAGGGACCCTAGGGGGTGATTCATACCGATTTTTAAAACTCATTCAATCGAGCTGAAATTTGGTGTTTGGATTTCTACTGACAACTAATGGAAAAGTATGAATTGAAATGGGACCTATTTTCATCTGGACGGACCCTACGGGGTGACCCATAACAATTTTTCAAATTCGTCAAATCGAGCTGAAATTTGGTAGAAAAGTTGGTAATGGATGCTAATGAAACAATATGAATTAAAATAGGAAAAATTCTCATCTGGAGGACTCGATTAGGTGACCCATACCGATTTTTTTAAATCGTAGTATCAGGCTGAAATTTGTCACATAGGCTGCTAATTGGTACTCATGGAAGAATATGAATTTAAATTTGAAAAATCAATTTAAATTTTTTGATTTTTTGATACACATTTCAGATAAAATTTCATGCAAAAAAGTCGGATTGAGTGATAACTCTTGGCATGACTCGGGCTATGTCAAGTCTGCACTGTTGGTTTTTTGTATTTCTCTTTATGATTTTTGATCAACCATAAGTGAAGTGAAATATATTATCTACAATCCAATATTTTTGTAATTAAATTAACTGATTATATTATCACTTGATTGGACGATCACGGGTATAGAACAATAAATTTATGAAGGTGTCAGTCGTGTGAGAAGAAGAGGATGAAACAACATTGAGAAAATTAAAAAGTTCTGAAATTTGAGTGAATGAACTCCGCATTTTCACTCCGCAAACCTTAATTTTTGTGGAGCGGAAGTTCGCGGAGTAGGTCGCCACTATGAAACGCTCCCACTCTGCACTCTACAAATTTTGTAAAGTGCGGAGTGCGGAATCTGGAGTGCAGAGTAGAGTGTGGTGAAATGGGGCCCAGGTTTCTGTATGATTCAGTCAATTTAATTATTTATCGTCACCTTGTACATAACATTTTATTTCGTCAATTATAATAATTTTCACATCACAATTCTGTTAATATGATAACTTTTCGAGAATCGAAAAATACCCTGGTTCACTAAAATTAAACTTTTCCAACAATTAACTTGATTCATTATAATAATTTTCTTTTAATGGTTTTACAACTTTACGAAAGATGCATGATGCATAAAAAATTTCAATTTTGAAAAAATTCGTATATGTTTCGGATTTTGAAAATTTATTTATTTAAACGAGCTAGAATTTCACAATTAATTAAATATTATGTAAATAGATTTATATATTTTAACAATAAATAAATTAAAAAAGTATGTTCGTCATCTTAAATCGAGAGCAAAATTTAGATTTCAGTGTCTGAATTTTCACCAAACCTTGCGTGTCTTTCAATTCTGAGAAATCTGTCTTCTTCCGGAAATCTAAAATTTATTTGTAAAAAATTACTTATCAGAAATTATCTGAAATTTCATGAAATTTCAAAACTTTTTTTGTGTGCTTACTCATCTTCATCCGCGATGTCCATGAAATCCCGGTTATTTCCATTGTTGAAATTGAAACCGTACGGGACGCTTTCATCCCCGTCGATCCCGCTGTCCTCGTGATATCCACGATTGTCATATTCAAAAGCCACGTTTTGTTCTTGGAAGAGCACGTTGGATTTGGTTTTCGGAGACTAAATTGAAAAATCGTAAGAAATAAAATTGTGATGTTTTAAAAATTTTGGAAAAAAATTGTTAACAATTTTCGTCTAGAGTAATGTGTTTGATGCGAAATTCAATTATTTTTAGATTTTAGGAAAATATTATGCCTGGTTTTTCGAACACTGAAGTTTTACTCCAAAGTTAATCTTCTGCTAATTTTTACATCCTTAAATTCTAAAATTTTTCTGTATGGCGTTAAATCTAAAGAAATTAAGATTTTTAGAAGAAAAAGTTGGTTTCTGTAAACCAGTAGCAGGTAAAGTAGTGTTTTGCAAAATTTTGCCTTTGCAAAATATGTTTCAGCAAAAATTCAATGAATACAACTTATTTCAAAAAAGTTAATTTTTTATAAAAATCGTTCTCAAAATTTCTTACCAAAATTTTCTTCTCAAACCAACATATTTAAATATTTACCTTGTACGGTGGAGGATCGCTCATATTGTTGGAATTTGTGTCAGAATTGCTGACTTCTAAATACTTATTGTCTTCACTTTGTCGCTTCAATTTCGCCAAAATCGGTCGAATAGGATTCGACAAGTCGCGCCACGGATTTTTCGTCAAAGTTTCCGTTTCCTTCTTCTCCATCTCGTCTGGGTCGACGTTACTGAAAAATTTAAATTGTTTTTTTCATAAAATTTTCAAAAATGAAAATTTTTTTAAGATAGAACAAAATTAGCATAACATTTAACAAGTAAGTTGTGCAATTTGGAATTAAGTACGAATTAATTAATTAGTAAATTAATTAATTGCATTTCAAATACTGAAAAGCTGTGGACATATCTATATTTTTAAATTACGCTTGTTATGCTTGTATCGATTTTTTCTAAAAATGGTCGTTCAACTTTTACATATTTTTTATGAAAATTACTTTTTTTGGCAAATTATTAAATTTTCCCCCAAACATTTTTGGGAGAAATTTATTGCATAAATCATCCCCTCTTTCTCCCAAATACGTGAATATCGTGTCCAACAAAGTTGCAAACATATTTAAAAATATACATGTTTTTTCCGACAATTTTTACCAACCTTTGCAAACGTGCCGTATTACAGACTTCATTCATGAATGGTGTAGAACAAGTACATGGGGGCATTTTTCATAAAATTTTGCAAAATGAAAATTTAACGCATAAAAAAAAGATTAATATAAAATTTAACAATAATTACTAATTAATTGCAATTGGATGAAGACGTGAATAGTATCTAAGATTATTCTTACTATTTGGTTTACACCAAAATGTTTAAAATCGTCGTTCAACGTCAACCTTTACAGTTTTTTTGAAAGTATAACTTTTTGCCCATTTATGACTTTTTTTACAAATTCCATTCCATTTTTTCAGAAACGATTGATTTACATACAGAAACCATCACCCTCTTTCCGTCAAGAAAATCTTTGCTCAACAAACTTGCAAAAAAATGTATGCTTGCTTTTCCCCAGAAAATTTTGCAAGCCCAATTATCAAATTCCGTAAAATACTTCTTTTTGCACAATTATGACTAATTTGCAAATGCAATTTTTTCAGAAACAATAGATTTACATTAACCATCACCCTCTTTCTCACAAGCAAATTTGTGCCCAATGACCTTGCCAAAAAATGCATGCTTTTCTCCCTAAAATTTTGCAAACTAAACAATTTCCACTAACCTTGGTACATGTTTCGTAGTACTGACTTCATGGATGATGCAGAACAAGCACATGGGGATCATCAGGAAGAGCATGATTCCTAAAAAGGACGCCATCCAGATCCACGTGTCCATATTTTTCAAAGATTTCGGATGATTGTCGTACGGCGTGAAACCAAAGTCGACAAGACGATGGCCAAATTTCACCCACATGTCGTCGAGGCGCCACTTTGGCATGATGTAGCCTCCAACGTCTTCCTCCCGCGTGATCGCAAACGTCACCTCGACACAATTTTCGAACGTGTCCCAACTAATGTCGCACATGTGGAGGCCACGATCCGTCGGAATGTTGACGTCGGATGAGCTGGAAATTTTAAATATAATTCTAAGATTAAATTTCCTGCAAAAATTTCGGATTCAAAAATTTCGTAATTCTGAGGTAGGTTGTGGTAAATTTTTAAGTAGATAAACTTGAAGTTCGAGTGCAAATTTGTAAAAAATAGGTGATAAATTCGCGTAAAATTATAAATTCTACTCACATGAGATTACATTTCATTAAAAAAATTTGGAATTCTGTTAAGTTAATTCGGTTTTAGTTATTAATCAGAACTCTTGTTAAAGTGTGAGTTTGCAAAAAAACAGAGATAAATTAGCCTAAAATTGCAAATTCTACTCGCGTGAGATTAAATTCTGTGGAGAAATTTGTAGTTTTGATAAGTTAGTTCGTTTTTGAGAAGGTTTTGGTTTTTAAGTAAAATACTTCTTATAGTTTAAAAATTTGCAAAAAAATACGTGACAAACTCGCAAATTATACAGCATGATGATGGAATCTTGATTATTCTTGATATATAATTCTACGCAAAATGTCATGAAAAGGTTTCGTACTTTCTCCAAAAATATTTGCACATACATTTTTCCTAAAGTGAAATGCATTAGTACAAATTTGGCAAAAAAATAACAGAATTTAGAAATTCTGCTCATGTTCTCATGTACGAAAATAATTCTGGTAATAATTTTGGTCATAAAATTACGTGAAATTCTCTGTCAAGAGATCTCCACACGCCGGATCTGCGGTACAATATTCCGTCCCGATTTCTGCAATGGCTTCTTTAAAGGCTTCCTTTTTATCTTTGAACTGTAATAAAAAATATCATAAAGTGAAAAAAAAATTCCTCAGAAACATATTTTAAATACTACAAAATTCTACTTGAAATGGTGGATACAGAAGAAATTTGGACGTATAAATTTCAACATCCGGTGCTGGTGGGGCTTTCGTCCCTTCCGTTGTTGTTGTGGAGGGAGGAAGTCGAGCTTCGTCTGAAAAAATTTGTAATTTTTGTAGAAAATTTCAATTTCGAAATAAATCTTAAAATAATTTGGTAACTTTAAAAAAAAATGTCAAATTTTGAGGTCGATTTATAAATTTGCTTAAAATATTGCGATTATTTTTTCATTATTTTAGATTTCACGTTTTTTGCGTATGTGTAGATTTTTTTTTGTTTCTGAGAAATTTTCCTCAACATTTTTTTAACAATTTGTTTCCAGTATTTTTTATTATAAAAAAATGTTCTCAAGATTGTCTTTTTTTACAATTTTTCCCAACATTTTTTTAACATTTTTTTTCTCAATTTTAGGCTAACATTTTTCGTTTTTTGAACAATTTTTGCCCAGCATTTTTCATTTTTTGGACAATTTCCCTCAAAATTTTTTCGTTTTTTCCCAATTTTGTTCAAAATCTTATTTCGGAAACGTACCCAAATTTGTGACCGTGATGTTGAAGCCTTTATACTCAAATGACCCCCTGGAAGGAACGCTTCCCTCGGCATGAAAGTAAACAAAGGTTCCGTATTTGCTCAAAATTTGAAATTTTGAGCCTGGCTGAAGTTCCCAGGAGAGGAGCAGCCCTTGCGAGGTAACGATCGAGTGTGGCAGCAAATCCGTCGGCATGTCGTCAGTGCCGCTGTACTCGTCGAAATAGTCCTCAAACGTAAGAGGAAGGTCCGAAATGAGGAGAAAGTCGCCACTTTGACCGTCCATTTGTAACTCGTTGATTTCTAATTGGATACTAAAATGGAAAAAGAGAATTGTAAGAAAATGTGCAAAAACTTGAACGAGAAATATGAAAATTTTCAAATATACCAAATGTGCAAAGAAAATTAAGCAGAAATATGATAAAAATTTCGGAAATGTTAAACATTTAAAAATTCCAGAAATTTTAGAATTCAAAATTGCCGATTTACTAAATGTATCTAAATTGGGAATTATATGATAAAATTATAGAATTGTAAAAAATGTCAAAATTGCAAATTTAATAAATGTGCCAAAATTGCAAAAATATACGTTTATACGATTCATTAATTCCACTTTATGAAAGTGGCTGACCCACAAATTCTTAAACTTTGCAAAAAATCAATTTCGAATTTTTCGAATATAATTTAAAACAATAAAAATTCAAAACATTCCCACAAATTTTAAGACATATAATACATCTACAAATTCCATACGAAAATATTTCTCTGCAAAAATTGGCAATTTATTTTCCGCAAATTTTCTACATATCTCACTCACCTATGTCTAAATCGCCAAATTACATCGATCCCCTCAAATTCCGAATAATTCCATCCTCTCGACGTAATTTCTTTTTGATTTGGTTCCGGCAAGTAAAATTTAGCATGACTGACAAACACGGAACAATTTAGGACAAGGCAAAACACCAAAATTAGTGCAAAACTTTTCATTTTTTCAGAACTCGTTTCACTTTAATTAAAGTCAACTAAATAAATTATGTAAAACAGGTTTGGAATATTTAAAATGACAAATCTAACAGGTTTCCATTCGTATTTTTTTTGTGTAATTAAGATCGTTGATGACATAAAGTGAAAAATATTCGCGAAAAATATATAGTGCAAATACGTCAATGCATATTTTGCACAGCGATTCCAACCCCAAGTGACGAACTTGCTGCGGTGATTATCAATAATAATTTATCAATATCGCGAATTATCTCATCCCAACGAAATTGCAATCTTATCGATTTTCGTAATTCTGCGAACCAACCAACCATCAGCACGGGAATGATAAGGAAGTAATGATTACCGCCTGTGCGTACCTTCCTTCATAATAATCTGTATTGATTGATAAGGCATTTTGTGGCATAGATAATTAACACGGGCGGATTAACTATGGTTATGTATGTATCGATTTCAGAGAAAATGATGGAATGAACAAAGGTGATAATTGGCCAAATAAATGCATCAAGTATGCAAATAATTTAGTGCATGCTGATGCAAAAATGGCAAAAATGCAAAAAAAATCACAATCTAAATAAACATACAATCGTGCGACAAAATGCCGATACAAAAACGACAAAAAATGGCACAAATAAAAAAAATACAAAATCTAAATACACACACTCTCGATGCCGAAAAATGCCGATGCAAAAAGGACAAAAATTTCAAAATCTAAATAATAAACATACAATCGTGCGAAAAAATGCCAATGCAAAAATTCAAGATAAGTCATATACCTAATTAATAATTATATTTCCAATTCTGCAAAAATTGCATTCGACAACGCACTTAAAAATTTGTAAAATTTTATTATGTAAAACTGGAATGAAATATTCCCGCACCATATCTTCACAAGCACTATTTTTGTATTCTTTCCACTCTTTCGTAACAACTTTTAATGATACCGTTTACAAAATAATCGATACAAAAAAATACCTCAAAAATACTTGTAGTTTCTGATATTTTGTTTGTATTTCAAAACCTGTTTCGAAATTTTTTGCAAGGAAATTACCAAACATCATGTTTTGGTAATTTTTAATTTGATTTTAAATATATTTGGAGTGGAACTATTATTAAAATTATTCGGGGAACACCTCGCTCATCTTAATTTTTGTTGAATTATCTTAACATCACTTCCAAAGTTCAATCTGGCGTACAAACTGCACAATTTAATTTATTTTGTACGCACAATTTGGAGTTATCCTTCTTTCTTGGAGTATCTCTACGCTGAATCTGGTAATAAACATTACCAAAAAGCACAAGTATATGACTCTACCAAAGTGGTAATGATAAGTTGCACCGTGTGGTAATGGCTTGGTAATAAAGTTTTACCATCATGGTGAAGAATTTTTACTACCTGGTAAAATATTATTACTTAATTTATTACCGAGAAATCATTACCTGCGTGACTTTACCGGATTATTAAGAGTGTATAATTGTGCAAAGATTTGACTTGTAACTAGTATAAAATAGAAATGTTGCCAGTAAGAAAAATCATGGAAAAAAAATATTTCGGAAATATTAAATTCATAAATAATTCTGCAATAGGTATATTTTTCATGGTATAATTACATATACTTCTAGCTGATCTACAGGAAAACTTTCCATGACATAACTAGTGTTTCTGGGTTTGCCACATTTCTTGCACTGCAAAGCAAGAAACGGGAGCAATTCGAAGTGCAAGAAACTGGGAGAAAGTGCAAGAAGTATGGCCATCTAGACAGGCGCCGTATGAAGTATAGCGTAATTTCTTGCAGGTCAAAATAGCTGCAAAAACCACTTTGTTCCCGTTATTTCTTGCAAGTGGTAACTTACACCCAAAACACGGATGATAAGCTGGATTTATTTGGTACGGACTGTGTTTCATGAATGAAAACAATGCATAAAATGGCGTAGTTCTATTTATGCATGCAGTTACGTATTTATTTCATAGTTCATCGAATATAAATTTTGTTTCTGAAAGGAATTTTAGCATCAATTTTATAAATTTTAAAAGTTTAAGTGGATAAAAGTGAATTGGTCGTGATCAGGATTGACACAAGTGGGAAAACATTTACTCGCACTGGCAGCCAGATTTGCAGGCACAGTTGTCCTCTGTTCGGCGACGTTTGCAAGGGGATGAACTGACCCCACAGCCGCAATTTCCTCCCCCAGACTTTCCGCAATTACAGACGCAATTTCCAGATTTTCCGCAGTTGCAATTGACCCCACACCCACAATTTCCTCCCCCGGACTTTCCGCAGTTGCAATTGACCCCACAGCCGCAGTTTCCAGATTTTCCGCAGTTACAGTTGACGCCACAGCCGCAATTTCCCCCATCATACTTTCCACATTTGCAGCTTTTTCCACACCCACAGAAGCCTACTCCAGATTTGTTTCCACACTTGCAGTTCGCCCCACAAGCGCAGTATCCTTGGACAGATTTCTTGCTGCAGGTACACTTACTTCCGCAGGCACAGAAACCAACGCTTGATTTGTTTCCGCACCCGCAGTTTCCCCCGCCAGATTTTCCGCAGTTGCAGGTCGCTCCACAGCCGCAATTTCCTCCCCCAGATTTTCCGCAGTTACAGTTGACCCCGCACCCGCAATTTCCAGATTTTCCGCAGTTACAATTGGCGCCACAGCCGCAATTTCCTCCCCCAGACTTCCCGCAGTTACAGTTGACCCCACAGCCGCAATTTCCCCCGCCAGATTTTCCGCAGTTACAGTTGACGCCACACCCGCAATTTCCTCCTCCAGACTTTCCGCAATTGCAAGATGCTCGAATAGCTGCAAAAAAATTACCAAAAATAAATGACACACCACAAACTCTGCTAAATCCAACTGAATATGTAAATTTTTACATGTAAATTTTTGCATGCAAATTTTTACATGCAGCTTCATACTTACCAACAGTATTATTTGACCACATGATTATATACTTCTCGCACTTCTCCACTCGAAAATATTGGCTTTTTTTATGAATCTCTCAATTTCGTATCTGACTTTATTCTTAACGTTGTTTTTAGTTGATCTCCACTTAATGATGGATACACCAAAGCTTTGCTCTGTTTTAGTATGAAAGTGAGATTAGGTTCGTGTGCAAACCGTGGTATATTGTCCACCTGAAATTAAAGTGCCGTGTGCAGAGTCCGGGCGAAATTGAAAATTTGCACACGGTTCTGCAATCCTGGACCAATCAGGAGTTTCCAATTTGCAAAACAGTGTGGAAAGCAGAGGACTCATTTGCATCATTGAAATCTGTACATACGTTACACAGTTAGATACGTTACACTTCGTAAAAAAAGTGCAGATACAATCCTAACAGATTTAAAGGGAGATGTTTCTAGTAATTCGTACCCTGCAATGTTGGTGCGATTTACATATGGATTTCATGGTTAATTTCATGATTTATTATTTAAATGGCCACTTCAGAAATTTAAAATTCATAAAAAACAGTACAAATAATTCCTAAAAATAGTAAACCTCTTCCAGTCGTTTCGTTTTTAATGTCCAGAACTACTTTTTGGCTTGACTCTACAATATAATTGACGTTATTTCAACAAATTAAATCCCTTATTCTGCATGATACAATAATACTGATATGAATTTCCCGATGTACATATCTGGCTTGCGAATTAGGTTTGACATGTACACATTTAAAAGTAAATGGCATGCAACATTTATTGCGGCTGGATACATCGCAAAATTGATAATGTACATGCATTATCTACCTAAATTCGATGGAGAACTTAATAGTTCACAGTATATATTTTACAAGATACGTACATATTTCTTTGCTATGTGAATATGCATGCAAATTCTCAAAACTTTATGAATATGTATACACCGTTAAAAATCTGGTAGAGTCACATATATACTATAGTCTATAGTATATATGTGACTCTTAAATCAATACCAGTACGTATACGTACTGGTATTGATTTGGTAATAACTTCCTACCGAATTTGTTCATCAGTGATAAATTTTTCATTACTAACGGTAATTCACGTTATTATTTTAATACCAGGATGATAGATTCATATGTACATATAAGTACTCCGCCCAGTAATACATAATTTAATACCAGTTTTCAAAGGGTGTAGTCGAGAATCTCGACTCGAGATAACGATCAAAGTTAAAGGCATACAATTTTATATATAGCTTTCTTAATCTCTAAATTCAGTGAAGAAAGATTGTCGTTCCTTCTCTACTAAAAGTTAACCATGAAACGTATCTTCCAGTAATGCATGGATCTGCATATTTACTTAAATATGCATAAATACTGGACAGTAGATATGAGCAACTTAAGCATTAACCACGTTAATAGTTCGTCCATATATGTATTTCTTGTCAAACCCGGAGATAGATTTGTTACAGAAAGTGAAGAATTATTCACATTGTCACATTTCTCTTACAGCAAACCGCCCAGTAGCCTTTTGGATCAGGTCGAAGAAACTTTGTGGAATTTGTAGATTTCCAGAGTGCGAGTCATAAAAGTGGTAAGAAGCCACAAGATTAGTATTAAAATACACTTTAATTTAGAATTTTAAATAAAAATGTGAAAAATTTAGTCAAGGTTGAGACAACATAAAGGTCATGAATTTAAAACATAAGGATTGGAAATGTGTAGGTAGGAGAGCGAGACAGAATGGGGAGAGATTATGCAGGATGATGCCTCATGCCACGATTTGGTGCCTGGTTCCGAATACGTAGTGCTTCTATAGTATTTGGTGCTTGTGTCCGATTACTTAGAGCTTTCTGTAGAATTTGGTGCCTTTGTCCGAATATTTAGTGCTTAAAAAGAATTTAGGAATATTCAAATGTGCTGAGGGGTTGGAAATAAGTACTGTGAATTTGTACAAGGTTTATTTCAAGTTTAGGGTAACCAAAAGCAACATAAATTCAATGCTTGACAGAACTATCACTTTTAACAATAAACATTAATACATTTCACGAATATCACTTTCTTTCACTATCAAAAAAAAGTTCAAAGTTCAGTTGAGTGACTTTCCAGGTGATCTTGTCAGGTAGGGGTAACTACAAGTGATATATTTGAAACTAAGGAGGAGAGATTCACCACCTGCCCTTCTCAAATGTTGATGTCCTTTGCATATGTGGTGGGGTCCTATGTGTGTACTAAAACCCTGAAGTGGTTTGACTCCATGGTCACATTTGCGACCGCCACACCCACTCAAAGAGATGAAAACCACAAAAGTTACCAACTTCAAAAATCCACCAAAAATCCAATTTTGCTCGGATTTTGATAAAATTTGTATTTTTGTGATCCCAGATACTTCCATATATACTATATATCACTAGTGTGATAATATCCAATAGCAATCTCAACTTTTTTGAAATTTTCGAAATTTTCGAACTTTCTGCTGATGAATTATTCAAAAAATTAAAAATTTCAAAAAGTTGAGATATCTACTAGATATGATCATACACCCTTAGCACAACGGTATTGAATCATCACCAAACGGGGAGTCCACATGACTTAACCAAATTGTGATAATATTTACCCCACATTGTGAAATCTTCCCCACAATGTGTAAACGTAACACTGGATAGTGAGGATTTAACACATTGTGGGGAAGATTTATCACAATGTGGGGTAAATATTATCACAATTTGGTTAAGTCATGTGGGCTCCCCGTTTGGTGATGATTCATTCTGATTCAATACCGTTTTGCTAAAAGTGTAGAAGTATCTGGGATCACAAAAATTTCATAAAAATCCGAGCAAAAATTGGATTTTTGGTGACATTTGAAACACATGAAAACAGCATTTTTAGTAAAATGATTAACCTATCATTCTTTGTTGCAGAATGCCCCATTTTTTGCATTTTTGGCCACTTTTGGCCACTTTTGACCATTTTTGACCATTTACCACCTATTTTTGTAAGTTATCAAAAGCCACTTTTGTCCGTTTTTGACCGGCGGTCTGGTCAATCTGGTTTTTGCCAAGCGAAACACTGATTCTCAAAAACAGGGGTCCAGGCACCAAGTCGTGCAACACAAAGCCCTAACTTTGCTGAAATCTCCTTTACAGTGCTAGATGGAAGCAGATGCACAGTCTGTCTCTCGTGAACTCCTGGCTTATATATAAGTTGGCCAATCCTGTGTAATACATATTCATGATAAAGGTGGACAGATTTTACACAACGTTGGACAAATTTTACCAAATTGTTGCCTCATTTCACTCAAGCTTAACTAAATTTTACTCATTTTTATTTACATACAGTGAACAATACACACTATTCGTCGACACGGAATTAAGTATGTCATCCAACCAAACTGGGGGCGCCGGTAGCAGCAGCGGGCAGCAGTGTCCAAACGAGTGCGGATATGACCCGTCCAATCAAAAACACAACGAGCAGAATTGGCAAGGCTTGAATGATCCCAGAGACCGGCCGTCCGGTGAGTTTTATTTTTAACAAATATAAAATAATTGTACTTGATAACGATACGCAAAGATTTTCTCAGTGTTTCATCGGGTGCACTTGCAATAAATAGCGGCAAGAAAGAGGTTTCTTGCAGGTACTTAAATATTTTGACCTGCACAAGAAATGCAAGGCGCAAGAAACGACGCCCCACCGCTATACTTCATACAGCGCGTGGCTAGATGGTGCTTATTTCTTGCACTTCTTCCTTTACAGTGCAAGAAATGTACCAAATTTGGCCTCGTTTTCTCCCGAATTTTGATCGTTTTGCGGGTACAAGTAACCACTTGCAAGAAAGTGGTTTCTTGCCCTTAATATTTTGACCTGCAAGAAATGCAAGGTGGCGTATGGCTAGATGGCATATATTTTTTGCACTTTCTCCCAGTTTCTTGTACCTCGCATTTCTTGCGTGGCTAGCTTTGCAGTGCAGGAAATATACCAAACCTGCAAGAAACGAAACAATGGTTTTGTTTTCTTAAATTGTACCCTTTACATATTTGTATGTATGTATGTAGAGGACATGCGGTTCAATACCCACTATTACAACGCGATTGATCGTCAGATCGCAGAAAATTATCACACTGGGTGTTTGGGTACGTATATCCGTGTAATAAATTATTTAATGTTGATGACTCATCCACAAAATCACCACATTTTTTATCATTTCTGAACTCTGCGAATTTACCTCAAAATTCTGGACGACAAACTCGTAGGTCTTTTTCAAAATAATAGATTTTTTTGATACGTTTTGAAGGAAGAGATCTCAATTTTAAGAAGGCTACAGAAAAATTGGAACGCTCACCACCATTCCTTTAATCCACTGACAGAGTACACATTTGTCGTTCAGGATTTTAAAATAAATTCCCAGAGCCGAAAAATGATTAAAAATGTGATGATTTTCACGATTTTAGTAACAGTCATCGAGTCTACGTATTTATGATGTTATTTATCAGTGTTGGGATTTTTTTAAATTATAGGCCAGCCTGGAAACACGCAATACGCCAAAAAGTAAAGGACTTGTCGGATGTTTACCATGTCTGGATGGATTTCTGCCTAAATTTACTTACATATTTATTTGCATATCGTTGCCCACAAGATAAATTAACTTGTGTGTTTATAATTAGAGAATTTCTGAATAACTTGTAATGCAAAATCTAATATATAAACTTCCTAAAATTGCAACATTCCAATAAAATTCGTAATTCAAATTAGACCAGATCTAGTTCACAAGTTCAATTTCCATCGAATTTTTACAATTTGTGCATATGTATTTGGCGAAATATCTGCAACTGAATTCTATTCATTTCGTACTTATTTTGGTCATCAATTTGCAACAAATTTGTCCTTTTTTCAAAATTAAAAAAAAAACTTTGCATTTAGTTTCATTTACATACAGATTAAAATATTAAAATCCATTCCGTGAAGTTGACGGGAACATGAAGCATATGAAAAGTGGGAATAGTCCAAAAAATATTCAGTTAAAATAAATATTCAGTTAAAGTTAGCGTTAAAATATGCAAATGAGGTGACAGAGCCGAGTACGAGGACAGTACATGCAATGCTAACAGATTTAAAGGGAGACGTTTCTAGTAATTCCTCGTACCCTGGAATATTCATCCGATTTACATAATTATGCATTTTATTGTTAATTAATTAGCTGACTTTATTTTTTGCTGTTTAAATAGCCATTTGGAAAATATAAAATTAAATAGTAAAAAACGATACAAATTCCTAAGAATAAGTCCTTCAATTGGTTTGGTTTGGTTACTAAATTGAAGCGGAATAATGGAATGCTTAATTTATTTATGTATCTCTGAGATATTTCAGTGCATGCAAAAAAAGTCAGACGGACAGAAACCTAACACTTTGTTAAAGCTCCAGGGTGGAATTTTATTCCCATAAATGGACTGACCTAGCAGTTTATGGATTGCTACAAAATATTATGGTATTAAAATAATTTAATTATTTCAACAAATGAAATTCACTTATTTATTCTACTCTACACGATACAAATGATACGAATTTCTCTATGTACATACGTAAAATTTGGTTTGACATTTTGACATCGTGTACATGTTTATATTTAAAACTAAATGGTGACATTTTTTTCCGGCATTGCAAAGTTGGGAAGAATATTAGGTCATATATAAGTGTCAGTTTGTAATCTAGTAACGTATTGTAATGTAAAAATGTAAACTTTACGAATATGTACATACTTATGTATATATGTAAATGTATGTTATGCATGTAGAATTCAGCTAAGGATCAAAGTTTAAGACATAAAATTTTATAGCTTTCTCAGTCTCCCTATTGCGAAGAAAGATTGTCAAAAGTAGGTTGTGATACATACGTACCTCCAAGTAATGCTTAGACCTGCATATTTACTGGACAAGAAATAAGCAACTATAAGCATTATAACCACATTCATATCTTGTCAAACCTTGAGACACATTTGTTACAGAAAGTAAAGAACTATTCACATTTCTTTTACAGGAAGCCAGGCCAGTAGCGTTCTGCCACAGGTCGAAGCAACTTTGTGGAATTTGCCAAAGTACGATAAAGAGGTAAGTAAATCTACCGGACTAATCTTAAAATACAATTTAATTTAGAATGCTAAATGGACAAAAATATGTAAAATTTACTCCATTAACTGGGAGAAAGTGCAAGAAATGCACTGCTACAAAAACCACTTTCTCCCCGTTATTTCTTACAAGTGGTTGGTTACTTGCACCCGAAACACTGCTTGCTGTGCCATCCTCTACGTTTTTTACTCAACCCTGACTAAACTATGTTCAAGTATTTTTAATTAGTTTACAGTGAACAATTCAAACTATTCTTCGAAAAAGGACGGAATTATGTCATCCAAACAAACCGGGGGCGCCGGAAGTAGCAGGGGGCAGCCGTGTCAAAACGAGTGCGGATATGACCCGTCTAATCGAAAACACAACGAGGAGCATTGGCAAGGCTCGAATGACCCTCGCGGGACAAGCCGTGGAGTAAGTTTTTATCCGGATTTGAAAGTCCACTACACTGTTAAAAAGCTGGTATTTTTGTATGTCTATGACTCTACCGGCTCTGGTAATAACGGGCATTACCGTTTAGTAATAGTAATGTTGTGGTACTGAAAAGTTACCAGTCAGAAACAAACTACTACCTATCCGGTTGGAATCCGATTCCCGGTAAGAAATAATTATTACCGAACTGGTAAAGTCATATGCGTATATACTCCGTTCAGTAATGATTTAATATCAGTTTTTCTAAAATTGTCTCAAATTAAACACTTTAAATGTATGGATTTATTTGTAGGTCACATGAAATTCAATTCACACTACTACAACGTGATTGATCGTCAGATTGCTGAAAATCATCACACTCGGTGTTTGGGTATGCATGTCTTTTATAATAAATTAACTATTCTATGTAACTTCATCTTTGTCTTAAATTATTTAGGCCAGCCTGGAAACACGCAATACGCCAAAACGTACCCAAAGTAAGGACTCCTCGGATGCCTGGATGGAATTCTGTCCAAATTTACTTACTTTTTATTTGCATAGCGTTGCCCACAAGATAAATTAACTTGTGCATTTATAATTAATTTTAGAATAATTTGTAATGCAAAAAACCTTATATATGAATTTCCTAAAATTGCAACGTTCCAATAAAATTTGGCGACATATCTACCCGTCCAATTTCCATCAAATTTGCACAATTTTTTTCAATGTTTTTAAGAAACTTTAAATTCATATTCCTTAACTTTACATATCAAAAATATTAAAGTCCATTGCTCCAAATCGACGGGCACATGTCGGGTACGAAAAGTGGGAGGAATCAAAAAAAATATTCGGTCCATGTTTTTATTTCGAAGTCAGGTAACTCTTTAAAATCCGGATACTTGCAAACTTTTACAAAATTTTACAAATAAAATTTCGAAGGGAAATTACATAGTTCCCAAATTTTTGCAAACTTGCTCAGATCAAGGGTGTCTCTCTATTTTTTAAATGTTTATAAAATTATGCTACAAACCACACCGATTTTGCAAGTTGCAAAAATACTGCGTGAACTGCCCACCGAAAAATCTCAATTTGCTTTATTTTTTATTACGGACATCGTCATTCATTGCATTCTGTCAAAATATTTAGCTTCAAGAAAAGAAACCACTTTCTTGCCGTAATTTTTTGCAGGTGGTTACTTGCATCCAAAAAAATTATGATTCTTTTTATTAAATTACGAAATTTGCATCGTCATTCAGTAGGCACCCTTGGATTTTATCGGACAATACGCATCGTGTCATAACACCGTAGAAAGAAATTTTCCATTGTGCATAAAAAACAATTAGGTATTGAGTAACTTTTAAAAAACAGAGTAATCTTCACCTGAAAACAATGACTCGTTAAAAAAATGCAAATATGACGCTGGGGAAAACAGCTTATAAATAGATGTGCAAAAAAAAAGTTTGATATACTATTAAAATCAGTTGAGGTTGCCTTTCAGAAAAAAAATTGGTGGATTAAAATGGGTCTCAAAATCGTCGCATTTTTCGTAATCCTCGCAATAACGAGGGTCAAAAGCGTCATCAAACCGGACGGGTCGTTCGAGAGCAAGCCAGAGACGAAAGCCGTGGTGGATAAGATTCTCAAAAATTCACCAATTATCGATGGGTAATTTTTTGAGGGAAAATAAATTCACGTCAAGCTTTGTTAACTTGGTTTTGCGAAAATTTGCAAAATTGATGTATGTCAAAGTAAAGCGACGTAAAATAATATTTAGTATGATACAATTATTAAAATTTTAATTTTAGATCGTTTGTTTTATAAATGATTTTCATGCACGTAAGCCTTCGTAAAGTTTAGTTTAATTTTGCGAAATTTTACAAAATTTGTACAGTTTACAAAGCGACTAAAAAATTGTTTAATTCAAATGCTTAAATCTTTTTTGGCTTAATTTCTCCAAGAAACTTAATACTTGTAAACTTTGTGGCATATCTATTTGCTAAAATTTGCACAGTTTACAAAGTAAAATCCAGCAACTTAATCCGGTTTAAATCTCTCTTTTAGACATAACGATTTGGCCACGAATTTTCGCGTCCTGGCGCAAAATGACTTGTCCAAGGTTGATTTCTCCTCCGACTTGACGAAGCACCCGTGGTGGTACACGCATGAGAATGCCGAGACCCACACGGACCTTGTGCGAATGAAGGCGTCCGGCTATGGGGGACAGGTGAGGGCAAAATTTATATTCCAAATATTTCCTAACTTTGTATAAACTCTTAAAAATCCGGTGTTAATCGTCACCGAACGGTGTCAGATGTCGGTGAAGAAACCGATCCGTTTTTCGGATAAAAAAAATATCCGATCCGATCGTTTTTGGGTGAAACAAATATCCAATCCGATCCGTTTTTCGGATTTAAAAATATCCGATCTGATCGTTTTTGGGTAGAAAAAATATCCGATTCGATCCGTTTTTTTAGAAGATATCGAAATTTCGAAGGAGTTGGACACCGTTTTAGTAATTATAAACTAGTTTATGTATCAAATGAATTTGTAGATGTATGTCCAAGGTAATGATAGAAATGTTTTTTGAGAAATATGACACAAATATTTTATTTTTTTGATAAAACTACATTTTTTGAAAAAAATTGGTTTTACTCTTATTACTATTTATGAGGTTAAATTAGTTTAAATGCGTTCTCTGTTGTAGGATTAATGTAATGGATTTATTAACAGAAAAAAATTAGTTTTTAACGAATAACAAATTTATTTTTTGATTTTTCGAAACATTTTTGATAAAGATGTACCAAGGACTGCGTGAACAGCCTCAATGTATTAACGAATACAGAACATATATCAAAATGTTTTGCAAAATTCAGTAATTTGACAATCTTACCTACAAATTCGACGCTCACCGCATCGATACTAGTTACAAATTATTTTAGGAATGATTTCCAATATTTGACCAATTATCGGCGATTTCTCAAAATTTGCAAAAAAAAGTCATACATTTTCGCGTGTAGCACAGAAAATGACGAATTACTTCGCACATATTAATTTATGAAGTAAAAATTACTCAAATTTTATGCCGTAATACATAAGAATTTTTAGAGTGCAAAAAACACTACTTTATTGTATTCTATAGATATACATACACCTCTGTATTAAGTCACGTGGTCAATAATTCACTAATATAATACTGTATTGTTATCTCCATTTCGCAGTTTTGGGCAGTTTTCACGGAATGCACGACCCAGATGAAGGATTCCGTGGAACAAACTTTGGAAACGATCGACTTTTTGAAGCGACTCGTACGAAAGTATCCCGAACATTTGCACTGGGCGACGAGCTCAAAGGGTAATTTTTTACGAAAAATTGGGCCAAATTTCATGCAATTTTTTGCATTTTGTTACTGAAAGCAAAAAGGATGCTAAGCAATCTTAGTGGAAATCATGCAAATTGCAAACTTTAATTTCATAAAATTAAAACTTATTTATAAAGCGACAGAGGTTACAAGGTTCTAGATAAGAATACACAGCATGTGCCAAAATATTACATAAACAGGAAAAAAACAATGCAATACTAAATATATTTGGTGAAATTTAATAATTTGATCGAGTTTGCAAATTGTGTCTAGTTCGACGTCGCAAACATTATTTTTTTAGAAATTGTTTGTAGTATTATAGAATTAGATTTTTTAAACCCTGAACTAAAATATTGCAAGCATATTTTGCAAATATTTTGCAAATATTTTGCAAATACAATATTTGCCTGCATTATTGATATATTTCCCAATTACCTAAACCATACTGAAAAACTTATTGATTTACAAAATTGCAAAGCTTGTCGTGATCTATCTTATACTTATTTGTATAGAAGACTTATCACATTTGTCGCCATTTTTTAAAATTTACGTACTTATCCTTAGATATCGAGGAGGCTCTAAAACTTGGCAAAATCGCCAGTTTAATGGGCGTCGAGGGAGGCCACTCGATCCAATCGAATTACGGAATTTTGCGCATGCTCTACGAACTGGGAGCGAGATATTTGACGCTCACGCATACCTGCAACACTCCATGGTAAGCTTGCCAATTTTGTGCAAAATTAAATCGATTTCTAACTATAAATAGAGGTCTTCCATGTATGTATGCTCGCAGATTTTGGTAAAACTAATACCAATCAATCAATCAAAAAACTGAATTAATATGAAATTTGCAAAAGTCAGAATTCGCACGTTGGACAGACATAAAGAGGAGAAGATGTCGACAAATTTTACACTTTTCTGCCAAAATGTGTGTCTTTTGCAAATTTAAAAACAATTAAATTTGTGTTTGATTGACACTAGTTTGCTCAAAATCGGAGAGCATACGCTGGGAGTATCAAATTTGCACACCTCAAAATTAGGTGCAGTTAATTTATTTTTTAATTCCCAAAAAAAATTGGCAAATTCAGGGCTGACGGTTCCCCGTCGGATCAAGATAACCCTTCATCGCCAAATTTCTTGCTACGCGAACACAACGGCCTGACCACTTGGGGACTCGTAATTAATTAATTATTTACTTTCCTAAGCAAATTCGTGAAAACTTACGTATTTTTTGGGATAACTAAAATCTAGGGGCTTATCGACGAACTTAACCGAATCGGAATGATGGTGGATTTGTCGCACACGTCAGAAAAAACGATGCTGCAAGCCATCAAGAGGTCAAAAGCGCCCATAATTTTCTCCCATTCGGGCGCCAGAGCGGTCTACGGGCATCATAGGAATGTTCCCGATGACGTCCTAGAATTAGTGGTGGGTCATTAAGTCACGCAGATGTTTGAAATCTCATAAAATTGCAAAATTTTAGCAAGGAAAGATTATTAAGATTTCTATTATGTATTTTATGAAATAATTTTACAAAATTTTTGCAAATTTTACAAACACCGAGTCGAACTTGGATCATAAAAGTTGAAAAATTTCTTTGCAATTCAAGCAGATAGTTGTAATATCACAAACTTGCAAAACTTTCGGAAGGAAGCTTAATTACAATCTTTCTACACACATATTTTATGAAACGATTTTTCAAAATTTTTACAAAGTTGAAAAACATTGGTCAAAACTTTGAGAAATTTCTCCAACTCATGCGAATGGTTGTAATCTGGTAAACTTGTGCAACTTTAGGAAGTCAAGTTATCTAGGTTGACTTGAATCTCTACCATATTTTATGAAACAGTTTTTACAAAATTTTACGAATTTTACAAGCATCCACTCTAACTCATAGTAAGAGCGGACCAAAAAGTTACGAAATTTCGGCAGATTTCTATAATCTCTTGAACGTGCAAACTTTTAGGAAGGAAAATTAAGTCGTATTTCCATATTAAAAACTCTGTATTTTATATATGAAACGATATTACAAACTTTTACATAGTTTACAAACATCCACCTGAATTACATGCTAGATGTAAATTTTGAAATTCTTCGCTCAGAAATCCACCGGATCTATCGTCATGCTGAACTATTATTCTGCATATCTCAAGAAGGATCATAACAATACAACTATCGCGGATGTCATAGGTAAAATTTGTAATAATTATTTACATAATTTGCACATGGCGCCACACTTATTTAATTAATTAAATTAATTATTAAATTTAATTGATTAATTAATTAATTTTCCTTATCAAGCACATGCCGAGCATATTAAAAAAATTGCTGGAGTGGACTGTATGGGACTCGGGGGAGACTTTGATGGCGTTGAAATGTAAGAAAGATAAAGTATCTATGCAATTTTGCAAAATCGGTTGACAAACGAGGTGCAAAAAAAATTGGCGATTTATTTGTCCCCATTTTTTGCAACCTTTCCAATTACAAATTTAAGTAAATATTTTGTTAAGGTAAAAGTTAAACGCCATTTATTAAAACATTTGGAAATCCACTCCACTTTATGCTTATGCAGATTAGACATGTGTTACATAAATTTCGAGAACTTATGGAAGGAATAATTAGACTCCCATTGAAACTTTGCAAAAATTTCAGATTTTTTCCAGAAAATTTTGAAAATTAGAAGATAAATAATTAGATTGGAAGAGTTGCTTTGTATATTTGCAAAACGTTTGCAAAATGTTACCTCTCTCTTTACACAAGTTTAATTTACAAACAGTAAATTTAACGCTGAGCTTAACGCAGGACTTGATAACTCAGCACCAAAATATCAGCAAAATTCAGTATATTTTTAATCGTTTCTCCCCTCTGGGAATTTATTTTACAATTCTGGACGACAAATTTGTAGAGTAGGTCGTTGTCAATTTTTTGAAAATATACACTCCAGAATTTGAAATTTTTTGAAGGAGGAAATCTCAAGTTTGAGAAGCCTTCAGAAAAATTTGAAGTCTTCGAAACTGGCTAAAAAAAATCAACGCCATTCTATCAATCAACTCACTGACTACAAATTCGTCATCCAGAATTTTAAAATAAGTTCCCAGAGCCGAGAAATGATTAAAAATGTGTGGAGATTTTGACGATTTTGGTGATTAAGTCCTACGTTGAAATATTCCGTACCGAATCTAGATTGCCCAAGGATTTAGAACATCCCGGAAAAGTACGAAACTTACTTGAAGCCTTGTACGAAACGGGAACTTGGACTGAAGAAGATTTGGAAAAACTTACGTCAAAAAATATTCGCAGAGTGTTCGCCAAAGTGGAAGAGGTTTGCAAAAATTATAAAATTTGCCAAACTATTTAATTGCATTTATAATTTAATTTGCGATCATCTATTTCACAGGTGAGGGACTCGTTGAAGGGAGAGGAGCCAAAACAGGACGCCCTGCCCGTTCCACAGTATTGGAATTCTAACACAATTACGCAAAATTTCTTTTAATTCAAAAATTTACTTATGGACCAAAAAAATTAAATATAGTACGATTTTTCAAAATTTTCTATACAAATTACACTTTTTTGTAGAAATTAAAAATCTGTAAATATTACACGGCAGAAAGCTTTATAAATATTTTTGCATATATTTTTGCACGGATGTCGTCTAGTTTCTTTATCCAAGCATTGGCATAGACAATTGTAAAACATTAGAAACATGGACGAAATAAATTTTGTGAAAATTTTGCTGGAATTTTGTGAAAATTTTGTGCAAAATTAATTAAATAATGTCCCCTTTTAAGAGCCACAAAAATCTATTATTAATCACGCAGAAACCATTTCTATATAAATTTGGAGTTGAGCTTTATCAAACAGTCATAAAATTTTTGCGGACTCATTTTCCTCGCAAATTAAAAATTAAGGCATGAATCGTATGATACGCCATGTCCCACAAAAAGAAAATTCGCAAATGGCCATGACCACGACCAACTGAATTCGCCTTACAGACTGATGTCTGAGAAATTTGGTAGTTCTGATAACTACTTATCATCACCGATATAAAACTAACAACTAATCAGCAAGGTCAAAATTGGAATACTTATGCATGCCTCTGTTTATTTGACCAGATTATGTCTTATCCATTCATGATGTTACACACACGTTAAAAAAATTCTGTTCATGACCTCCACTTTTGATACCACTTACATAAGCACCTTATCTACATTTACATTTGAAATATCGTACTTTAAACGGCAGTCAAATGTGTAAGTAAAATTAGCCACCGGTCTGATAACCGCTTTGCTAACATGTTATACAGACCGTTCTTCATAAGCTGTTATGGTTGCGTGTGTGACACGTATCATAAAATCTTCAGAGTGAAATTCATGACCTATAAATGGGTATAAAAAGATGAGTCCTGGACACACTGGACATCAAATCGAGAAGAAATATCTCCTCAGAATTTAATCCAGATTCATTCGAAATTGTTGCAATTCTAAAATTTTGTAAGCCAAAATATTTACAATGTTCTATGTCAATTTTTTGCATGGTAAACAGGCAATGGAAGTCTCCCAGCGTAAGCTGTCCGATTTTGAGCAAACTAGTATCAATCGATGGCAAATTTAATTAGGATGAAATTTGCGAAAGACACGATCTCCCAAGGGGTACGTTTGGCAGAGATATTTGCATCCCAAGAGGAGAAAACGCGCAGTAAATTTGGAAAGTGTAAAATTTTTCAACTTTAGATCGTGTTTTCTCCTCTTCGGATGCAAATATCTCTGCCAAACGTATTACCCATTAGGAGATCGTGTCTTTCGCAAATTTCATACTAATTAAATTTGTCATCGATTGACACTAATTTGCTCAAAATCAAAAAGCATACGCTGGGAGACCTAAATTCTGCATCGTCAAATTTTAATTCCGTTTTATGTCACATACTTATAAATAGATACGCTGACACTGACAGAATTACAGACAAAATCGTCACAATGGTCACCGAAAATCTTCAGCTTGGCTGCAAGGGGTCCGTCGTCCGAGGAGGAACGTCCCCCCAGGTGAACACTACGACGGGAAGAAGTGGGGTGTGGCCTTCCTGGGGTTCCGATGGGACGAGCAGCTTGCCACCGCAATGCGCAAAATGTGGATCGACCCGAGATTGCTCGTGTTCTTAAATAGAAATTAAACAGACGAATACAAAATATTATTTTCTCTCCATTTTTATGATAAATTATTAATAAATTAAAGCTAAATATGAACGTTAGATGTACATATTTTCGTTTCGCAATAAAAAGATAACACCGTTAATATTTCTTCATGGTTTGATTTCAGAGTAAAATTTCCATCTTAAAAAATATGCATAGTTAACAAAAGTTTTAGCACTTTGAAAATTCAACTTTGAAATTTGTATAGTTTAAACGCCGATTTGAAATTTTGAATATGTTCAATAATTTAATTGCTTACTAGATCCAGTCTCGCTTGACATGTAAGGATAAGTAATGAGGAAATTCACGTCAATCTTCGTAACTCTGTAACCCGTAAACTTACGAACTTTTGACGAAGCTAAGGAACATCTCGAATGCAATTTTGGCTTACAAAGTTAGAAAACCTTACGAAGATGAAAAGCATGTTCTTGATTCGTAAGTTGATCTTCTTCAACTTACGTGGTTATGGACTTACGAAGATTGACGTGAATTTCCTCATTGGTTAAGTGATAAATAATCTGAAGGAATTATTTTTTAAATACAATTTTGCTCGAAATGTATTAATCAAAATGCAGTTCAGCATGCAAATTTGACATGATTTATATATCCAGTCGCATATTGGGAATAAATGCATGCAAATTATAGATTTCTATGACTTAAATGCTGTTTTGGGATTTTTTAATGATTTAACATTTCTTTGATTTGGTTATTAGACTAAATTCTCTTTGGGTGTTTTTTTTTACACAGCAAAAATTTCTGTGATTTATCCTTAGTTTGATTTCTGAGAAAAATCTTCATCTCAAATAATATGACCAGCATAGTTAGCAAAACTTTGACACATTTTTAAAATTCAGCCTTCAAATTTGCATGGTTTAACGCCGATTTCATATATTTTTTAATTTGTTCGATCATTAGATTACCGAATAGATTGCTGCTTCAACTCAAGTGATAATCGACTTGAAGAAATTATTTTTTAAAATTGCAATTTTTATCGGGATATATTCGTAAAAATGTGGTATCAGTGTGCAAAATTTCTTGAATATTCTCATATTTTGTTAGTTTTCTTAAGCATTGTCAATAAATGCAGGCAAGTTATAGATTATTATGGCTTAAACGCCGGTTTGAGATTTTTTTTTACTGATTAAAAGGACATGGTAACTTTTTGGGTCTTGGTGGGCCATTCGATCTTTTGCACTTGAATGAGACTCTTCAGTCAGAAATCGGGATGATTGACTTTTAAATGAAAACTAAACTTTTGAACAGATATTGTTGTAACTTGGAAATTTCCGGTGCAGTTTCGTATGCATGCATGCATGTATGTATGACGGTTGACGGTACAGGATTCACTTTTCAAAATAATACTAACAATGGAGGCGCAAACCATGTTCAGCCCAGATAATTTTTTGACCTTATTAGTTGGAAGGAGCAAGTCTTTACAAACAACATTTGGTTCAGCACTTGGGCAGATGCGCAAATTTCAGCACGTTATGGGCGCCGCAAGTTCGCAAATAAAATTTTGTTCCTATTTGCCGGTCGAGCTTGAGCTAGACAAGCTTCCGAAGTTTTTATGGGTAGAGCTTGAGTGAACCGAGCTTTTTGCTAGCCGAGCTTTTGGCTAACCGACCGGGAAAGAACCTAGTTTTTTGCGATTCGAGCTTGAGCTAGCCGAGCTTTTGGCTAACCGACCTGGAAAGAACCTAGTTTTTTGCGATTCGAGCTTGAGCTAGCCGAGCTTTTGGCTAACCGACCTGGAAAGAACCTAGTTTTTTGCGATTCGAGCTTTTGGCTAGCCAAGCTTTTGGCTAGCCGAGCTTTTGGCTAACCGACCTGGGAGCTCATGCTCGAACGCGTCGTTAGCTTAGCGACGTCGTAAAAATTAGCGACACATGCTCAAAATAATTTTTAGCGATGTCGGTATTGCTAAAGGACACCTTTGAGCATGTGTCCTTAGCACTTGTCGTTAGTAGCGACACCGACGTATGCTCAAAACTTTGATTGTCGGTAAGACCTTGGAATTTGTCGTAAAAGTTTTCGACGCCTTAATAGCTATCGAAACGAGATAAATTTGTCGTAATTTGCTGTTAATTAGGATCCGTTCATATATTATGTAAACATTTTATGGGGGGAGGGGGTCAAGAAGCTATTGACGATTGTTGACGAGGGATTGGGTATGTTGGTTTGCATATGTTGATGCCAACTTTGTTTCGGGCAAATTGAGTCGCTGGATTGCGAAATTCTTAATGAGTTTCCGCAACTCAGCTCAAACTCATTATTGTTCAAATCACTCATTTTGAAACGAGTCGTTTGAAATGAATTGAATGAATGAAATGAATTGACTCAAACTCAATTCAACTCATCCTCAGCAACTCATGAGTCAAATGCGTTGACTCGAACAGTTCGAGTCGAACTCATTGGCAGTCCTAATCGAGAGAGATTGAAGGAAAAAAATATAATTATGCGGCGGTTACGTGCTTATCAAAAATGAGATTTATGAATTTTTAGATAATTCGCAATTTTTTCGCAATTCGCAATTTTTCACAGTAAATTTGCTTAAAAATTAATTGGAAAATTTTTTCAAAACGATTTGTTTATAGTATAAAAATTTAGCCTTAGATTAAAATATCAAAGTTGCATTTACCCTAAAATTAATTATAGACTAATTTTAAATTTTGTACACTCAATATTAAGAGGACCCGTATTTTTGCATTTTTCTGAATACCCGTTTTAGTCCGTAACGGAATTTTCAAACAAATTTTAAGCTAAAATCTTGATTTTGTAAATTCTATAACTTTTTAAATTATGACATAATTTTAAAAACTCGAAAACATGTCTGCTCACAATGACTTCCCCATTTTACTTGAGAATTTTCTTGGATAGTTTGACAAGTTATTATAAGTGGGTTGAAATTTTATCCCACTCCTACACCTAAAATAAAGTGGTAGTAAACGTAAGAACATAACTCCTCAGTTACCAAGATCGTTGTGAACCACTCCCTTAATCGGAAATAGATTACAAATTTTAACGATTTTTTTTTCGACAATGTCGTTAAACTCATAACGACAACATTTTCCGACGCCTTGACGACAAATGATGAGCATACGTCGTTATAATTTGTCGTTATTAAGGCGTCGTTAATTTACGACGTCGGTAAGTTAAGGACGCGTTCGAGCATGAGCTCCCAGGGAGCTCATGCTCTTTTTCCCTAGATACTCGATGCTGCGCTGCGATTCACTTTTGTATTTCTTGGTGCCGTGCCCCGTCAAAGAAAAGCATTCGAGATTAGAAATTGTTTTATTCGGCACTATTTCAAGGTTGCTTGACAACTTTAGTAATTATAGATCCATGTCATACAGGGTATTTTCACTGTTTCTTTGGAGGATTTCTCTAGATAGGGTCATGTCAGTTCAAAAATTCTCCAATTTTTTTTTACAGATTAATTACAATTAACTGTAAATTGCAAATTAAACTGTAATTTTTTTTACAGTTTGGGAATATGCTATTTTTCCTGGGAGAGTTTGATTATCAAGAAAAATAAAATACTCTATAAAACGTCATAAATTCACGCGAAAAATTTGTAAATACCGTTTTTGGTACCGATCCTAGTTCAATATACCGGGTATAATTTTTTGAAAAATTTCTTTTAAAAGAAATTTCATAATTTAAACGTCAATTTCGGATTTTTAATTTATTCAAATATTTTAAGCGCATATTAGATATTTGCTAAATCGCCTTTCAAGTGATAAGATAATAGGTATGTCAAAAAGTTAATTTTAAAATTACTATTTTGCTCTTACGTAAAATTTGTCGGGAAGCATTCTTAAATCTTTTATGCAAATAAAAGCAGGCAAATTATAGATTATATTGTAGACTTAAACGTCGGTTGGCGATTTTTAATGATTCAAATTCTTACAAATTTACATTAGATATGATTTTCTTTCCACTAAAGTTATCACAAAAACGTGTAATATATTTAATTACCTTAAAATCTAAATTAAGAGTATATATAGATAACCCTATTTAATTTATAATGATGGCATAACAAGCCTTAGACATTCTGATTTTACCCGATTAACACATATCTACTTGTTGAAATGTTGAAAATAATATCGATCATGACATCATTTAATCATAATTTAATCGCAATTAATTTAATTGAAGAAAATCAAAATTTAAGAAAATGGTGACCTGTAACCTACATTGCCCACTTTCTAATCAGGGATGATCCTTTACCTTAAAAAGCTAGGTTTCAAGTCTGCATGTCACAACGTTAACTAATTATCGATGAGTCATTTCGTTACATGTTTTTTATTGGGTATGTCCCCTAATTTTTCACATCTTTTTACACACAAAAACGATAGCAATACATGAGACTGATTAGTAATAGGATTAGTTTTCTTATCACTTAAATTGCCTTCTGAAGACGAGTTGACATTGTTTTTTGTCACAAATTTCGTGGGGTCGATTTTCGCAGGACGTGAGACGTGTCAGCAATTGTACGCCTTGCGGACATCGTTTTCAGGCCCCTCGTGCGTACAGGACATGAATCCGAGCCCCTTCTTCCGCGGAGAATAGTTCAACATGAAAGTGCAGATGGTGACGGTGCAAGCCAGCGCCACGACGATGTACGCGATCAGCAAGTAAATCCGGGCGAAACGACCCTACATAAACGTGAAATTTCAATAATTTCAAAATTTCCAAAATTTTGAGACAGATTCAATTTAAATTTTCATATTTATTCGTCTCACAGGCGCATCGAATCGTTCCCTCTCTTCCAAAACGGGAATCGGCGAAAAGAGGATGAGTCGACGGTGAGTAAGTTTCATTTGTGCGTCACTGCAACGTTGCAGAAGCTGTAATTTAAAAAAATATATGAGGATCGATAACCAAACCACCATTTCAAAAAATCGATAATCTAGATTTTTAAAAAATAAGAGGATCGATAACCATCATTTCAAATTAAATCGATAACCTAGAATTTAAAAGAATATGGCAATCGATAACCACCATTTAAAAAAAATCGATAACCTAGATTTTTAAAAAACATGAGGATCGATAACCATCATGTCAAATAAATCGATAACCTAGAATTTAAAAAAATATAACTGTCGATAACCACCATTTAAAAAAATCGATAACCTAGATTTTAAAAAACATGAGGATCGATAACCATCATTTCAAAATAAATTGATAACCTAGAGTTTAAAAAAATATGTGGATCGATAACCATCATTTCAAAACAAAAAGATAACCTAAATATTCACCATTTCATGACATACCGTCATCACGACGTGCATCGCAATATCGAACATGATCCAGGAAATCACAACGACAAAGACGGCCTCCTTCGTCAGATCAGCTCCGAAAAAATGAAGGACCGCAATATCTTGGTAAGCCGCGGGTGAGCCGGGGATCGCGTTGGCCGTTATCATGCACGCCACTACGGATTCAGAGGTCACAAAACCTTAACTCGATGATTCTGAGTCAATATTCCCGATATAGATCGATTACAATCAGCACATTTTTAATCATCTCTCTCCTCTGGGAATTTATTTCAAAATTCTGAACCACAAATTTGTAGAGCAGGTCGTTCCCATTTTTTTCAAAAATATACACTCCAAATTTTGACACTTTTTGAAGGAGGAGATCTCAAGTTCAAGAAGCCTTCAGAAAAATTGGATCTCCTAGTCGAAACTGGTTTAAAAACTCATCGCCCTTCAACTCACCGACTACAAATTTGGCGTCCAGAATTTTAAAATAAATTTCCAGAGGCGAGAAACGGTGAAAAGTGTGTAGATTTTGACGATTTTACTTACGACCCATCCAGTAAAACAAGAACCCCATGACGCCATGCAGAATAATTGTGACTGCCCGAAATTGTCTCTTCATTGGTCGAAATCCCCCCAGGAAAAAGAGCAGGACCGAAATTACGACAGAAATCCAACCCATGACGCGATGCGCGGTGGCGGCGCGGCTCAAACTGACGCCGAGCATCGCCTTGCTTCCAACTTGTCGGATCAATCCCACCATGAAGAGAAGTACGGTGATGAAAGAGAGGGAAAGGTGGACCTGTAGGTAGATAAGGCATATTTGATAAGTATTTAGCGGGATTTTCAAATTAGTCGTCTAAACCACGTGCGAAATCAAAAGATTTACAAAATAGAGTTGGACCCCGACTGAAATTTAATTTCGAAGTGTCGTGGATCAGAAATTCTCGCTTAATTATGTAAAACTCAATGACTCATCATCAGAATTGTCAAAATCACCACATTTTTAATCATTTCACTCCTCTTGGGAACTTATTTTAAAATTCTGAACGACAAATTTATAGTCGGTGAGTTGATTGATGGAATAGCGGCGAGTTTTTTAAGCCAGTTTCGACGAGTTCCAATTTTTATGAGGGCTTCTTAACCTTGAGATATCCTCCTTCAAAAAGTGTCAAAATCTGGAGTGCATATTTTTTTAAAAATTTATAACTCCCCACTCTACAAATTTGTCGGGCTGAATTTTAAAATAAGTTCCCAACGTGGAGAAATTGTTAAAAATGCGCAGATTTTGTCGGTGAGTAATCTAGTCCCAGTAATCTAGTTAAATTTGTCACTCACAAAGTACCAGACGTGATGGAGGAAGATCCGATTGTTCATAAAGGTCTCTTTGAAATACCGCGTCATGAAGAAGCTCACCGGCGTCACGAACATGACAATGATGGTCATAAAAATCCCATGAATTAGCCGCGAGTCCTGTCGTCATAATTAAGCAATTAACATGAAAAATTAGCATACACACAATTAACCGGAAATCATAAAGTGGTATGTAATGCTCACCCAGATGAAAAGCGTGAACGGATCTTCCGCCGCCAACATGCCCCTTTTGTACGCATTCGTCAGTTTGTAACGCGCTTTTCGATCGGCTTTAAGTTTTTCCGCAAGAATGGACTCGTTAGCTGGAAAAGAAATGAGGAACAATTACTTCGGGGATGGTAAAAATTTAGCGTGGGTTTGATTTTTTTTTTTTTTTTCGGGAAACAAATCCCGGAGTAAAAAAATTGACCCTAATTCTGGATTTATTAAGTAGCTCCTTTACGAGAAGATTGTGTCCGTCTGTCCGTCTGCAGGATAACGGAATTGAGATAATCGAAATCGCGTTTAAACATCCTACGTATTACCCCAGGGGGAGGATCCTATCAACTTTTGGGGTAAGTCAGACCTCTAATCCCCCTCAAAGGAAGGGGGTGTGGTCTAGGGAAAATGAGATTTCTACCGAAATTCCTCCACAAAATTAAGTGTAGATTTCTCACATCCGGGGACATAAGTTGGTTCGAAGGTGTACGGTCTCGGGACGAGGAGAGGACACTCGAAATTTCCCTCGCGCATTTTCTCCACCAATTCGCACACGAGCTCGTTCCTCGCACTGTTGTCGGCCAGTCTTTCATCCACCGTTTTCCGGGAGCTTGTGGTCCTTTGGCGCTCCACGGTTTTCACGACTTTTCCCAGGGCAGGATCTGAAAAGAATTATTTATGCAAGTTAGATCGAAAATTAGTCACGCCAAACAAATTACTGGTCACGTTTGGCGGATATTTTTCCGAGGAGGAGAAAACGTAAAGTAAATTTAGAAAAATGGTCGGTCTTTTGGATGAAAATATGTCATAAATGTCATATTTGTCAGTTTTCCCAATTCCAGACTATGTGTCACAAAATTCCAATGTGACCGACATTTATTTATGACAAATATGTTGTACATACGTATGACGGAAAAAATTGGACATTTATGCCAATTTGACCTGTCATATTTGCCACAGATTTTAAATGTCTGACAAATCAAACCTGTTCAAAAATTTAGTTTCCATTCAAAAGTAAATCATTTCGATTTCTGACTCAAGACTTTCATTCACATTGAGTCAATTTCGTTCAAATTGGTTTCACTTCACTTCATCGGACTTCATTTCTAACCATAGGTTAAGCATAGGGTGAACATGAAATGAGTGAAGAATCCTTTTTATTCATTTGAAATGACAGAATCCTTCAGTCATTTTCGTTCAAATAACGGGAAGAAATTCATTTTTTTTATTCACAATCATAATCAATAAAATGAATGAAGGTGAACAGGTACATATGTGACAAAGATGACATCTATGACATATCAATGACACGTCATTCATGACGGGACATCTCCCATTCTTCAATTTCACTCACCCAAATAATTTTTACTCTCATACTCATCAAAAAACGCGTCACACTTGGGCGGACCAAATTTCGGGCTGCCGACGCCATCCGTGCCAAAAAGGGAGGGGAGACACCTCCCCATGACGGGGAGGAAGGCTCCATGGTTCCTCCCTGATACGAAAGTGCACTCCTCTTTTTCATCCAGCTTAGTCACGAAGGGTAGCCGGTATTCGGCCGGGGTCGAGGTATCCACCTTTGTCGAGTCCTCGAAATGCTGCGCGTCTATCCCGACGCAGGTCGCGTCATAATAATAATGCGGGTAGTCCCGGGCGTACCGAGAATCGTACAGGACACAGCGTTCCCCCGGAATCCAGGGTTTTCCCGCTGGGTAGTCGGGATTATCGTTCGCCTAATAAGAGAAGGAGATACTATAAAAAAATATGGCAGGTTTTAGCCTCCTTTTTATTCATCGCACTGGGATTTGGTGCCCATGATACTACTGATCACCTATTCTGAGAAGTTAAAAAAAAACATATTGTGAAATATCTGCCAGGAAACCTTTCAGATTTTTTTCAGACTATTAATACTGGCTGAACAGTATGTATTTGAGCTAAAACCTTGTCATACAAGGCCACATTCCTTTATTCAATACGTATTGATTGAGAATGTCGAATTTGGTGATAAAAAATAACGAGTTTCAAGCATGGAGCATCAAATCCAATTAACGGCAATCCTAGTCACCCACGCTGGTTTTAGTCTCCTTATCCATCATTTAAATTCAAACCAACATGGTAAAAAAATAAATTGTTTGCTGCATCCCCAGTAAAAGTACATCCCTCCACCTAAATATCCAATTCTGTGGGGTATTCTGATGTGATACATACGTGGGCGCGCCAAGTCTCCCAGTTGAACTCGTTGAGGACCCGCTGCACGGCGGCGGTGAAGTGACCCTGGGGTCGATACGTGGGTTCGCGGGGGTACTCATAATAGACGTCCATCCCGAATTCTCTCTGTTATAAACAGTCGCATCATTAAGGTAGGGTCCATCTTGAAACGTCCATGTTCTCCGGGCGGCAAACCGTTTCCGGATTTCGTCCGCCTCAATGCTGTACGGTTTTCCGGAGTCGTTGTACCAGGGCGGGTGCAGGCGGTAGAGGTCTTCTCGCGTGGGCACGGCGTGGATGAACCTGTTCAAAAATTCAGTTTTCATTCAAAACTCGATTTCTGCCTGAAGATTTTCATTCACATTCATTTCACTTCATTTCAATTTCACTTTATCGGAATTAATTTCTTACCATACGTTAAGGATAGGGTGAAAATGAAAAATGAAATGAGTGAAGAATCCTTTCATTCACAGTTATTCATCCGAAATGAAAGAATCCTTCACTCATTTTAATTCAAGTAACGGGAAGAAATTCATTTTTTTCATTCACAATCATGAATATAATCAATAAAATGAATGAAAGTGAACAGGTACATATGTGACATCTGATGCGTGAAATTAATTTTCATTCACTATTATATTCAGTAAAATGAAGGAAAATGAACAAATATAGTGGAAAACAAACTTGATGGCCCCGCCGAAAGTCGAATCTGCCGTGGCGTCCGGGTTGTGGACCAAGTCCGCCCCGGCCGTGATGGAGGCGCGGTGCAGGGTTTTGTCGCCGGGCCACCCGAACGAGGGAGGGGCTGGGTTCATAATCCATTCCCCGTGCAGGGGAGCAGAGCACGTGACACTTTCCACCCCACGGGGGATGGGGTCCGCGTTTTCGTAGTAGGTCGGCCCATGCATGGCATGCGAGGAGGTGAACACAATCCGGGTCGAGACGGAACGTTGAACGACTAAAATGGAGATTATCGTTACAATTATTACAACCTTATCGGCATGAACGATGGTGGTGGCGGTGAACGATGACCAATTTTCGGCGACGCAAATTTGGCGATTTTTCGGCGCCTAGGTATGGTAGGAAGCTAATTTAGGCGGCGCGTAAAATGCACCGGTGGAGCGCAAAATGCTACCCGGGCCATACCTGTTCAAAAATTTAGTACTCATTCAAAAGTCAGTCATCCCGATTTCTGACTGAAGATTTTCATTCACATTCAGAGTCCTTTCATTCAGAGTCATTCATCTGAAGTGACGGAATCTTTCACTCATTTTCATTCAAGTCACAGGCATTCATTTCCCTTCACCATCATTCTCTATCATAATCAGTCACATGAATGAAAGTGAACCGGTATGTCTGTATACGCCACGAATCTTACACTGTTGACGGCCGCAGACAAAATTTAATTCCCTATTCCTTCCCCGTTTGGGCGTCGCTCTGCCGAAAAATCACCAAAATTTGGCCCCAAATTCGTCTGCGTTGCAAACTTACCATAAATTATTTTTGCAGAATTCTCTGGAAATTTTGGATAGGACGGATTGTTCCACAAATCAACCCTGGTAACGATCCCGTTCGCCCTGTAAAGTTACGTTACGATAAGTACTTATCTTGTTTATTCATATTTTTTTTTTCACTCACACAAAGTCCAGCTCGTAATATTTATTAGAGAGTGAGTTATCCAACTTGAAATTGAGATGAATTTCCGTAAAATTATTATTTTCCGGATTCCGCTGGGTTTTGCCGTACTTGGTTTGGGCGTCATTCTTTGTCTTCGTGTAGTAGAAATTATTTCCATACTGGGAATGATAACATACATACTTATTAAAAAGGACAGATCTCGAACAGTGTTTCGAATGCAAGGCAAGCACGTGGCTTTATTTCCTTGCAGTTTCATGCTTCATTTGCAGTGCAAGAAATGTAGCAAAATCGAAACGAAACACTGATCTTAACCGAAAATGGGAACAGAGGCCGCGGAAGTGTGGGGACAGAGGGGGACGGTTCGCGTCATCCCCCCATGTTATACAGATCCCCCACCCTCCACATGTTAATGTGCCCACTAGGGTGACCATAATTGTACTGACTAAAACCGGGACATTTTAGACGAAAAAATTTGCCAATAACATCTAATGCTTGGCAAAAAATTTGCCAATAATATCTAGCGCTTGGCGAAAAATTTGCAGAAAAGCGAATTAAGCATATCTCACAGAATTAGAGGAGTAATACTATATTACCTAGAAGCAGTAATGGGCTACGTGAGACTATCACTCTGATGTAGCCCTCCTCCCATCAGCGGAGGAAAAGAACAGCTTCCAACTCCGTGAAACTGGGAAGGTGGCAGCTGTGTAGCAGGCATGTAGTGGTGCTGAGAGGGGTGTTGCGAGACTCGTATTCTCACATTTTAAAAGTTTGGTGCTCTCACCCGATTGGCTGAAATGTTGCACACTTTGGACGAAAGTGTCGCTCACATTGGCATGATTTTGAGCGTACTCTAATATAGCCATACCTGCCCTTTGGCATATCTCACCTGCACGACACTGGTATTTATGTGCTAAAATCTACTTTTTATACAATATTTTGGCGAAAAATGTGAGATAATTTAATTTGTGCCTAAGATTTTAAAAACCGGGACGTTTTCGGGACAGGTTTTGAAAACCCGGACGTCTGGTGACCCTAGTCCCCACACATCCCCATGACTTCCTCGGCCACTGAATGGAAACCATACTCACCACGGCCTCCCCGTCCTGCACCGCTCCACACGGCATGAACTGCTGGGTCACGTATTTCTGATTATACCCGGGTTCCTTACACTTCGGGAAGTCCTGGACAAATTCGCCAATCCCGCCGACCCAGGCGCGTCGCGGGTACCCGGGGACTAATTACGGAGGGGAAAAATTAATTAATAAACTTGATTAATTGATGGCAGGTTCCGAATAATTTTGACACTTTTTTTGAAGGAGGAGATCTCAAGGTTAAAAAGCCTTCAGAAAAATTGGAACGAGTCAAAACTGGTTAAAAAAACCCGGCGTCATTCCACTAATTGACGGCAATTTTTCGTCCAGAATTTTAAAATAAATTCCCAGAGGGGAGGAATGATTAAAAATATAATTAATTTCTACTATTTTTAATCATACTCGATGACTCATCGCCAAAATCGTCAAAAACCAACACAGTTTAAATCATTTCTCGTCGCCTCTGGGGAATTTATTTTAAAATTCTGGACAACAAATTTGCCGTCAGTGAATTGATTAATGGAATGGCGTTGAGTTTTTTAAGTCAGTTTCGATGAGTTCCAATTTTTCTAAAGGCTTCCTCCTTCAAAAACTGTGAAAATCTGGAGGGTGTACTTTTTTAATTGGCAACGACCTGCTGTATAAATATTTACCTTTGACGCCACGTGGTAGCCCAGTGGTGACAATCCTACCACGCGCGGTAACGACCAACTTGTCCACGGCAGCGAGTTTCCGGATGGCAGTCACCTTTTCCTCCGTTATGACGGGCACGGGGTTCTCGTACGACTCCGGGATAATATTGTGATCAATCTCGAGCGTGATTTTAAGATGGAACCAGCCTGTTCAAGAGGAAAAATAGGACCGTTTTTTTTTACTAACGAAGATCTCACAGCGTATGAGGTCCGGTTTTTAAGAAATTAGTGTCAATCGATGGCAAATTTAATTAGTATGAAATTTGCAAATGGCACGTTTCGCAGAGGAGAAAACGCGCAGTAAATTCGGAAATTGTGGTCAACTTTGTGGAGCGTTTTCTCCTCTTCGGATGCAAATATCTCGGCCAGACGTGCAAATATCTCTCTCAAATACGCAGGTTGACAGGAATTTAATTAGGATGAAATTCGCGAAATAAATTTGATTATTTAATATTAAGTTTGCCAAACTTTGAGAGATCGTGTCTTTCGAAAATTTCATCCTAATTAAATTTGTTCTCGATTAACACTAATTTTCTGAAAATCGGACCTCATACGCTTCGAGACCTCCACTGCTGAACAGTGGCCGCGGAATAGGCGGTGGGGACAATGTCCCCACGGTTATTCGTTATCCCCATCCCCCCTTATCTTACAAAGTTAACGTCCCCACATGTCCCCACGGCTTCCTCGGCCACTGACTGCAATTGCTAAAAAAATTGTCCCATACCTTTCAGAATCCTCCCTCTGCTTTGAATCCCGGTAACTTCCACGCGAAAAATATACCCGGTTTCCTGGTTGCGTTTGCCCCGTTGGTAAAGGTAGGCCCGATATATGCCCGACTTTGACCAGCGAGGAAACCAGTACCACGAGGTCGGCTCGTTCAACCAGAACATCGAGTGCGGCGTGTGGTATCCAGCCGTCCTGGAAATTTGATCCGGTCGAATGGTCGGCGGGACTAGGTGGGAAAAAAATGCACTTTTTTAAAAACCCGGTGTTCTTAAGGTGGCAGAGTATCCGGGTTTTGAGTTTGAACTGCTGTGTCTCAACTTTCCCTGCTTCCATATATTCAAATGGCGATTTTGAAACCTGTTCATCTCCGTGAGTTTTTTATAATATGAAGATTTTAATGCACCCAAAAATCGATAATTTAAAGGTTTACGAAGTTAGGAAGGTGTGATTTTAATTGTTTTCTTCCATAAGGAAATATTTAAGTTTTACTGACTATTTTTCGTCTATTTTATATTTATTTTCTCATTTTCTCACAATTCAAACCCAAAACCCGCATACTATACCACCTTAATCGTCGGCACGTGGTGATAATGGTGATACCACTTAATGGTGATAAAATTAACACCAGCCAGTGACAATTTGTCACCATTTTTAAGGAAGTCACACCGCACGGTGACGATAATTAACACGGTAATTAACCGAATTTTTAAAATGGAATAATTATTATGGCTTTGAACTCGTAAAATTTTGTATAAAATGACACCCGAGAAATATTTATACGTCTAGCCGCGCGCTCTATGGCGGGAAATAGTTTCTTGCGCCTTGCCAGTAAAAAAATGTGCAACAAACGGCAACAAATATATGCGCGATCTATCCGCATTTTTTGTGTATTTATTATTATTCGTCTATGTTTTGAACTATGCACTTACGCGGATCTCCTTCCGCCTGAAGTCGCGGATTGGGAACGGCTGCGCAAAAATAGTGTGGGTTGAAACTCGCGTGTTTATTGTTTCGGAAAAAGTCCCACTGTTCGGTCAGGTCATATCGGCGGGTAAATTTCTCCAAGGGCCCCCTACGAAATGAAATCTTTGTGAGACATGGACACATTGAGGCAGGGTTTTCTAATTAATTAGTAACTCTAATCTAATTATCTAATTAAATAGCATATTTAAACTAATTATTAATTGCTAATTAACCTTAACTAGTACTACCGAGCCTAATTTTAATTACTAATTAATTAGGAAATCACTAAAAATCACCAATTAATTGGTCAATGTTCTAATTAATTAGCTAATTAATTGGCGTAATTAGCAACCTGAATTTAATTACTAATAATTACTAATTAATTAGACAAAATATTTTCCTTTTAATTATCAATTACTAATTAATTAGAACTGTGGCTAATTAAAAGGCTCTGGTCTACTTACTTCGGTACTGTGGAGAGGCACGTGACATATTTGATGTGCATAATGTTCAGCGTTAAGTTATCCGTCAGCCGGCCATGAATATTGTCGGGGTCCACGTTGTACAAGGGGAGGTCCCAGATCTTGGCAATGTCTTCAAGATAAGTGTACAGTTGGGGGGAGACCTTATCGATGGCGATAAGGAGGAGGAGCAACGTCGCCACGATGGAGGAAGACGGAAGACGACGACATGATCGGGATGTGGAGGGCGTCATAAATATACTCGGGCTGAAATTGGAAATTTCGAAATTATGTTTTTTTTCAGAAACTCTCTGAAAATAATATGCTCGAGAGAATAAGGTCAAACTTTTTGTCCGGATTTCCACTAAATATTTGCACCTGCTGGGTGTTAATAAATAAAATTTAAAGCTTTCCAATTTTGCCGATAGTTTGAAAGTTTCCTGAATTTTTTTTTGCAAAAAAATTCGTGATTTTGGATACCCAGTAAAATTGACACTTTTTTTGCAGTTGTTTGGCAACTTTGAAATAAAATACTTCGCAGGTGTAATTTATGCAATATTTTACTAAAAATACGGCGGGGGACACTTTGTTTTTTGGGAAGCATAACAGGGAAAACGTCTACCTTGAGGTGATAAGGGCTTATCGATCCCCGAAAAAAACCTGCAAGTCCCCAGGACTCACTAATCCATAATGTCATATTATTCGTATCCTCCTCCACCAAATTATCCGGGACAAGGAGGAGCCTCGTACCCCCCTCCAGCAGCACCTTATCAGGGGCAGGGACCTTCTTACCCTCCAGCAGCACCTTATCCGGGACAAGGCGCCACGTACCCCCCACAAGCACCTTATCAGGGACAAGGACCCTCGTACCCCCCACCAGCACCTTATCAGGGAGTAAATGACGCCACTTATCCTCCAGCTGGAACTTATCCGGGAGTTAACGATACCACATACCCTCCAGTAACACCTTATCCGGGGGTTAACGACGCCTCGTACCCTTCCCCAACAACCTATCCAGGCCAAGAAGGTGCCCCTGTCGAAGGTCAAACCCAACCCGGAAACCAACCAAACGTTTATCCACCAACGAGCAATATGGGTTTTGGACAAAGTAATTATTTACTTAAAAAAAATATTTGGAAATTAAAAAAAAATATATTTAGCTAACCTAGAACTCGATGACTTATCGCCGAAATCACCACATTTTTAATCATTACTCCCCTCTGGGAATTTATTTTAAAATTCTGCACGACAAATTTGTAGAGCAGGGAGTGGCCAATTAAAAAAATATACACTCCAGAGTTGTCATTTTTTAAAAAAGATTCACTCCAGAATTGTAAAATACTTACATAAATTCCCAGAGAGAGTGAAGAAGAGATCATTAAAAACGTGCTGAATCCTACATTCATTAATTATCCCCCCCCCCGATAGGTCCCCAATATTACGACGGAGCACAAGGCTACATGGTCGCACCGTACGCCAACGCACCTTACGTCAATTCCGGTGGGAGCAGTGGGAGAAACACGTGCCTCAGCGTGGTCATCGCGGTCGTATGCATTTTCGCTATACTAGGTTTCATCATCCTCGCCGTCTCTGTAAGAGGTGGAGGAGGTGGAGGTTATCATTCTGGTGGAGGTTATCATTCTGGTGGAGGTTATCATTCTAGTGGAGGTTATCGTTCTGGAGGAACAATTTTCCGTACGAAGACATACAGATCCTCCGGGTCCTGTTGTGGTGGTCGCCGCCGATTTGGAAGGTGAAAAGGAACCCAACGGAGAACAATCTAGAGGTCAGTGGGTGAAGTGACCTGTGGTGAATGAGTCGTTAATATTTCTGACCAGAATAATATCGTTGCTGTTGGTGCACAAGTTGTCGGGTGAGAAACTAGTTGGAAACGGAAGGTGTCAGATCCAGTTTTGGAGACGTGTGTTTTGCGTGCAAAAGTGACCACTTACAAGAAATATGGGCAAGAAAGTGGTTTCTTGCAGGGATATATTTTGCCCTGGAAGAAATGCACGGCGAAAGAAAGTATGCGCCGGCGTTATAAATACTTCATACGGCGCGTGGTTAAATATTTCTTGTACTTTGTCCCAGTTTCTTTGAGTCTCGCATTTTTTGCGTGGCTTGCTTTGCAGTTCAAGAAATTCGGAAAGAAACGAAACCCTGCTGGTGTCACATTTTTCCCGGATTTTCATATGAAAACTTCAGTTTCCGACTGGTTTTAAAGACGACAACCTTTCCACGAATAGCGACGATATGAAAAAATAATCGAGGGGAATGGCATCCAGATAACTTATCCTTAATGTTGTCAGAATGTTTCAAAGTGAATAAAGTGGTGGTTGAAACGGAAGTGATGATGAATGACTTTGCCAATAAAATTCATAATTTTTAAGCTGTTTAATTGTCTACATATACCTTTAATAAAGAGTTAAAAATAAGTATTTTATAAATATGTGTAACTCAACCATTTATCGCAGTCGGAACCCAGCAGGCGTCTCATGTGACCAAAGTGTTACCAAGATACTCAAAATCAAGCAATTGCTTATCTCAGATTTTTGTAAACATACATTTTTTTAGCAAAAACACTTTCATAAAATTACTTATTACGTAGTTTTGTTAATTAATTATTTACTAGAGTTATCATTGATAACTTATCAAGCAACCTTGAAAATCCAGCTGATCCGTATCCGGCCCCCGAAAATTACAGTCTTAAAAGTCCATCCCCCAGGACTCCTCAATCCACAATGTCATATTATTCGTACCCTCCTCCAACAACTTATCCGGGCCAAGAAGCCGCAGTTAACGACTCATCAAACCCTCCAGCAGCACCTTATCCGGCAGTTATGGAAGGCTCGTACTCGTACCCTCCAGCAAGCTATCCCGGCCAAAATGTCGCAGGGGGCCAAGTCCCCATCCAACCCGGATTCCAACAGGGCGTCTACCCAGCAACCAGCAACATGGGTTTTGGACAATGTATGTAATAATTTAATTACTTCAAATAATTCAGGGTTCTCTAATTATTTAGCTAATTAAATAGGATGTTTGAACTAATTATTAATTACTAATTAGCCTCAATTAGTACCACCGTTGCTAATTCTAGTTCATAATTAAGTAGAAAATCATTTAAAATCACAACTTAATTGGTGAATTTTCTGATTAATTAACTAATTAATTTGGTGCCTTAATTAGTACAACTGTGGCTAATTCTAATTCCCAAATTTGGTATCCTAATTAATTATAGAATCATTTAAAATCACCACTTAATTACTGAATAATTAGACAATATGTTTCCTTCTAATTATCACTTTAAGAGACAAAATATTCTCTTAATTACCAATTTCTAATATATTCTCCTTTTAATTACTAATTATTTTAACCTTTAATTACCCCCAAAAGGTCCCCCAGTCGGAGGCTACGTGAATGCCCCCCACATCCGGGGACCATACGTCAATGCCGTCGGAAATCCAAATTACTCGGGACAAAAAATCTGCCTCAACGTGGCCCTTGTCATTATCTTCATCTCCATAATAGTTGGTGTCATCATCGGCATCGGTGGAGGGGGTGGTACTAGACACAGCTCTACTGTTATTCATACGCGCCACTACCGACTTAGAGGGTGAGAAGGAGCGCAACATTTAGTCAGCGAAAGCCGCCCTTAGTATTTCTAATGCCGACCAGAATATGAAAACAAAAATCGAGGAAAGAAACCCAGCAAAATTCATGTCTTCAGAATGTTTTTTGAAAAAAGAGTGATGGTCAATAAAACTCGTGCTTTTTAGATAAAATGTAAAATTGCCGATATCGGTTTAGAATTTTAGATTCTATATGACTGAGAGTTTCCAAGAAACGGAATGGCTAGAAATCGAGAGTATCACCTTATTTAAATTTTTGTAGACATACATTTTATTAAGACAAGCACATTTATAAAACTGTTTTACATAGTTAGTTAGTTAATTAGCTAGAGTTAATATCCTGCTAATTAGCATATTATTTGACCCGTGAATATTACGGTTTTAAATCCATCCATCCCCATCCCCCGGGACCCTTCGACCCAAAATGTCATATTACTCGTATCCTCCTCCAACAAACTATCCCGTCCAAGATGTCGCAGGTGGTCAAGTTCCCATCCAATCCGGTACCCAAGCAGCGGTCTATCCAGCAACGAGCAACATGGGTTTTGGACAAAGTAATTCAAATATTTGATCAAATTGTTGGAATTTTTAAAAAACAATTTGTCCTCATTCGTGTAAAAGTTGTCGTCTTCAAAACCAGTTGGAAACTTATCAATTTTTGGGGGATACGAGACTTTTTTTCCGAATTTTCATCCGACAACTGATGTTTCCGACTGGTTTTGAGGAGGACAACGTTTCCACGAACAGCAATACTTTTAGTTCACTTATCTAAGACTCCATGACTTATCACCAAAAACGTTCAAAATCCCCACATTTTTAATTATTTCTCCACTCTGGGAATTTATTTTAAAATTCTGTCCGACAAATTTGTAGAGCAGGTCGTTCCCAATTTTTCAAAAATATGCAGTCCAGATTTTGACCGTTTTTGAAGTAGGAGATCTCAAGTTTAGGAAGCCTTCAGAGAAATTGGAACTCTGGCTTAAAAACTCACCACAATTCCATCAATCAACTCACTGACTACAAATTTGTCATCCAGAATTTTAAAATAAGTTCCCAGAGGGGAGAAGTGATTAAAATTGGCATATTTTCACATCATTTTACCCCCACAGGTCCCCCCAATTATGCCGCTGGAAGCTACAATCCATGTCCGTACGGCTACGATTACGTGGAAGTAGCCCCACCCCCTGTGTACTTTGACCATTCAGACCGCGCGGGAAGGTCAATCTGCCTCAATGTTTTCGTCACGGTTGTGGTCGTCCTGCTTATCGGAGTGGTTATCGTCTTCATCGTCCTTGCAGCTCGTGGAGGCCCGATAAGTTGTGGTGGTGGAAGTGGTTATCATACGATTGGAAGTGGAACAGGCTATAGATACAGATATTATTCATCATACAAATCGCCAACTCGATATTACACGTGTTGCAAAAAAGGATGACCGCTGCAACGGCAAGATTTAGATACCTAATTGTGGTCAGTCGAACAATCTATAACCATTTTTGGAAGAAAGAATGTTCCCAAATTTTTAAAAATTCTTTTAAAATGTGTCTTCAGAAATTTGCTTTCTTATAGTGGAGATCTCCCAGCTTCTGCTCTCCGATTTTGAGCAAACTAGTCTAAATCGATGACAAATTTAATTAGGATGAAATTTGCGAAAGACACGATCTTCCAATGGGCACGTTTGGCAGAGATATTTGCATCCAAACAGGAGAAAACGCGTCCTAAAGCTTAAACATTTTACACTTTTAAAAACTGCGCGTTTTCTCCTATTCGGATGCAAATATCTCGGCCAAACGTGCCAATTGGGAGATCGTGTCTCTTGCAAATTTAATTCTAACTAAATTTACCATTGATCGAGATTAATTTGCTCAAAATCGTAAAGCATACGCTGGGAGACAACCATTGTCCGTGACCTTCCGGAATATTTCTAATGCAGACTGACCAGAATATGAAAAAATCGAGAGGAATGGGACTCAGAAACATCATTTCAATTAATTTCACGTACATATTTCAAAGAAAGTGATGACTTCTTGCTAATAAAAATCATGATTTAGAACAAATGTATTGTTATGAAATAATTGTCATGAATTGTCATGATCATCATGATCAAATCAACAAGCAATTGGTGATAAGTAGTTATCATTTCAGCAGAACGTACTTAGCTATATAGGTATATCTTATCAGCTTATCCCGCATGAATACATAATCTGCATACAAACTCCACGATTTTGGGATGAATGATAACCTGACTCACTCGGCGTCATGAACGCATTTCAACCCACTTTGTTCAGAAATTCATGAACTTCATAAACACCAAATCATGACCAAAATCTGCAGATGTGAAGATGTCGAAATTTGCGCACTATAAAAATGGAAGCTGTGAACGGCCAAGATTCACAAGCTTCCCGTCCGACCCGGAGACAAGTACATAGAAAAGTTGACCAACAAACATATATAAAATTGCAAAATCAGATTTGCAACAATTGCAAAAAATCTAGATCAGGTTGGTTTAATTTTTCGTAATCATTTACTACATAACTTTTTACGTAATCTTTGTCTTATTTTTGACAATTAGCTGAGCACCGATCACCACAAAACTTGACGATGGCGTTTATTCATCACGGAGTGACGACCGGATCCTCGTCCCGAATTTCGACCTGGGGGACGTGGACGTGGCCAAGTTGGGGGTCCGATGATGACAGCAGTCCTGCCACGCAATGCTCCACCTGTGGCGCTTATGTTCATGGGAGTCACACCTGCTCAAAGTAGCTTCGAAATTTCAAATGCAAATTTTGTCCACCAATTTTTTATACTTAATCGCAACAAATGTGATACATTCATACATATGTATGTATTTATTTAGAAAATTTAAATAAATAATAATAATTAATCATTCGATGTGAAATTTGGAACAAAATTTGGAAATCTCTGGGTAAAGATTCCAATGTCATTTTGAGGCTTACTTTTTCACGCCGAGCATGTAAACCGGTAAGTCCACACTCGTTTTCAAAAAGAATGGCTTGACCGTGTCAAATCTGTCAAATCGTGAAATTTATGGCAAAATTTCCTTGTCAACAAGCTGACGATTCAACAACAAATTGCAATTTAGAAAAAAAAGTTGGGTGAGAAAAGTGCCAAAATAATTCTCCCTCTAATCGACTGCACTTCGTTTTTTCTCTGCTGTTTCAAACCACCGCGACGCTATTTCTCCCCGGAATGGGAACGTCGAAGAAGATGACGTTCTCAAACTCAAACCTGCTCCTCGTTACTGTCGCTATCGCCGTCGTGATGACCTTGGACCACGTCCCTGCCGCTGAAGGTTTAGTGCAGATATTAAAATTCAGTGTTTTGTTACTTGTGGGTTTGCTAATTCCTTGCACTGCAAGGCAAGCCACGCAAGAAATGGGAGGATGCGAGAAATGTGCGCCATAGTCACGCGCCGCATGAAGTACATCGGCGGGGCGTAATTTCTTGCGCCGTGCATTTCTTGCAGGTCAAAATACCTGCAAGAAACAACTTCTTCCCGTTATTCTACTCGTACTTATCTATTAAAATTTGCATCTGTTCCTTATTTTCCGCTCTAGGCTTGAAGTGCTACATATGCACCGGAAGTTTAAATACTTCGATAAGTAACGGAGGGAAACAGTACCAGCAGCCGTCCGACGAAGAACTGAAGAACATTCGACGGGCTGAACAGGCTTACAAAGAGAAAATGGACAGAGCCATGCCCTGCAAGGACTTCACCGCCACGACCCAAAAAGAAGACAGGGCCCAGATAGAATGTCTATCCTTTTGGCCAAGTATGTATCTATTTTTTTTAATACCAAGCAAGTATTAAGGTGGCATCGTATGCGGGTTTTGAATTTAAAATCTGTCTCAACTTTCCCTCAAATTTGCGATTTTGAAAGCTGATCATATTCGTGCGTTTTTTTTTGCAAAATGAAGATTTTATTGCATTTACAATCGATAATTTATAGGTGGGGAAAGTTGAGACATAAAAATTCAAGTTCAAAAACCGCATACAATGCCACCTTAATTTATGAAATCTCTTCTAATCCGGCTGTTTCCGTGTTCTAGATCAAATTTGTATGACCCACAAAACCCAAGGAAGAGGATGTTCCGTTGACTTTCCAGAACCACCAGACCAGCCGGATACTGTATTCGCGCCCATAAATACTTGCCCTCCGGACGCGAAAGGGTGCAAATGCAACAGGAATTTGTGCAACGGCGTGGTGTTCGGTGCCAGCAGCAAGGCGGACGACATGAATGATTCGTCGAAACGCGGCGTCGTCTCCCTGATCGGCATCAGTTTCTTCGTCGGAGGAAACTACTTTGGGAGCGGTGGAGGCTTCTTTTGAATCGGGGGCCAAATAACCACAAGATTCCAACCCATACCCAACTCATGATGATGCCGACAAACAAAAAAAAAGTATTTATGAATATTCGTACCTCGAAATGTTGTAGGAGACGATTTATCACTGTTTAGAACCAATGCAAAATTTGTATTGTACACAAATTCATAAAGTTGTTGGGTAAATGGGGAGCGAATAAAGTATAACTAACCGCTTAGGTGAACTGGACACGACGCGTGACCATACCTGTTCAAAAAATCTTTTTTCATTCAAAGTTCCGTCATCCCGATTTCTGACTGAAGATTTTTATTCACACTCAGTCATTTTCTTTCAAATTCATTTCATTTCACATCATCGGACTTCATTTCTTACTTCGCCCAATGTATGAAGCATAAAGGAGTAAAAAATCCTTTCATTCACAGTCATTCATCTGAAGTGATTGAATCTTTCACTCATTTTCATTCAAATCACAGGAAATTCATTTTCATTCACCATCATTCTCTTGGATAATCAGTCACATGAATGAAAGTGAACAGGTATGCGCGACGATATCAGAAGATGACGCCGCCCAATTTTGCGGCTGTGTCGGCGGCACGACGTGGCGTCATAATATGGAAGGAATAGGAATTCAGATTTATCGACAGTGGTAACCAATTTGTGGCGCCGACTACTTGAAATACATTCAGGTTACGGAACGAGTTTCCAATTCGTCTTGTAGTCTCATCACTGGTGATCTCTGACCTCTGAATTTTTACATGAATGATTCAGCATTGCGCTTTTCATTGGAGGCACTGGAACTGGCAATGAATCTGAATTTATTTCATGAAGCTGATGCAATGTGTATCATGATCATGATGGAGGAACGGAAAGAGGACGACAGACAGACACATGTACATAGGTATGCTTATCAAGCTTATCCCGCAGTGTGCATAAATAATACGAATGCTACTAAACTCCACGATTTTGGGATGAATGATACCCTGACTCACTCGAGGTCATGAATGCATCTCAATCAAAACAATACATAGTTTCACTTTGTTCACGAATTCATGAAGTTCATAAACTAAAATCATGACCAAAAATTGCATAATGTCGAAATTTGCACACTATAAAAAGGAAACTATGATCGGCCAAGATTCACAAGCTCCAAGTCCGACCCGGAGACAAGTACATAGAAAACCTGATCAACATCAGATTTGCAACCATTGCAAAAATCTAAATCAGGTTGGTTTAATTTTTCGCGATCATTTACATACATAACTTTTTACGTAATCTCACAGAATATAGATTCTGTGACGTAATCTTTGTCTTATTTTTGACAATTAGCTAAGCACCGATCACCACAAAACTTGACGATGGCATTTATTAATCACGGAGTGACCACCGGATCCTCGTCCCGAATTTCGACCTGGTGGACGTGGAAGTGGCCAAGCTGGGGGTCGGATGATGACAGCGGTCCTGCCACGCAATGTTCATCCTGTGGCGCTTATATTCATGGGGGTCACACTTGCTCAAAGTGACGCTTAAATTTCCAATGAAAATTATTTGCACCAATTTTTTATACTTAATCGCAACAAATGTGATACATTAATATACATATACGCACTTATTTAGAAAATATTAATAAATAGTTTAAAAAAGAAACAAGTTATCATCACCATTCGAAGTACATCTTGGCACAAAATTGGAAATCCATCGCAGAGATTCCGATGTCAATTAAAGGCATACTTTTTCCACGCGGAACACGGTAAGGTAACCCCCAGAGAAAGTGGGCAAGTCTCCCTACATGGGTAACCCCATACTTGTTTTCGAAAAAATTGACTGCCTACATATGTAAAATAAAATCTGGACAATTCTCGAAATTTCCCTGTCAACAATGCCAACAACCGGATCCTAATCAACAACAACTCACCATTTAGAAAAAAAAGTTGTGGAAAAGCGTCAAGAAATTTCACGGATGCACTTTTTTTTAACTCCGCGACCCACCGCGACGCTGTTTCGAACCGGAATGGGAACGTCGAAGAAGATGACGTCCTCCAAATCAAACCTGCTCCTCGTCGCTGTCGCCATCGCCGTCGTGATGACCTTGGACCACGTCCCTTCCGCTGAAGGTTTGTCCAGATCAAAGAGATATACGTCTTATGGTCCAGATATTAAAATTCAGTGCTTAATGAAATGCGAGGTGCACGAAAGTGCGGGAAATATGCGTCATCTAGCTACGCACGCGCCGTATGAAGTATTTATAGCGGCGGGGCGTAGTTTCTTGCGCCATGCCAGTTCTTGTGGGTCAAGATACCTAAAAAAAACACTTTCCAGCAGTTATTTCTTCCAAGGGGTTACTTATTCCACCCGAAACACTGATACAATTAAACCGGCCAACATGCAGATTCACTGCTCGTACATATTTATTAAAATTTACATCTTTTTCTTAGGTGAAGCTATGGTGATCTAATGATTAATAAACCTACTCCAAGCAACTTTGCGGGGCCTTTTAAGATGGCATTAATACCATCTTGGTAGTTAATGGCAACACATTTGGGTGGAAAAGACCCCCACTGGCCAACCACTTGGCCGATCAGGCCCATCCGAACTCATCCTTACTTTTGACCCGAAGATGAAGTGTGCAAAATTTCAAGTCGATAGCATGTGTTTAAAGAGAGTTATCGCGCGCACAGACGGACGCACAGACGGACGGACAGACAGACATCTTGGTAAATCTATAAGGCCATCTTAAAAGGCCTAATAAAAGGCCTAAAACACCTAAAGGTGCGTTTATGCTTCACGTCACCGTCACGTCCTCCTCCAAATCCGATTTTTTGATTGGTTAAAATTTTTAATTGTCGTAGTGATAATTTCGTTCAGCCAATCAAAAAATCGGATTTGAAGGAGGACGTGACGATGACGTGAAGCATAAACACCACTTAAGTATGCAGTTACTACAACGTTCAAAAGTGACAAAACCACATTACTTTACCATTTCTTAACCGATTTTTATGAAATAAGTGCCGAGAGTTAATTACGATGGTCTACTTTTGGATTCCAACTCTGGTCGGTTGTGAGCCTACCCATTCCTGAGATATTCTCAAAAAACACCCTCCAAAAAGTGACATTGCTTTATACGAAAAAATTGAGGACCTAAATCAAAAATGTACTCCGAAAAAAAGTTTCTAAATATTTTTAGCTTTCAATTAACCTTGAGATAATCAAAATCGGATAAGAAATGGCCACAATATTCATAAATGCAAGTACCACTGCTCACGTGGTGGTATTGCTATGATTCGTTGCTAAATATTGCAAGTATTTTAATCGCACTTCCCTTCGCTTCACCTAAGCCGCCCGTTTTAGGGATCTATCTTGTCATTACCTCCCCCCATCCATAGGTGACTTGATGTGCTATCTGTGCCACGGAGATACAAATACTTCTACAAGCGGCGAAGGGAAACAGGACGAGCTGTCCGACGACAACCCATCACCTGGACAATTGGAAATGCAGGCTTATCGCGAGAAGGTGGGCAAAGCCATGCCCTGCAAGGACTTGACCGCCACGACTCAAAAGGAAGACAGGGCCCAGATTAGATGTCCATTTTTTTGGGAAGGTACACATATTTTTTGATACCAAGCAAACAATTGTGTGCAGGTTTTGAATATGAATATTGTGTCTACTGCTCATCCAGTATTATTAGTCGAAAAAAAATCTGAAAGGTTACCTGGCAGGTAAAATAAATTTTCGTGAACAGAAATTTATACATCATCCTCGCCGTTTCTTTTTTAATTTTAAAATTAATTTAATTAATTTAAAAATTCAAATTCAAAACCTGCATACAATGCCACCTTAATTTATGAAATCTCTTCTAACCCTGCTCTTTCCGTGGTTTTTAGATGCACATTGTACCACCATCAAGACTGAAGGGAGAGGATGTAGGACTAACAAAGTATTCGTACAGCCAGGGTCAACAGTAAAGCCGGATCCAAAATTCGCACCCATGAATACTTGCCCCAAGGATGCGGAAGCGTGCAAATGCAACCGTGACTTTTGCAACGGCTTGTCCTTTGGTGTAAACAAGGCCGACAGGATGAATGATTCGGTCAAACGCGTCGTCGTCGGCACCCTGCTCGGCGTCAGTTTCTTCGTCCGAGGCTACTTAATTTGCGGCGGTGGAGACTTTTGAATCTTGCCGCCAACTCGTTATAATTATGCCGCCACAAAAGAAATATTTATATTGCGGTCTGGAAATGTTTTGTGGGAGACGTTTTATTAACTTTTTATTGTACAAAATTGATAAATTTATTATGTAAATAGGGAGTGAATAAAGTATAAATAAATAAAATCGTTAAATTAAGCTTAATCTTAATTAAGAGGCTCAGTTAACTAACAATGGGGACGCAAAACATGTTAAGCCCAGATTATTTTTTGCCCACGTTGATTTGTAAGACCAACTCTTTAGAAACAATATTTAGTGCGGCACTTACTTACATATGTGCAAAATTCAGTAAGTTTTGGGCGCCGCAGCTCGCGAAAACCTCAACTGCAAGCGAAAAGAACAGATTTCGAAGACTTTTCGCGAACTTTCGGCTCCTAAACTTTCTGATTTTTTTCTGAAGTTTCGCACTAAATGTTGTTTCTGAAGAGTTGCAGATTTTTAGCAGGTTGCGAAGTTACTTTATCCAAGAAAAAACAAAGTATTTTTGGGAATCATTTCTCATTTTTATTCTTTTACCATCTACGTGACCAAATCCATGAGACTCCGGTCGCCCCATTATTTCACTATAAGTCAAAACATCACTCTGTTTTCGTTCTCGCGTTGGATGAACATTTCTCAAACTTTTAATTTGATTGCACAAAATTGTTTCCACTGACCGAAATAACCAATGGACGAATTATCCATACCTGTTGATGGTGTGCTTGAGTTCAAGCAAGGAAATTCACAGGATTGTAATCTGCGCTCGGCTATCCTGCCTTATCGGGAGCGTGAAAAGGTAAGTTTTATTATTATTTATTTTTGCTACATGCTATCGTACATGTTCACATTCATTCATTTAATGATGAATGAGTAAATTATTCATTCAATATTCAACATTTTGAATGAATATTGAATGAATATTTTATTCTGATTTTTGAATACATGAATATTGAGTGAACATCTATTCAATTCGTGTGGATGAATAAATAATGAATATTTTTT